AATTGACAGGAGTTCGACCACCGCTGGTGATATTACTCTGGTGCTGGACAGAGTGTGGATCTGAGCGATGATACTCCCATAGAAGAGAAGGAAACCTCGAAGGGGTACAAGCCCAAGGTGACCGGCATCGGTGGACACAGCGATAGGTGCATCGCACTCCTGAATTCAGACGCATTATGTTATCGGGTTGCGCACACAAAGAGAAGTCACAGTGTATTGCCTATAACAGAGACAGAGGATTACAGGGGGATTGACTGCTTGCAGATATCATAGATAGTGCAGAGTAGGCTCAGCGCAGCTCAAAGATGGCGGGAGATAAGCATGCAGGCGCGCAGGCAAGGACAGCTCGGACTCCCGGAGAGAGGGCAGGGAGGTCACATAGGTCACCGAGCGGGGAGTCACGGGGGTAAAGCCACCAGACGTTAAGGTGCTCGGGAACCTCCGATTTTTCGTTCCCGCTTGGAGCTCCGAACGTCTGGTCACGAGACTACCGGGGTGTGTGCATTCATTTCATCGTTACGTCCGACGGAGAGCACTCTCGCGACCCTTGAGGCAACGGGCGCATCTCGACATCCGCATGGTCTTGCTGGGTCTTCCCACCTTATGTACATCTTATTATCATTGGAGTCGTCATGTCCTTGTCCACTGTGAGTGTAACGCAGTACTGGTGCGACTCCAGAAACGATGGCCTATTACCGTGAATGCCTTCGAAGCTTGCACTCAGACAACTGGTTTCAAACTGAGAGGTAGGATAGCCGACCCACCAACGAGCTCCTCGTCAGCACGACAAAATTTGAGATGGGAGGTGGGGACATCGTGCGAAAGAGGCGAAGCGAGATGGACACGGCGCGTCGCGTTCGGTATTGGGGTCACATGACCGCGTTGTACTAGGTTCAGAACCGGACGGACTCGCGGAGAGCCGTTGAAGATCGAATTTCTCATCCCTCCTGCTCCGACCTCTCAGCTGCGTGTGCCCGCGTAGACACAGAATCTGCATATTGCTATCGGCGAACCACCAGTAAACGACCAGCAAATGTCGAGTGTAAGTTGAACGGGGACAATCAATTCACCCGCGCTCAACTGATCACATGCCAGAATTCATATTCAGGCATCATGAAAGGAGCGTGCTTTTGCGGCGCGGTTTCGTACGAGGTGACGGGGGATCCTACCCTCCGTGCGTTCTGCCACTGCACGCTCTGTCAACGTCTGACGGGTGAGCTTCTCTGCCTTCCGAGTCTGCTTGTAGCGGCGTCTTCCCCTTTTCAATGATCTTCTTGAACGGAAGACCGCGCGGCTGACCACCTACCCCCCACAGGCAGTCCTTTCATCCACACCGTACACTTCCCATCGAGCGCTTTTTCATGGACTCACGGTGCGCCACACGAAGACCGCCTAGACGCATACGCCGTCGCGAGCAAGCCGCACAAGACCCGCTGGCGGTGCAAGACATGCGGCGCGTGTGTGATGTCTGCGAACGCGAAGACGGGAAGCTGCAGCGTGTGGGGCGCGCACCTCGCCCGAGATGATGCCGGGAACATAATCGATTGGGAGAGGGTAAAGCCGACGGCACACATGTTTTATGGGACCAGGATGCTCGATGTTGACGACGGCCTGGCCAAATGGGAGGGTTACGAGAACGGCTCGGCTCGGCTCGAGCTCTAAGCGCTGGGCATTGGTGAGTGTCTCGTTCTTCCTGCTAGTCACGCCCGCGGCCGGTCGTGCATGCTGAACACATTTCTCCAGAATCACATGTATCACTCGCTGTGGATGTATTAAGCATTGAGACGGTGATTGAATTTGTTGCATCACACTGCGTACTCGGGTACGTTCGCGCTTCCGCACCACTCCACTTCCTTGTGCAGGAACACCGTCCTGAGTGGGAATGTGAGACGTCGACTCAGGCGTACTCCTCATCGTGCCGATCCGAAGGAAGGCGAGAGCCCTCTTACGCCATACCTCGGCGTCCGAGGACGGCTGACGCCTGTAAGGCACGGAGCATACAAGGATACCAGTGTGCCCAGATCCTCTGTCCAAGGGCCCCGGGAGCATACCCCAACAGGGAATGCAACATGGTCATGATCTTGTTCAAAAACCGTGGTTCGCGCGATTGCATTCCTATACAATCCCGAACAAGTTGGATCGATCCTAACTCTCGGACGTTGTGGGGCTAGGCGTGTCCACTTTTCAATGTCAGCTCGTCAACTCGTGCTAAATCCAGAACCCGCACGCGGGGCGGCGACGACCCGATGTCTGTCCTCAAACGTTTCACAGTACTAGGCAGTTCCACAGACATAGATAGGATAACAAGCACGTACGAGACCTCATGCTTCTTTCATATCCGGCATGTCGACTTAAATTCTGCCATTCCAACCGGCTCTCCGTTCGATTTGAAGACAGTATGTAACTGAATTCCCAGGACGGCATACAACTTGCGTGGGAAAAGCGGACATCTCATTCCGACAGAGCTACATGTGGAACACCAATATTATCTCGACCCACATGCGACTAACACATTTTTCGTGCGAAGAACCAGATTGAACGTCCAAATGACAGCGACCACGGTGGAAGTCCGAGTTACGACACTGCTATACCTAGAGAATGATGGGGATGCAGCCAATGGAGATCAAGCCACCCTGTCAAACAGAAAACGATCTGTCAGATTACTCGCATCTCCCAGAAAAGGGACTGCAGCTACTCACGACGCTGTTGTTCTGGCAGCAAACCGTGGTGGCAGAGCAAGCATTGCCCGAGCCAACGCCGACGACGCTGATAGGGGAGCATCCGAGTCCAACGAGGGCCTCGACGCCCTCGAGGACGATGCCAAGCAGGCCGAGGATACCACTGAATGCGGGGTCGCTAGCCTGTCGCGATGGAACCCAAGTCAGTGCTATGGCTGGCGCAGATGGACATGGACTGCTCACCGAACCGACGGAGTTGCAGCATTGGATGGGTCCGGTGCTGCAGGTGTCGCCGCCAGTAGGAGCGGGAGCAGACACTGTGACGGTGACGGTCGCGGTCGCAGTCGTCGTAACCGGGGGAGGGGTGGTGTTCCAAGGCTTGGCGGCAGCAAGGATGGACAAAGAGAGTAGGAAGTAGAGAACGACGACGGCACGAGAGAACATGTTAAAGGTGCTGGATATGCTGCTGGTGAGGCTGCTGATCTAGTTCTGAGGATATGTCCGAACTGAAGAGCTGCGATGTCGCTGTTAAGACCTTTATACATGCGCGAAGTCGACGCCAGCATCCTCGTCTCCCAGTCTCGAGGTGCCTAGGTATCACATTGGCATCATACTCAACTATTAATCATCGAGCGGGAACGCACGGGCAAGGGAAGCCCGACAGGGATGACGCGCCGATCTGGCCGTTGAATGGACGATCCTGACAAGCTGCGCGGCACGCTCGAACAACCGAGTCCAAGCTGCGCGCCCCGACATTTGCTGGGCCATGATTTGACATTCCCGTCAGTCCTTTTGACAGATTGAAGAATAAGTCGGTTCCGCGCAGAGCATTGCTGACAAGCGGACTTGACACACGGCCCGCCGCCACGAGCCCGGGCCATAGGGTAGCCATAGAAAATTTGAGGGGTAGGCGAGATTGCGAACGGCAAAAGCTCACGGGATCCCTGCACAAGCCAGTTACCTGAACTGTCATCTGTGAACGCAACTTCCAACGCCCCGGGCATGGTCTGAGGGCGTTCGGACGGGCTACATTCCGACGAAGATCACGCCCTAGTGTTGAATACTACCCTCGGCATTCGTCCTCTACTCAACCGCGAAGACACGTTGTTGATTGAGTGCCGAGTCAAAAATCCGAGGAGCTGATGCGCCCTCGATCATTGAGATCTTGCTGTTATCTTGGCGAACTGGATCTTGTACTGTTCGGGACCTACTCCGTTAGCGCACTGAACACTTACTGTGAACGTCACAATGGTGCAACCCCGTCGTACCGATGAAGTATCTCCATCAACAACGGACGAAGTTCCTCTCCGTATCTCCTCCAGGACAGCAGCAGTGGATGCGATCTCGCCGCTGGAATATCGTGAGATGAACGGCAAGAGCGCTCCTGTGACCGGCGTTTCGTGTGTGCTGCTGTCAGAAGGGTCTGTTCGCCGTTGTTGCGGAGGTAAAGAGCTTACCGGGAGCAATTCAGAATCAAAATACTCTCCCGTCCCCAGGGCTCGGTAGCCAATAACAGCCCGGTATGTAACGGGTGTGCCTGGCGTTGATATAACCGCATAGGCGATATTCAAGAGAAGCGCACCAGGTCTGCCAAACTACCTATAAACTCTCTCCACTGCAACATACGGATTGGACGGCTCACCTAGGTTCGACTCCTCGCGCCTCATGGTGACCTCAACGCGGGTCCGGAATCGTCCGCGAGTATACGGAAAACAGACACGAGGACGGATGACAGCCAGCTACGATCTCAACAAAGTGCTCGGGGGAAAATCCCAGGCGCTTGTGGAGCGCCTTGTCCGCGGCGTTAAGATATTCAGTTCAACACCGACGTTCTTCCCCCGGCCAATCAGGGAGGACCTACCAAGCCTCTGACTCGCCGCAACGAAACAACACAAGATGGGCGTGGCAGTTCATTCACGTCGCGACCTGCAGGGAAGTGGATTCCATCAATTCATATCGCCGACACGGGCCACTGCGAAGGTCGTACTTTCTCCGTCTCATACACGGCCCGTATTGAAATCAACGTTCAGGCAGTCGGCACCGCTAGTTGCCGCGAGGAAACAACAACGTTCATGACTGCGGCACGAGAGTCGTGGACATTCGAGTACTTAAAAATCGGGTCAGGTGAATGCAGTACGGACAGCACACGGAGGAGACGACACACTTTGATCATTGCCAAGCGTCTTTGACGGAGTTTGAGCGTCCGGCATGCTCATATCCTACCCCGGAAATTTTGGCAAGACAAAGGCATAACGTGATTGCTCGCGTCTAGCTCCTTCCGCGCCGAGACATGAAGCCCGGATGAGCGTCCAGACTACCCTGTCTGGGCACGGCGGCAGAGCCCGCGCGATCTCCTGGTAGCAATCATCCCCTTGAGGCGCTAAATCGCAGAACTGTGAGGGGCTCGAACAGGAGCGCAATACATCGGCTATAGAAGAGAGAAGAGCGAGAGTTCTAGCCCTGACGCCTATAAACGAAGTTGTGAGTCCAGTCCTCCGTCTCTGCGCCGAAACGGAAATCCTTTGTACAGGTCCCGGAACGGTGTGGGCAACTTCGTCCGGAACGATGTCCCTGCGGCCAAAGACTCCTCTCACGGAATACTCGAATTGCACCCACGTTGACGTTACACCGTCCTCAGGGCGCATGGACATGGAAGTTGTATCATTCAACTTGTCGTCCAATGACAGCACTGTACTGGACCCGCCTAAATGGCACGCCGCGATGTCGGTCGCAGGAGGTAGATACGAGCCAACGACCACAGAGGACGGTTCGTATAAAAGGCACGTACAACGATTCAGCATACCTTAGCCGAACAACGCAGTTCAGCCCCACCGAACATCAGCACTCTCTCGAGTACTCACCAGCCCACCAGCATCCAAGATGTTCGCTCGCGCCTTCGCCTACGCCGCTCTTGCTCTCCCGCTCCTTGCGGTCGCCACCCCCGTTGAGGTGCGCAACGACGCTTCAAGCTGTAGCACAGGCTCCATCCAGTGCTGCAGCAGTGTCCAGTCGGTAAGCCAGAGGTCTATCCGCCCTGTATTAACGCCCCACTCACTCTGAAATTTCGGCACGATTCAGTCCGACTCCGCGTCGTCCAACATCATCCTGGGCTTGCTCGGTATCGTCCTTGGGGACATTACTGGGCTTATCGGGCTCGGCTGCTCGCCCATCACCGTAGTCGGTGTGGGCTCTGGCAATGCGTGCTCGGCCAACGCCGTCTGCTGCACTAACAACAACGTCGTAAGTCTTCGCGGGATCTCTTGACGCATTGCCATGAGACGCTCGGATGCTGATATCGTGCACACCAACTCAGGGGGGCTTGATCTCCATTGGCTGCCTGCCCATCGAGCTCTAAGTCCGAGGACTGCAACGAACGTCTTCGATTTTCTGACCCCGTCGGAAATAGATGAACGGAGGTTCGTCGTGATGGAGACTATGTGGTGTATTCGGCGGTCGTGGACTTCTCTCGAGACGCCTTCGTATATCTGTTTCGGACGTATATCAGGTTTTGAGTTCGATCTTGCTTGTATACGCGCTTGAGTAATGGGAGATTGAGGGGATATCGCACAGAAGAGCACGGGACGCACAGTATCCTGCGACCGACAGAGAAAGAACTCGCGAGACTGACAGATCGCGCTAGAGAAGTCGAACCGGGCTTCCGGCGCGCACGATACACGCTCGTAAGGCGTCCAGCATGTAATCGGTATTGCTACACAAGGCTCGGTCGCTTGAGACCTGGTACGTCCCGAAGCCCTGCCGGGCGATGAGTGCAGGGAGCTGGAAAACCCGAAACAGTAAGCACTCACAGCAGAGCGCTCGGGAGGACGAGCTGACTCACATCGGTGTATCCTCTCCGTTCATAGAGGTAAAGAACATGCACGTCGAACGTGAGGCATGACAGTCGATCAGGCCCATGTCATCGATTACTGGCTTCAAGGTCTTGGCCGCGAGGACATAGAGAGGGTGTAGGCAGCGATTGTGATACGGCCACCTTCCGCATCCTCGGACGTTTCATAGAACCGGACGACAAGTCTTCCATGTCATCGGTGGCGGGCGGTGTTTGGTATGTATGTAGAACGTCTAGACCACATACCTACCCGACAGCAATTACTCAGCTCGCGAAGTTCGTCGTCCGCATTATGGCACTTAGCCGCAGAGATCCTAACAACACGGAGAGGCCGCCTTTTCCGATCGGAAGGCTATACCGAACCCTGAAGGCAAAATTATGGGCGTGAGTGCAATGTTCCGTCGTGCAGTATCCCGACTTCATCAAGAACAGGGTTATTCTTACGAGTGCGCCGTCGTTATGCCGAACCTGCCGGCATTGTTGTCGACCACTTGATCCAGATGTCTCCTTCGCCAGCTCATCGACTTCAGATGGAAGTGCCACCCAAAGGCCGCTCCAAACTCGCAAGGAGGCGGCAGGCGAGCGCGCCCACGGAGGTCGTGGACGTCGGTAGTGTGGTGACACACTCAGCCAGACCGGCAATATCAATGAAATCGTCGCGGAGCCCATGCGGGATGCATGCCGACGGGGCCACGAGGATCGCAAGAAATCAAATCAAGGGCCGAGGCGCCGCCTCCCGTCTAATCCCCACAAGCGCCTATACGCGCAGTCATTACGCGACGGCGTGCCCATTCAGTTCGTGGAACAAGCGTTTCAACGCAAAACCTTGGTCAATCGAACATCCGTCACTGTGACCTGTGGAAGCAGAAGCGGGGAAAGGGTCACTCAGGCGGTATCGAGACGCGTCGCTAGTGCAGCCAGACGCGAACGCACGGGCTCCCTTCCGCGTGCGCAGAGCTGTATAAATATCTGGGGGATGAGGCATCCCAGTCTTCATCGCGTCCTTCCAGTCGCATTTCTCTCGTATCCCAGCTCTCAAGCAAACACCTACCCACAGTCACTCTTTACCCAACCACCCACGCTCACTATGTTCGCCCGTGCCGCCGCTTTCTCCCTCCTTGCCCTCCCTATCTTTGCGGCCGCTTCCCCTGTCCGCCGCGGCAACTGCAACACTGGATCTGTCCAGTGCTGCAACTCTCTTGAGAGCGTGAGTGATGCAGTCTAGTCTTTACTCGCGCCGATGCTGACAGTTATTGTTCGCAGTCCGACAACAACGCTGTTTCGCTCCTCCTGGGGCTCTTAGGCGTGACGCTCCAGGGTATCACTGGTTCCGTCGGGCTTCAGTGCTCGCCCCTCCAAGTTGTTGGTCTTGGCAGTGGGAGCGCGTGCTCTCAGCAGCCCGTCTGCTGCCAAAACAACAATGTCGTAAGTGTAGTGCCATTGTTAATTGCCCACGTCCTTGCTTACCAGATTCTGCAGGGTGGTCTGATCTCCATCGGCTGTGTCCCGATCGAACTTTAGGTTTGGGGTTGGATTTTGCCGGGATTGGATCGTCTTGGAATAGGGATTTAGGCTACAGTAATGCGAACCTAATATTACGCCATTGGCATTTGAACTCCATCGTGTATTGCCTCACCGGTGGTGAGTTAATCGAGCTAGGGGACAACGACCCGCGGATGTGTCGTGTGCCTCTTTAGCCTTGGCAGATTGGTGGTCTTCAATGGTGGTGTCGCTAGCGTCTGAGGTCATTCACACATAAGTGACTATTGGGGGTCATGTGGGTTTCCTGTATTGCGGTTGGTGATAGCGATACGATAGTACGTGCAGAATCAAAACAATGGCGACGGTATAGAACAAGATGTCTCAGACGATGAGGTATCTGCGATAGTCAGGGATCCGCGTCCAGTCTGCGTTGATGTGCTTGGAGCCGACACGAGTAACGCCGTCTGTGTGGTCGCTCTCGAGATCGAAGTTGGACACTTGTACATGCTGATCTTCGCGCTTCTGCATTGAGCGAATGTTGAGGACACGCCGAACCCAGTGGGGTTTCACGGGCGCGGTACGACTATCGTTTTGCTGAGGCTGGTATGGCAGGCCACGGCGCGACGGCATCGACAGTGTCGACTGATCACGGCTAAGCGTTGAAGCGTTGGCAGTGTTCTGGTCTTCGATACATCCCGTACCTTCGTCGTTGACGGACCAGCCAGCTAAGCAAGTGTGGATCGCACACTTTCCAGAGGCGCAGGAAACGGCATCAGCGTGCGAGATCGCCGTACAATTGACACCAGCAGGGCCACTTCCGGAACGATCGCCGAGAGGGCTCTGGACCGTGCAACCGCCGCCTACGCGATGCATTCGATAAGAAAAACGGAGATTGTGACGATGTACCATACTTACAACTATCCGGACTGGTCTTGACGTCGATGCACTGGAAGCCATCCACGGGGCCGTCGACGTTATCACAAACCTAGTCCACGTGAGGATATTGTCCGGTGATCTCGAGCATGGATCAACGCACCGATTCGTGAGATGCACACGTAGATTGTGCGATCATAACCTCAGGGGCTTCCGCCCGCTTCACTAGCCGCCAAGTCTTCTTGCGGTAGGCAATCAACGGAGCCGACTCGTGCGTCCTTCTTTCCATTTCCTGCAAGACGCACTGGTCGCCGGTAACGATGTACGGCGGGGTACACGAGAACCCACAGACATTATCAGCCGAACACATCGGCTGGGAGTTTGCGGGGTATATACATGTCTGGGAGTAAGGAGAATCGGTGATCTGCAGTTCAAGCGGTCAGCTACAGCCATACCACAAGTCGAAGCAAGGTAGACACACGTATGTTCCAAGTGCTTGCTCCATTATCGAGAGGCTCGTGGTGCCGAGAAGATACGACGCTTCGAGATTGGACTGTAGAAGCGACGGCAGGCTGTTGACACACATGCATGAATTCAAGGTAGCCAGAGTGTCGGATAGAGATCCGGGGACAGCTAGGGAGGATAGCGTAGTGCTGTTGATATAGACGCACGTATCTTGAGAGCTTTGGCGGGGATGGTTACGCAGGTAGGAGACACTGGCTACAGAATGTTCCGCGGAGTAGCCGCGGTAGCGGGAATGCGAAGGAATAGAGCGGGCCCAAATCAAGGGCCCAAAGGACGCCACAAGAGCGAGAAGAGCGGGTGTGGAGTACATGAGGAGATTCGCGAGAGGGAGGAGATGTTAGGGAAACAATGAAGAGGGAGCGCAAGCCAAACCGAAAGTTGACGTAGGGCTTATATCTGCTCAGCTTCAAGAACATGTCACAAAGCCAACATGAGTATGGTGAAGTGGTTGTAGTGATATCCTATCCTCGATCGTATGTTGAGAACGGTACGACAGGGGACGTTGCTATCACATACTGCAATCGAGAAGACGTCAGATTCAAAACTAAGTTTGGATGACGGAGATCTGGAGCGGCTCACCGTCACACTCGAACATATGTCGAGGAGCAGACGCGCGTAGGCGCCGTTCATCATGGTCATCAATAGCCCTCATGCAAGGACAGTAGAGCCATTACTCGCACCTCCCCACATTTCTTCACCCGTTTCAACTTCGAGACTTGTTGGCAAGAGTGAACTATGATCACATCTTTTGGAGCCCATCTGTCTTGCAATCAATAGATACCACCGATATTGCGCAAGATGGGGTACGGAAAATGACGAGAGAGCATCGACCGCATTGGAACTGAGACGCCCCGCCGCTGGGGTGCCAAATTGGGAATTGAGCGCGTGCGCATGACGGCGCTCTATCCACTTCGGGCAATCTAGGCGCCCGGACAGCGGGCCACGCAGGGGGGCGACAATCTTCAGCATCTACTGCCATAATCCGGTAGCGCCCGAAGCAGTTTAAACACCGTGTTCGACCATCCCAATATCGTCCTTCGACTGTTCATGGCAATGCCTCACTACACTCTTTCTGATAGTCCGACGAGTCAGAACATTGGCACGTCGTTTCATGCCAATCTCCCCTCTCACCCCATGCGTATTCCCCCCAAAGGGTCACACCACGTAGGTTGGGGTATCAATCGTACCGAGTCTCCTTAGCGGCTCATAATCCCTGCTCAGGTAGCTGCATCTCGACGCGCGCATGCTTAGAGTTCGTGAGTAGTCTATTTCCGAATCTACTGCGGAACGTATAATCAATGCGCACCGCTCGGGCTTCTTGCCTTGACCCTTGCCCCGCGTCCAATTGCACCCTATCTTCTGACCTGTCTTCTAAATCGCACTCTTGCCACCTCGCCGCCTTGTGTTCCGTTTGACATACTCTCCGCTCCTTCGTCCGACCCTGAATCTTCCCATCCCCTGCGGTCGGTGTGACACAGCTTCCCAGGAGACCAATACCCGTCTCACCAGTCATCTCAGATGGTGAGAACCCACACGGAAGTTGTGCGGGATGTCAGGCCTACATCCATTCAGGGGTTCTCACACACGGCATCTATCGCGTGGCTGTACATACCTTATCCAGACGTCTGCGTCGAGATCTCTAGAGTCGCGAAGATCTGCGGTGCCTTCGCGCCCGCGGAGGAGAGCGATGTGACCTCCTGGTCTGTCTCCTTCGGTTCCAGGCCTTCAGGAATTGCGGACACGTTCCTGTAGACGTCAATCTGCCCTACGTATTTGCATTCGAAGAGAACAGGACGAGCTCAATGTAGAAGGCGGGTTTCAGGCGAAGTCTCGAGTGCGACACAGGAGGTATATTCGATCACCTTCTCAGACGCAAACCGTACATGACACGACTCATATTACTACGACGCTCAAGGACGTGCTCGCTTCCACCAACCTGCCGAACACGCCTCAAATGGCCATAGGCACCTGGCTTAAAGGGTGACGGGGACACAGCCAATAGAGATGAGGCCGCCCTACAGAGAGAACGGTGAGTACGTCATGACGTGCCGAAATATCAGGAAACGGTACTGACAAGGCTGTTGTCCTGGCAGCACACAGCGTTGGCCGAGCACGCGTTGCCGGTGCCGACACCGATGACGGAGATAGGGGAGCAGGAGAGGCCGACGGCGACGGTGAGGTCCTGGAGGACGATACCGAGCAGGCCAAGGATCCCGGCAGCAGCAGGGTCGCTAGCCTGTGCATTATACCACGGTGAGCAAATTGTCGAATACAAAGCCGCAAATGTTGGGCGCACTGACCGTCGTGACAGTGTTGCAGCACTGCACAGGGCCAGTGGAGCAGGAACTAGCAGGCTCTCCGCGGCCCTCGAGGGGGGTGGCGGCCGCAAGGAGGGGAAGGGCAACGAGGGCGAAAGCAGCGACGCGGGGGAACATGTTTGCGCTGGTGAGTGGAATGCGAATTGGAAGATCGAGTTGTGAGAGGGCTGAACAGTGTAGACCTGAAGCCTGGAGGCCGTCTTCGTTGGATGTCGACCTCCTTATATACCTCGCAAGTCGCCTTCAATTTTTGACGAAGGTCAACGTAAGTGCGTTTCGAGAGTGGCGCACCGAGACGCTGACACTGACCCAAGAACTCGCGTACGTGACATAGACGTGCTGAGACTGGCGGCTCTAGCTCGCTTGAGGCGCGGATAATCACTCCTCAAGACCCGTTCCATCAACAGCCCGCACGTTCCCGACAGGATGATATGACTGACTCTAACATAATGTTCTCCCCATGTCTGTGTTACGTGCGCATGTACGACCCCCAAGCTGGGACAGCTCCAACGGACCGTGTCAGACCTACCCTCCTATTCCGTTCCCAATCTCGTCCCCGGATGAATCCTCAAGCGTCACAGGAGAACAGCGGCCCATGTCTGCTGTCTCCATACTTTGTGTCTTTTGACGTGAGCCCCTCTAGACTGGACGCACGAGGCGCTACTGGGGATCAAACGGCCGTCGGCCTCGATCCTTCTCCTCGCCTCCACCCTGCGCCCGCACACGGTCACCGCAACTTGCGTAAAGGTGATTGCGGACTCTTACTTTGAATTTCCCAAATTCGCTGCCGCTCTGGGTTTTTCGCGCTGAAAACCTGTTCCGCTCGTGGAGTATTTTGGGGTTGCAGCGCTGGGAGACGGGGATCGCGCTCGAGCCTGAGCACACCGTGGGTGCGGCGCCTGGACTAGGACGCGTCGGAGGTCCCCGCCGAGCTTTCCGCGCCTCGTTCCTTCCCTTACCACTTCGGCCAAGTGGCCTACTAACGCGTGTCAGAGCGGTCGGTGATCGCATGTCTGCAGCATGTCGCGCTTGCAATTGACATGGTTCGCTCGGTAGTTTTTTAGGGTCAAGGTCGTGACGCAAGCGGTACCCTGTTCCTAGAGAATCAGTGCCGAGCATTTGTCTGTTGACCATCTAGGATGGATAGATTCCGGAGCCGGACGAATGTGCATCATCCTGCTGGCGCGTCCGCCGTATACCCGCTTGCAGGCGCGCGCACTGGTGCTTATGGTATCATTCGTTGGGCAGATGGACGTGCACATGTGCCGTGACTCACGGCATCATCGTTCAGGGAGCCGTTAGGGTTGCTGCTCCAAATCTTACACGCCTTGAATTTGTAACTATATCTCTCGGGCGTTCTCCCCGGTACTCGGAGAACGCAGATAAATAGACGGAGACAAGGTGTCGAGAGAGCGGAACAACAGACGCGTCTGAAAGCGCCTCAGAAGGTCAATAGCCGCGCAGGTCAGTCGGACCCACTGAAGTGACGCAGGAGATGCCTTCGTTTGCGCAGAAGGTACGGTACATAGGAGTATTGACAGGTTGCGCCACAGACATACGGTGCAAGGGGTGCCCAAGTGGTCTTTCTCGTCGCTTTCTCCTTCATCGCCTCGGACTCCGAGAAAGCTTCTCGTGAGGATAAAGGAGATCTACGCAATTGTAGCTAATACGGCTGAGGAGGACCGGGTTGTGTCAAGCCTGCTCACCCGGTGGAAGCGCAAATACTATCAGGTGAGAAGAAGACTGGCACGACATGTGTCGCTGAGGGCTGCGTGTGTATTCCGTCCACGTTCAAGTTCTTGTGACCATGACGTTGCGATGACGCTGTGGACTTCATCAATACATACCCAGCGCTGTGAGAGCGCACGCATCTGTTGACAGCATCGACAGACGTGACGGTTCCGCAGATATGAACAGGGCCGTAAGCCGATGGCCAACAACGGTCACTTCTCCGGAAAGATTTGACCAGACAACAGCGCGCCGACCCAAGTTTAGCTGACCGAATGTTCATTCTAAGATGTGGGGACGTTGAGGATGCGAACCATCATAGAAACATCTGTAATGAACGATTGGAGTCCTCCCGAATGGACATCATGTCAAGGATGTCGAACTTTCCCAAATGCCAATGAGTGCGATGCCGTCATTTTGAAGGAGGTATTGTAAGTGTAGAGGCGCCATCACAACCTTGTAATGGGTCCGATACGCTGAGAATGGCCTTCAAGCTTGTAGTAAGGACGCAAGGCCAGGGCGCGCGAGCCCGACAGCGAAGACCATGGTATAAAGTTACCTGCAGATGAGGCAATGAACGCAACACATACAAGCTGTGTACCTGGGCGGTTACATAAGGAGCGATGGGAGCCCCAAATACACGATGCCACCGGTACGCAAGCCGCCGCGTCCGAACGGAAATGAGAACGCAGCGAGTTTCAAGATGTGGAGTAGTCGTCAATTCAATCGCCTGACCAGCCGTACTTAGCTTGAGTTTAAGGCACAAGAGGGGCTTGTGCAGGTCATATGGGTCCTGTGAGACGACCATTCAGACGAGCCAATGTGTTCGTTGAGAACGATGTGTGACGCCGCGTGTCACGGACGAGCAACCAACTTCTAAGTCAACCCGTGAACGGAAAGGCGCCCGATGGCACAACAAACGGTCGCCGAGGAAGCCTCGCGGAAGAGCCCGACAACTGCTGTTTCGTCTTGCTTCCGATGATCCTCTTGTACCATAATGTCTTCCTTGTCCCCTCGCACGACACACGTTTTCGGACCATTTAAACGATATGCTCTCTCCGTTGGCAGTTACTCCACGATCGCATGCTAGGCGGCGTGAATGCGGACATTGATCCCAAGCATTGAGAGGTGGTCTTCTGGCACACTATACACTCTCTACAGCAAGGTCTCGCTATTCAATTGTGATGCCTCAGCAACGCGGAGATTCGGCGGCGTCGCCATTCCGTAAGTGATCGAAAGCTTTTGCTCTTCGAAGCGCAGGTATCCGGGCATGAAGTCATCAGGTAAGGTGGTATGTGCCGGACGTGCTGCCTTGTGTCTTGGCTCCGCGCGTTCACCTGTATGCTGGAGAGATATGGCGCAAATGTATCGTAACTTTCTCCGTCGCCGATGCAGCCTGCGGGTGCGGAGCTAAGTAAAAGTCCACTGAACCGAGACCTCTTGGCGGTGCGTCATGCGTTGTTACCTTTCTCCCCTGTTCAAATCATAGTTTCTGATAGTTTCTGTGTCTAGATCAACGATATCGCACGCATTGTGCTCCTAGGCGCGTGTCAGCCCAAGACGTCAAGATGCTGTCCGCCCTCGCTACCCCGTCGGTTCTCATCCGCAGAACTATCTCCCCCGAGAGTCCAGTCATCTGTGCCAGACTGCGTTTATTGATTGTCGTTCGTCATACTTCGCCCCCAGGGCTCTTCGCACCTTCTCATTGGCTCCCATCCCATCCTCAGAGGCCCCTTCAAGGAGCCGATGCTGAATACGCATCGTCATGCTCGACGCAGGTCCGAGCGCGCGGCACACACCCAACGAGACATATAAGAGCCACCTGCTTCCCAACACCTATCTGCAGCTCGAACCCGCCTTTCAAGCAGTTCACAGCTACTCCTTACAGCACTCTCAACCGCAATAGCCTTCCAGTCGAGATGTTTTCGCGCGCCGTTACCTTCTTCTACATCCTCCTTTCCCTCACTATCCTTGCGGCCGCCATGCCCGGAGGTTCTCCCCCGGCGTCCCCCACCAAGACTGTCACGTTCACCGCCCCCGCGGCGAGCTCTACCAGCGCGGGCTCCTGCTCTACTGGCGCCATTCAGTGCTGCCACTCCGTGCAGAGCGTACGCATGAGATTGCAGAACTGCTTTCCCCATTACTGACTTCTGATGCAATGACAGGCAAGCGACCCCGCCGCATCGCTCCTTCTTGGCCTGCTCGGCATCGTCGTCCAAGGTGTGGACGTCCTTGTGGGTCTCACCTGCTCTCCCATCACCGTCATCGGTGTCGGCGGCGGCGAGTGCTCGGCCACGGCTGTGTGCTGCCAGGACAACAGCCATGTCAGTATCGTTTCCTGATATCTCGGCACCTAACGACCTACTCACTGCTCTCTCTGTAGGGCGGCCTCATCTCCGTCGGCTGTCTCCCCATCAGCCTCTAAGGACGCAGCGCCTCCCGCAACCCTAGGCGCCGCGCGTTCGGCGCGTCGGGGTTGGAGTCCGGCTGCTCGCACAACAGAATCGGCATATGACAGTGTATTGATGTAGTTTGTAACTGCGCGAGTCCGAACGAGTAGGAGTCAGTCGTACGAGGAGCTCGAGCAATCATGAATGACTTTGGCTCGAGTTGGCGAATGCGTGAGTCTCGCGAGGTCGTCTATACTACCTACCTTGTCAGGTAAACTCCCGCCGTCATGCGAAGCTGTGCTCGGCGTGGTGTGCATCCAGTATCGGCAAGCGTCTGTGTCTGTGTTGACAGTTCGGCGCAACTAAGCTCAGCCACTAAGCCTAAGGCAGTCTAACACGACGGGCAGCGCTCACACGACGGGCATTGGCCAATCCCCTGGACCCAAACCGGGACAGAGAAATGGCCTGGGAATGTCTCCGGTCCTGTTTGGGACCGCAGCATTGGCCAATGCCCGTCGTGTCAGAATACCTTCGCGTGAAACGGATGTCTGTTTGCGAGACAGTCCTAACTTGTCCCTTTGCCGACGCGGGTCGAAGGGCGCTAAAGGGTCGGCAATGAGGAAGTTGTACTCGCCCAGAGGTTCTGCAGCCCTTTCAGAAAAAACGATGTGAGGCGGTGCCCGTCGCGTAATTATAAGCTAAGTACCAGCCCTAGGCTGCCGAATTAGCGAGAAGTCATTTCCTGATTTGGAAGCCCGATTATCTCGTGGGATCATCGTCCCAGCCGAGTACTTGCGAGCTACTCTTCGCATGGTTGTGCACCTTGAACAAGAGCATCCATCGCCTTGCATCCGCTGAAGCCAACGCACGGTTGCGAGAATATTGCTGCCACTCACCGTACCTGACGGGCATGCTATGCCACAGTTGTGCTCTAGTACGTGGCCGCGCGACGGCAGCAGAAGGCGCGTGACGTCGCGACGCACACAACGCCGCGACCACCAACCTCGTGTGAGCCATCGCTGCTGCATCTTCTCATCCGACAAACGCGCACACTTACTTCGATCCTGCCAGCCTACGGGGCCCGTTAGCCTCCCCGCATCATCGAGGCCGCTATGCCGCCGCACGCACACATGCTCACCAGGAAAGCCGCACGCAACGAGGACCGCACCGAGTCCCTCCCCACGCCAAGCGGGCCGCGCGTACTTTCCAGCTACGAACGCTGCGGCCGTCCCATGCATATCTCCGTGTATGTCGCCAAAACACCTCCAGACGTCCAGAGATCCCGGTAAGTCGGTGCGCCTGACATACCTCGCCGTGATACACGTCACGGCCGCGGCCGACCCCCGCTCCCTATGATCAGACGGACGTGCGGGCCACACCGCCCTCGGCGGACATGCCTCCGACCTCCGACGGGCAGCTGGTGAGCAAGAGCCGAGCAATGGTTGTCCAGACCCGTGTGGATACTACAATAGAACATGCATGTTCTATTGTATACGGCCCGACCCGTAGGTCTCGGACGGGCCCAGGAAAGCCCATACACCACACGGCAGGGAACCAGTTGTTTTCGATCCTCGAAAAGGCGGTGAGAAGGGGACGCGTTAGTTCCCCCTTCCTCGCCATAATCGGGCAACTTTTTGCGCCGTTACAGCGATTACTACCGGAAGAATTTCCCACGACTTTCGGCGTGGCGAAAACAATATCTGCTGCAAATATTGCTTTCCGACCATCGAGAAGTGGTCGTGTTGTTTACGATAATGGCGACTTTCTCCCTATTCTATACGTCATTGGATTTCCGAGGCCATATATCAACGGGGGAAGTGCCCTAGAAGGCAAATAGTCATTTTGCTCGGATGGCCAAAAGGGGTTGGCGCTGCACGAAATAGGTGGAAAGTTGCCATGATGGTAAATGCTATGACCGCTTTTCGACAGTCGAGAAGCTCTGAGAATGGACATTGATCTCGCCATGTCAGCACTCACGGGAACCTGATGAGGCAGTGTACCATTTATCAGCCCGAAAACTTGTCCAATAGTGGCGAGGAAGGTAAACTATTGCGTCCCCTTTCTTCTGCCTTTCCGAGGGTCGAAAACATTCGGTTCCCTACCGTGCCACCGTCGTATGAACGGCTGTACCACATGCTTGGAAACCACGAATCAGCTCTCCGGGTCGAACAAGCACGGGCGGTTCAGAGCTAGTACTCTCTGCTCTCGTGTTTACTCCGTCAATCGGCAGCTCTACTTATCAAAGATGCTCCCCTGCGCGGTACATGTCTCGTTCATACTCTTCCTCCCGATCCTAGCTGATCACTCTGTCGAGTCTGAGCGTCGGAACCAGTCTCTGGCTCTGACTTAGGTTACTAACAACTTCAAATCGCCCAGAGTAGACTCCGATCGCATGTGCGGCACTCTGACGATTGCTGCTCCATCATCAGGCGAACCTGTCATCATCTATATTCCTGTGATATTGGAAGACGTTCTCAAATATCGTCGGAAGGACCATTCAGTCGGGGGCTCTGCTATTCTTGCGATGCAGGCGAAGGCAGCAGTGTGGTGCTGACAGTACTACGTCCCCGCGCGGACTTGTTCGATAGCCTGCAGAGGAAGCCGAGGGAAGGCAAGGCAATATTGGACTTCTCTTCCTACCGGTTCGGGAACCTAGCAAGGCACGCGGCCCCGGTTCTGTACGTCGAGCCACCGACCTGACTTTTCCAGGCTGACTGCGGGTCCGCTACATAGTATGGACGAGACGGGGATTGTCGAGTCGAGCACGCATGACGAGTTGCTGGGAAAGAAGGGCGAGTACGCGCGGCTTTGCAACCCGCATCGTGTATGTTAATCTGGAAGGGTAGGCTGCAAGGGCCCAATGTGTAGATTGTCCAATAATCACGTCGATCTCGGTTATGATGCATGGATGATCTCATATGACTTGTCGTTGCGGTACAGGACGCGCGCCCGTCCCTCGCGTTGGCACACCCTAGGGCTTATATGTAAGACAGATTAGACGTTGTCGCCCCTCCCTACCGTCGAGTGTCGTACGCGAGCAAACGTGGAAAGTTCAAGAACACGATGCTTGCTGTCTGCGTTGATACTCGGCAGCAAAGGACGGAAAGGTATCACAGGACAAGCTACGCCGACTGTAGAACCACAAGCTACTCTTTTGGGGTTCCTGCTGTTTACCCATCACAAAAAGATAGGGACGCAGCCTATGTTCACAAGTCCTCCCTGAAGGATATGCTTGAGCGTACAAACATCATGGCGAAGCATGAAAACTCCTTACATAGGAGTGGTTGTCGCAACAGACGGGAGTTTGTGCACAGGTGGAACCGTCCACGGAGCCAGTATTGATCGGGCTGCAGTTGATGGCGAGGAGGTCTCCGGTAGACTCGAGCGCAAGCCCGAGCAGCGTGATGATGGCGCTGCCCGTGGGCGAGTTCGTCTGCAAGTCTGAGGGTCAGGCTTCTATTGTCTCAAGTCAAGCGACGTGCGCGAGTATCACCTCAGTGGTGTCTTCGCAGCACTGGATGGGACCGGTGTTGCAGTCGTACGGGTCTCCACGAGTGACGAAGGCGGCGGCAAGAGAAGACGCTGCGAGGACAGCAGAAAAGACAGCGTAGAGATGCATGACCATTAATGTGGACGGCGGTGACAGCCTGACGGGGCAAGAGCCAATGAGCGTAGTAAGAAGCGGCGCGCGACGAACTGGAGGAGCTGGCGGACTCGGCGCAACACCTCCGGCGTTTTATGCAGCGGTGTGTGGACCCCTATGCTGCTCAGCCAGCACAGCGGCGTTGACTCACTCGCGGCAGCCAGAGGAGTGCTTCCCGATCCGTGGAGTTGTCTTTCAGTTCTGCACTGGGCTCGTAGAACCCGCCTGCGTCCTAATCCGGCAAGGCCGCGTCCCGACCGAGTAGGAGTGCGACATGTGAGGGTGTATGGTGGAATGAATGAACACGATCGGGCAGGGAAGGTGTAGCTCGCCTCAAAGTCAACGACGGGCGACGGGCAGTGGCGTTGCGGATCGACAGAGAGCAGTCAGCGATACTTGGGAACGCGTTTCTTCACAGAAGGCTCCTACCTGAATGTCACGGAGAGGCTACAACAGATGGCCTGTTCGGAGCAAACCCGGCTGTGGGCCTGCCGAGGCCCCAAGTGAAGCGAGGGGACCTGGACAGAAGCGTCTCAGGCCCTGGACATCAGTGGGTCACATCGACGCGTCTTCACGCAACTAGATTTCGGTTCACTTACTATCATATGCGGTGTGCGTGTCGAGCAATATTCTATCCGACGTCCTGTCATGTCTGCGGCGTGCGCTCAGAAGCCCCCCAGACGTCCTAGTACCAACGCCTGCCAACGAAGCCGTGTCTGTCAGGAAACGCGCGGGGGATCTCCTTGAGGTTCGTAGGTTTCACGACTGCTCAGAAGCGAAGTATCAGACACAGGCTTGCGCCGCATGGATGGGACCCCGGTGAGGAGTCATTCCCTCTCATCCTGTGATGTCTGCAGCTTCGGGCTCCCATCTCGGGATAGCGCCGGGACGGGTCTCCGACGACCACGGCGAGAACCTGATAAACCGGAGAGCTCTCAACCTCCCCGTAGCGGGGAAGGCATGCGGGGCACAGCATGCCGCAGACTCTGGCAGCCCGATGGCATGTCCGCTGCTGACCGTGGTTCGGAGTCGACGCTTATGGGGCGGCATGAGCGGGCAGTGTGAGTCCAGGAGGCTGCTGATCAGAACGCAGAACCCTGCACAAACCGAGTCTATCGGGCGATCCAGCACATTCCCTCATACAGAACTGTGAGGCGTACTCTTTGACCTGACGTGATAGTTCCGAGGGACGAGCTGAAAGTAGAAGTGGGAATCAGCAATGAGAATAACTGCCTCATGTGGAGGAAGCGTACTGGAGAGCGACAGATGTGCGTCTACAGCGCAACAAAGTTTCAACAGCTAGCATGCTGCGGCCGCACATCGTTGACACTGTGGGCGGCATCTGGCACGATGAAGACGTCGTGCGGGTGAAGGGGCGGATTTCATAGCGCGAAGAAGGCTCTATGATCAGCTGTGCAAACGAACACCTCGCTGCCCGACCACGAAGAAAGAAGGCATGCGAAGTGAGTTGAAACGGGACCTGGGCATTGGAGCCTTCAGCAACCATTCCAGGGTGGACGTCGGAACTGCTCCCCACCAACAACAGACCGGGATTCTGTGCGCCATATCGGTTGCAGACAGAGAGTCTCATTATATTATAGGACGGGAAAACAACCAGCAAGGAGGCAGAAGCACGCGTCGCCTGCACGTCTTCCAAATGGGAGATTCGCAGGGCCTTCTCGCCAGTTCCTGGATCGGAATCGAGCAGCCCCGCCATGATCGCTCGTGCGCTCACCGTACAACGTCAACTCCGATGACCGTTGCAATATATCTCCGGAGGACGCCGTGCACGGGTCAACGCGGCCCCTGCCACCGTAGATGCCACCGTAGACCTGACAAGCACAAGGCTAAGGTGCCCCTGCTTAGTCGTGTGCACAAAAGGCAGCCGTTCCGATATATTGCAAGCGCCTCGCGCCCAAGGCGTCTCTGGCCAACCTTGAGGAGAAACAGAAGGGGTCAGCAAACCCCCGCGACGGGTCATCTTTACGAATGGCCGACCATGGGACTGATGGCATACCCGTGACAGTGCCCGGTGGAAGGGGCTTGGCGGACGACTGCCATGGGTAGCATAGAACCGTCCTCGGCACAAGAGTGACCCATGACTGCCACCAGCAACGCGGACGTTGAGATGTTAAAGAAGAGTTCGATAGAGTTGGGTTTCCCTCGGACAATTGGCATGATAGTCTGTCAACAAGTCTTCAGTCCGAACACGACGCGTCAGTAGTATTACGGGTCTGTTTTGCACCTGCGAAGAGGCGATGTCCCGTCGGCAGACAGGCGAATTGGTACAGATCCCCACGGACGACCGCACCGGCCAAGGTCGCGGGCGTGACTAGGGACGAAAGCGTCGCTTCGCTGAGGACCGCCCGACGAGGCCAGCAAGCGACGCCTGGAGTCACACGAAGACCTGCTCAGAGTCCCGTCAGCGTCCTATAAGGCCTATCGACTCCACAAAGTAGACCTGCCTCACCGGCCGTACTGAAACCAAAGTGCCAACGTGCTCCCTCACTTTGTCGCTGTCCTCCCGGTCGTCGCCGCCCTTGCTGTTGACAACGAGCCTACAGCCACTGCCACCATAACCGCGCCCGGCCCCCTGAAGGGCACGACCTCATGTACAATGACGACGTTTAGTGCTAGAACGGGCTTCATACATACGCTTTTGACGTCATTTGAACATATGCGGCTTGCGTAGCTGACGCTTCCCGCTGCGGTAGGCGATCCCGTCACCTCCGATTATTCGGTGTCCTTAGCTTTGTCATTGTCGTTCGGGGCGTCGACGTCGTGTTCGGGCTCACTTCCTCGCTCCACAACGTCCTCAGCCTCCAGACCGGCAAGCGATCCGAGCAGGCAGTAAGCTGCAACGACAACGGCTTCGTCAGTGTCTACCCTCTTGTGAGTTCAAATATCGGCCATACCATCGATGCTGTGTCGGCAATTTGAATTTACGGCATCTGGCCGTTTGTACGCCTATAAGTTTCCATAGCTTACTGTATATCTGCTCAGTGCGAGAGAGTGCTTGGCCATTATGGATCTGCATGCATTCTGACACCCCCCATTCCACCCCATCTGTAGATAGCTCATAGAAGCTCTGGCAAGGGATTTCCACGAGCCCTGCCTGGGATTGTATCAGTGGTCCTCTTCCGTACAGTTCAAAATAGGCGAACCAGTCACTTCGACGGTCAGAAGCCTTCTTGAGCCACAAATCCCCTGCGCATCAATGCGCTCATCGCGCCTATGTGCATAGCTTGCAATCGAAAGCGAGAATGGACATGATGTGACGATACATGATACGAACTAGTCCATACGACCCTTGAGCGTGCGCTTGATAACCTTGTCTTTCGTCCTGAGGACCCATTGTCAGTACTCCATTCCCACCGCAGCAATCGCAGAGCCCGAAGCCGAGGTAGAGCCACTCACAGAACGTACACCTCCGCCCCCCAACCCGAGTACGCGTCCCGGTCGACCGCGTTCAGCAGCGTCTGCGAGATCGTCTCGAACAAGTCCTCCGGCTCCAGGTCCGGCTCCCACAGGCCCTCCGCCACACCGAACAGCTTGGTGCTCGCGGTGCCCGCGACGACGAAGTCCTTCGCAAAGTTCAGGCAGCCGATGAGGTCCGTCGCGGCGATGTACGGCTTGTAGCTGCCGTCGTGCGTCTTCTGAAGCCCGGCCATGACGGGCTCGATGAACCAGGGGCCGAAGCGGCGCTCGTAGAGGGTGGAGGAGACGAGGTGGGCGAAGGTCTCGGGCTCGATCTCGCGTTCCTCCTTGATGGTGAACATGTTTACACGGTAGCGGAACGTCTCCTTCCTGTGGAGGGGTTCATTCGTTGATCAGGGAGCACTTGGAAGACGAATAGCAAGATGACGAACAATGTTGTTACATCTGTCGCAAGTCCGGGAAGACCCAAGAATATTCGGTTGGTCATGGGGAAGATCTAGTGAACGCAAGATATTTGCAGGAGTGAGTCGTCCGAGTCATACACAGGACTGAAGAAGCGCACCTTCTGAAAGTTGGAGGAGATGCCCAGCGCCTGATTTCCTAGTCGCAGATCGGAGGCAATGGCGACACAGTCCTTCCCCACCATGGCGATCACGGAGCCACCGTTATATTCCATAATCGACTGCGATGGAAGCCCTTCAGTGAATGCTCTTGAGTCAGTCCCTCAGCTTACTGACCATGTTGGGCGGGTGTTACGTGGGTAAGAGCTGGGGAAGTGGGCGGAAAGGAGGAAAGGATGGAAAGGAACGCGTAAGTGAGGCTGCTCGAATGCTTCCTCCATGGACGCGTACGCCGAACGCGTCAGTCGGTCACGCCTCGTCACGCTCGTTACGCGTCCCATTGACGGCTGTCGCGCCGGCCACCCGGACGCTCGAAATCTCGCCTCCCGCTTCCCCACCTTGCAGACGATGGTTTACTGCGTGGGTCGGAGATATCGTACCAATATCTCTTTCGATTCATATCGATCGCAAATGCGACCTGCATTCTGCTACTGCTCAGTTATCACTCAGCTTCCCGCGCGACAACTTCGACTAGTATGTCTGATCCATCGTAGTACCTCAATGCATAAGTAGGCACTCTCCTATGACCAAGTGCGATCCGATGCGATTCCTCCGAGATTTACTCCTACAAACTACATGCAATGCATTCGCTGCTACTGATGTGCCCCAAACAGAGACATATTCGCTCCTCAATCCTTGTTGAGCTCCGCCTGGCGAGCCCTCAACTGCTCTCTGCTCTGAAACATGAGCTCTGTCAGCAAGAAGACAATAGCACCTGGGCGAAATGCCAACTACCTGGGGCGGCGGGAGATTGTTCGCGATGTGCGCGGGTGGGATGTAAGGATCCCGCGCATGAAATGCGCCGTACTCGGGGTTGCTGTTCAGGCCACCTCCGGGCTGAGGGGGCTCAAGATCGCGAGGATCGTTCGTTTTCTGTAGACGTGTCCGTATGAGATAATCTATTGACTAGTGATGAACAAGGCGAATTGCTTACAGCAGGGTGGGGCTGGATGCTGTAGGTGGGCTGACTGCCCTGGGTTGGGGCAGAATCAGAGTTGGTATTGCCCTTGCCGGTGGTCTTCTGCTTAATTTTGTTGACGACGGAGGACATGGTGTTTGTACGGTGGAGTAGATAGGTATGTGGTACGAGGTATCTGAGGGTGAGAGTTCTGAGATTGGTGAGGCAAGCCACCGTGGAGAGGAGCCTCTTATATGGCTCAGCCGCAGCCGCAGCGCAGCCCCTCGGCCGGGGGATGACGATCGAATGGGGCCAGCTGGAGGAGTGGCTGTGGCTGCGCGGGGTCTTTGTCATGACGTCTTCGCTCCTGCAGTCGGTATGTAGTGGCCGGTACTGCCACTTCAACAAGACCGTCTCGCTGACTCCATTGATCTCATGGGACTGCGGCTCGCCATAGAACAACCTCCAAGCTCGATAACGAGCATGGCGCACGCATCAATGGGTCAATAACGATAATGTTTAGACAAGCCGGTTTGGAATTCGTATACAGGCTGCTCAGGGAATAGATACCGTACAAGCGACGTGATAGAAAGTACAACGGGCACAACCGTTTGTTTACTTCGACAGCATCATCTGCAGGCCCAGAAGTCAGATCTAAAGCGGAGCAACGCGATAATATAGCCCATACCTTCACGAACTCTGGAAACGACTAGTCAGACACCGGCAATCGACTTCGACAGATGAGATGAGAAGCGACTCACCCTCGTAGTTGATCTGACCGTCGCCATCAACGTCAGCTTCACGAATCATCTCGTCAACCTCGTGGTCAGAGAGCTTCTCCCCTGTCGACCCCAAGCGAAGACAGTCGCAATCAGTCAGCCGATGTCCCAAAAGACGGACAGAATACAGAATGCATGCGCACCGAGGTTGGTCATGACATGCCGGAGTTCCGCCGCGGAGATGTAGCCGTTGCCGTCCTTGTCGAAGACCTTGAACGCCTCCTTGATCTCCTCCTCGGAGTCCGTGTCGCGCATCTTGCGGGCCATCATCGTCAGGAACTCAGGGAAGTCGATCGTGCCGTTCCCGTCCGCGTCGACCTCGTTGATCATGTCCTGCAGCTCAGCCTCGGTCGGGTTCTGCCCGAGGGAGCGCATGACCGTCCCGAGCTCCTTCGTCGTGATCGTGCCATCGCCATCTGTGTGCGCACACAGGGCAGGTCGTCAGTCAGCGTCCGATACCTGGAGTAGAGCGTCCGAGGAGCATGACGTCGGGTTGCGGGAAGCGGAGCGTAAATAGGTCCAGATACGAGATTATGTGGGAATGTGGATAACGGGCAAAGGGTTGTTGGCAGAGGAAAGATGACGAGCGTTGCTAGGTCTGGTGACTGATGGACGCGCGCACTCACCCTTGTCGAAGAGGGAGAACGCCTCCTTGAACTCTAGAGGGGGGCATCCCGAGGGTCAGTACCGTGCTCGTGTGTCCGGGCGTGCATGCAGCCCAGCAGTGGACGATCTGCATACCAGAGATCTGCTCTATGAGAAGGAGTCAGCAAACGCCGCTCTTGGGGACTCTCACGAGGATAAGGATCACTCACCCTCAGACTGTACGTCGTCGCACAAACGCGAATGTCCCGTTAGTGGTCCTTCCGCCGATCGCGCAGACGTTGTATCGACTCACCAGTTGATCGGCCATGATGGATATAGGGCGTAAAGGAAAGAATGCGGTGGATTGGAGGAAGAGTTCGGGTTATGAGGTGCAGGGGACGACGGCGGTGCTTAAAGAGCGTACAGGATGCAATCCATGGTCCCAACGATCTCTCGGCAATCGCCAGGCCGCTCCAGCGCCTGCACCGGTTGGGTCTTATCTCCCTTCAGCCACAACGCTGTGTGGTACACGAAGGCATGCATTGCATTCGCGCTATATGGAGACCCAGAAGTATCCACTTCGGTCCTATGGGCACTGCAAGGAACGCGATCCAGTGTAAAGCGAGAATACTTATAAGTACGATACAAACGTGCCCGCAAGCGCCTTTCCAGATTCCGGGGCAATGTGGAAAGCAACGAAACGGGCATTACTAGTCCCATTCATCCTCGTCTTCATCGTCCTCATCGTCATCGCTATCCCTCATCCTCTTGTTACGATCCAGAAGCGCTGCCGCGAGCGCAGCGGTAAGATCCCCGCCTCCGCCTCCACCACCAGACGCCGCCGGCTCTTCAGGCGGAGGCGGAGATCGCGCCGGGGGCGGCGAGGTGGTATCGCGTCTCTTGAGAATATGAGTGCCGGCACCGCGAATAGACTCCAACAGAGCGTCACGTCCAGGCGGAGACGCCGGCAAATCCGCTAAAGCACTTGGTCCTCCCCCTGCAGGAGGTGGAGGCGGCGGTGGAGGTGGGGGGGCACCTCCCCCAGTAGGAGGCGGAGGTGGGGGCGGAGGTGGGGGCGGAGCCCCGCCACCCACAGGAGGTGGGGGTGGTGGGGGTGGTGGGGTAGGGGGAGGTGGCGCGCCTCCTGAGGCAGAAGGCGGTGGTGGTGGCGGAGGCGGAGGCGGAGGCGGAGGCGGCACTGCACCGCCTGCACGACCAGGAGGAGGCGGGGGTGGGGGAGGTGCAGCAGAGGGCCGCGCGGGTGGGGCTGGAGGTGGGGGCGGTCCACTCTTCGGACGAGCAGGGGGCGCAGGAGGCGGTACCGGAGCAGCGCGAACAGGAGGTGCGGGGGGCGGCGACGGCTGTCGGGGCGCGGGTGGCGGAACGCTGCGAGGCGGAGGGCGGGATGGAGGCGCAGGCGGAGGCGAAGGGGGCGACGGCTCCGGGGCGTGGGCTGTGCGTCGAGGAGCAGGTGGTGGAGGCGGCTTCTTCTTCGCAGAGCCGGGAGCAGCGGCATTCTTTGCCTCTGATTTCTGCGCGTCACGCACGAAGTCCTTTATGAAGTCCATGTTCTGCTCTAGCACTTCGCGAGACACGCCTTGCCCTTCGAGGTTCGATAAGAATGCCTCCCATGAAGGATCCACGTTTGTGGAAGTGAACCCCTTCTCCGAGTCGTAGCCCATGTGCGCAACATGCTTGAATGAACCCGCGGTGGGGCCGGAGATCATCGACTTGTCGATTTTGCCCTTGCCCGGTTTCGACCCCTTCTTCTTGGTCGTACCAGACTTAGATTTGACTGATACTCGTGATCAGGGACAGAAGTGGTAGAAGCAGGGGGTCCATACCTGTCCCACTCTTTCTCGTCGTCACCTTCTTGTAAAACGTTTTGGCCTCGCTCTCATCGGAGAACACGATACCTATCATGCATTCCTTTCGTGATCCATGCACATCAGTACGCGAGCATGCTGCATCAATGAATACTGCGCGCCACTCACGTCTCCAGCGAAAGAATGGAAGAACGGCCTATCCTGAAAGTACTCGAACCCCTCATAGAGCTCATGTTCCCAGATGATACCGCGTGTGCCGGTGAGATCCACGAGCTTGAGGTTGTACACGCCCTGCTGGTCCCTCACGAAGGCAAGCGCACCCTGGAGCCCAGTATACGACCACTCATTAGGGTTCGGGTGAGCGTAATATATGCGAGCGAGCGCCGCTGTGAGGATCTTGTTGGCCGGGGAATTAACGGCAGCCTTGACTTTCGTCTTCTCATCGTTGGATAGCGTTGATTGAGCAGGCATGGCGTAAGGGGCGATATGAAGGGTAGTGAGATGTGTAAGGGGAAGCTCTGGTATAAGGAGCGCATAAGGAGCGCAGACGGACTGCGCTCCTTGTCACTGCACAGGACCAAGTTGCAGATGTCAGACCCGCAGCAGTGACGCGCGGATGGGAAACGCCTGTGATAACTTAAATAACCTCTCGGGCATCTTATCTCAAAATCCCTTTTCGCCGCCCTTCACCTCTTCGTACCAGCTCGAGCTGGTTCACTCCCTCAAACGGCGGAAGAACGATAGCAGGCTGTCTCAAATGCATTCAGACTTGTCTGGACAGGTGCACTACAGTGAGGGCGACCGTATGCAGCGATGCGCCGAGTGGGACTTCGCTTGCAGACCCATGCGTGTGATATGCAAGAAAGCACGTTCTAGAATACACATACACAGCGAAAGCGAGAGAGCCAGCCAGACAGCGACAGCGACAGCGGTTGTGCAGCACCAGTGGTACATAGGACTGATAGCGAATCACAGCAAAGTGAATGCAGTCATGAGCTTAGGCTTTTGACGAACTCCAAGGCGAGCTTGGGGCTTTTCATCCACAGTTCCATCAGCGACTTTGAGCCCTATGATGTTGGATGAGCGAACGTACCTGTCGGCGGGCTTCACAGGAATCTTCTTATCGAGTAGCTTGCCGCCCTTTTCAAAGATGAAGTGACTCCGCTTCGTCTTGCCTCCCTCCCCCGCGCCCAGAGCGGTGATGAGCACGCGCTTCGGGTCAGACAGTAATGGATAAGGCAGGTTTTTCTATACGGTGGCACCTCTCTCAAAAAAACAGGTACAAGAGGGAGCCCAATGACCAGCTGACCTTGGTCTGCCACTTTGTTTGAGCAGCAGGCTTGTCCGCGCTCAAGCAGTACACGTCGAAGCCCGACGACGTGAAGTCAGGGTATATATCGCGGAATCCGCAAGCCTGTTGTGTGCAACCAGCTGGATAGCATTTGCGAGGCATGTGGGATTAAATCACCAGTATGCCCTCCTCAAGTGGTTAACGTACGGGTATCAGCCTTAGGCACCAGGAAGACCACGATGCCCTTCTCAGCGGCCAGAGTGGCCACGTCCACGTCTTCATCCTTCTCGTTTTTCAGCGTGTAAGAAGGCAAGACGTCCCCGATATCAATGGGCTGGAGAGCCGTATTTTCTTGAATGTGCCCCAGAGCACTGTCAGCAGGAGGCGTTTGCGTAGTACACACGAGAAAATCACCTTCCGGCGCATCCTCACCGCCCTCTTCCTCGGCAGGCTTCTCAGCCTTGCTCTGCAATCCATGAACACGTTAACACATCTTCCACCCTCTCAAAAAGCCCCAGAAGTGTGAGATCAGCTGCAAACTCACCTTCTTTACGGCGGGCGCGTCCTCCCCGCCCTCGTCGTCCTCAGCATGGGCGGTCCTTTTCTTCGTCTTCGGCGCCGCAGCCTTCTTCGCCGGCTTCTCGACAGGCTCCAGCTTGGGCTGGGCAGAGATCCGCGAGGACCTCCTCGCGGGCTCAACTGTCTCCGTGGATGCCTTCGCGCGCGGGGCCATTCCGTCGGACTTGGGTGGAGACGGTCGTGGTGGTGCGAAAGAAAGCTGGGGGGTGCCTGGGTATCGTCTAAATGGCCCAACGGCCTCGGTAGTCCCCCGTTGATTACATACCGGCCATGGTTAGCGTGCTTCGCGCCTTGCGCCGTTACCTGGACCCCGTGAACATCTGCTGACGCCATGTGGCTGATAACTCGTGTGTCTGGCACAGGCGCATCGAGATTGTATGTCGGGTAGATGAAGGGAGTCTCAGTGAAGCCGAGGCGCGAGTATCGTGCCACAGCCAACTTCTTGAGGTTCTCGTCTACTACCCGTGTTATTCTATCTCTCAAGCTGCCCTAATGGCAGCACCGTCGATCACACCGTGTACTTCTGTTGTGTACGTACGATTTCTTCGAGGGAAAGAACGTTGGTATTCCACGATAGCGAGCTATATATTAATAACTACAATCTGCAGGTACAACAGGCACGGCGGAGTAGACAACACATCGACGCCGGGGCTGCTGCAGGAAGCAGACATGGTAATCTATGGTAGGATGTAGAGATCGCATCATGTGAGACATATGCAAATGTGTCCGGAAAGATGCTGGGGAATCTTGAGTCCTCGCGTATCCAACAGTGTAGGTGCGTGAATGTTCATGTGGACTAGCGAGCACGTGTCAACACAATCCAATGTCCTATCAGACCGCGTCAGCTTCCGAAAGCTCTGCTCAAAGTTGACAGTCCTCACCTTCACGTAGTTGGTTCAGGAGCCTCCTGGATGGAGCTAGATATGGAACTGGTAGATGACCTGCGACCGAGAAGAGGCAGCTTTGCTGCTGATGGCGAGATTGGGCTTGCCGTGACGGAACCAGGCAGACTGCGTGCGTTGTCAACAGGCGACACGACGCTCTGGCCGTCTATCGAGGGCGTCGACGATGACGAGCGCGAACGACGGATGTACGGCCGCGGTGGAGGCTTCTTCGGTTCCTCAAGTGGTGAGATGGGCTTGTCGAGAGGCGGAGGAACCTCGGCACCGTATTCGTCCACCATTCGAGGAGGTGGCCGTTCCACCATAGCCTCCAGCAGCTGTGTGCAATCGTTGTCATGAGCGTCACCCCGAAGGTCGACGATTCGATCAAGCGCACCTCCTTCCTGAGTTCCTCACTATCGTACTCGCCTTCCATATCTTCAGTCGTTAGGAGTACAGCTCCTTTTCTGAAGACCTCCCCCTCCTCTTCTACCAGCCTCCTCGAGCTGCCAAAGTGGTGAGCAAGCACGCTCAAGGTGAACTTAGTGATGCTTACAGGTCCGTCGGAGACACAAGTTCCTCAGGATCCGCCGTCAGTGGGGGCGTCCCCCCCTCTTCGTCGTCCGACTCCGTGATCAAGAACGTTGGACTAAGGACGCTTTCCACCGGCTCCGGTTCTGGCTCGGCTCTACGCTTACCCTTGTCGAGACGCGGTGTGATAGGCTCGTCATCAGACGGCGGCTCGAGCTCCTGTGCACTCGAGGCGCTTCCCTCTGGTGTGTGACCGGTATGGCCGTTGCCCACAGCGTCGCCGTTGCTAGGCTGAATCTCGACTCCCTGAAGCTTGAGGCCTTCAGGCTTGGGCTCCAGTCGGCCGAGGAGATTCATCAGCTCGTCGTTCAATGTGAGCAAGGACTCGAGTCGAGCGGAATCCGTCGTCCTCTCAATCGCGGACACGATGGACCTCATCATCTCCCGAGTCGTCTGCAGTAGCTCGGCATCAGGGCCTTCGATCGACAACAGAGGCGCGGACGACGACGAAGACGATGGTGTACGGGCGAGTAGGTCTTCGAGCTCGGTCTTCCGCGTACGAGCCTGAAGCACAAGGTCGGCCTCGGTCTGTTCCGTGGGAGGGGAAGGGATGTCAGTCGGGTCCCGGGAACTGAGGAGGGAAGAGGTGTCAATCTGCCCCTCAACCTTTTTCTTGTCGTCCTCGCGAATGGATTTCGCCAGCTCGCTCTGCTCGAGCATACCCCAGACGCCCTTGGCCTCGCCTCTCCCCCCCGTCCCAGCTTGAGAGGCCTTCTCAGCCTCCTCAGTGTTCCGTACGCACGACTCGAGGATGTCGCGACACATTCTGGCCTTTGCTATCAGTATTGCCCAGGGCGTCAATATCGCTGCACTGCTCACCTGGCCATTCCTTCGTCTCCTGGAGGTATGTTCAGATCCAAGCACCGCATCACGTGGTTGGCCCTAAGGCCTGAGCTCAGAGCCATAACACCCGCGAGGTCCAGGTTGTTCATCGTGAGGTCCAAATGCAGCAATGAAGCAGACTCCGGCAAGAACTCTGCCAACGCGATGGCACCTGCGGACGTCATTGACGTTGAGGAAAGGAATAATCGCTTGAGCGCGTTGTTGAGAGTGAACGCTGTTCTGAGGGATTGGATCTGGGAAAAGTTATGAGAAACGAAGAGGAATATCGTCCGTGCAACTCACCCCCTCCAAGCCCGGGCCACAACAAGGGTTCTTACTCAAATCTAGCGTCTCCAAGCAAGAATTGTATTTCTATACGAAAGGACCGCATGAGCTCGGACGGATGAAATAGCGGGGTGTGAAATTGACGCACCAACGCCTCAGCAACCGCAACAAGACCCTGAACATCGAGTTTGTTCTCGCTCAGATTGAGCACCTTGAGGGTCCGATTGCGCTTCAAAACTTGAGCAATGTAAGTGATGCCGGTTCTGATGTCATTGCCCTTCAGGTCAAGCGTTTGCAGCGCGCCAAGCCTCGGCAGATTGTCCAAAGCTCGGACTTGCTCGAGAAGTGCTGCGCTTGGTCCATGTTTCAGTGGAGCCTCAAGCGTCCGCCCGTTAGTACTCGCCGGATGCGATGGTGGCGGAGGCACCGGATGCCGCGCGATGACACCACCCTGGGCAGAAGATGCGATGATGGGTATTGGCTTTCCGGAGGGCGATAAAGGGTTCGTGTTGCCGGGAGTAGGCACGGCGGCGGCGGCTCCGCGTCGGGCTCGAGGTATATATGGAGTGTACGTGGTTTGTGGGGCAGTCGCCGGATGTCGAGGTGGAGGCAAGATGGGGCCAGGCTTGGGAGGTGCGGCGGGCGTTCCGTTGGGGATTGTTAGCCCAGGGAGCGAGCGCGTCTGAGTTGTTGGTGTCGGCGGAGGAGAGTTGAACGGAGAGAAGCTGGATGTAGATGTCGCTGGTGAGGGCGGAGTTGAACCATTTTCATTCGTAGAGGGAAACCGATCGGGATAGTCCTTGATCATAAGAGCGATTGCGACGGCACCTGTCGCACTAATACGGTTGTGTCGTAGGGAGATGTTTCGCAGAGACGACTTTCGCACGGAATGCGCTGGGCGGGGGATTTAGTAGACGCGAAATTCCCGTTAGGAACAAACTCACCCAGCGCATCCAGTGCTTGCGGTTTGAGTTGACAGTCATCCAGACGTAATGAAACCAGACCAGGAGTAGGCGCTTCCGGCAGCGCCGCGGCGATATACTCGATGGACTTCTTGTCCAATGCATTCTGTGATAGATCCAAGAATTGCAAAGTCTTGGCCTGCACGCAGGATGAGCTGAAATGATGCATGAGGACCGGTACATTGCGCACCTTGGTGACATATGCGCCAATAAGTCGGAATGCAGGCGCCTTCAGTCGTCTATTCGAAGAGACAGACAAGAAGGTGAGCGTGCCAGGAATGAGCAACGAGTGGAGGATTGGTTTCAGAATCTATGGTACAACACCGTCAAGGCAAGCTGCGCCAGACGGATCACAAGCATTCACTCACGATGTCGTCCAAGTCGCATTCCTTGAATACCAACTTGCGTAGCCCCCATTCGATGGTGAACACGTCAGACAACACCGACGCGACGCCAAGGTTGAGTTGAATGCCCGAGAAGTCGATTGTGCGTGGGTGTGTGCTAGCAGCGCGCTGAGGAATGATGCACGGTGGTTAGGTGACGCTGTAGCAGGACGTACAGATACATACTTTGAATGCCGCGGAGATAGCAGGGTCGGGTGCCTCTTCCCGACCGACGCAGCACTCCCGGTAGAACGCTTCCACCTTCTCCATAGTCCACCAATCGTCGCCCTGGGACGAGTCGGTGGAGATGCTGTTCCCTCGAACGATACGTTTTCTCCGTTCAAGTTCACGTTCCTCAATGGACTTCTTCTCCTCCTTGAGCGTCGGAGTTGACGGAGGGTTCGCCGCCAGGATGGGGTAAACCGTTGTCATCTCGGGAAGTATGAAATGTGCCCGTTTCAGTGTGCTGGTCTCATCGTTGGTCGCGGAGGGCTGTTGGGTCTGAGTCGGGAGGAGCTTGGAGAGTCGCGCGAGGGAAAAGAACGACTGTTGGGGAGGCGGAGGGCGCTTCAAGATCGACTTGCCAGGGGTCGGAATAGTCACTGCGGAGGACGACGCTGATGGCGACAACATAGCTGCATCTCAGACGATGAAGGGCGACGTGCTGGGGGTCGAGAACGATGAGGCGAGCGACGACCGATTGGCGGAAAGAGTGATCTGACCCGCCATACTGATTTGATCAAGCTCATTACTCTAGTAAGTGGGGCAATTTAGCTAGGGCTTAGTCCAGATAACAAACTATCAAGGGCAATCAAAAATACAATTAATAGGAAGTCTATCCGGGGCTAACAGTGTGATTCAGACCCATTTTTACGGACCGTATCACCCAATTAGACGATTCATGTGAACTGAATCCACGTGGTGCGGCTTCTTCCAGGTACATTCAGGCTTCCCGATCCATGCAGCTCGACTCAACGCCACACGTCGATGATGGTCCTCTTTCACCGGCATGCAACCTGGTGAGTGCAGTAGGCGTCGTATCTTGCACACGACATCCCGTTAATGATGCGGTATTCTACAGAACTGATCGTGCTTTGCGTTGTGATGTGAATCAGCAGCGCGCCCTGCGCGCACATTTCCTGTGCAATCTATTTGTCTTGTCTCTTGGGAGCTCAACCTATCTCTGCGGGAATGGATACTGTGACTATGGTATCCTGTACATACAGAATGTTATAATATGCTCATAGACAAAGTAGCAGCAGATGAACTTACTTTGTTGCACTGGGAGCCTTGCATCACCACGACTGACTATGCCGGGGCTCCTAGCTTCATAGCTTCCGTCTCTGGCCCATGAATGGCGCAAATGAGGCTGTTCCGAGCACGCGCATGACCCTGAAGACATGCGTTGCCTCGTTTGGTGCACACAGGCTCGTCAAGGCCAGTGAAGCTATGTGCCAGGGGCGTCATCAACTGAGTTCCTGCTGGTGGCTGCCCTTTGGGCCATCCTCGCTGCCGGTCCATCGGGATTGTCCACATTCCTAGGTCCACTTGCCATGATCATACCCGACTCCAATTGCAGCCCCAAGTCATGGTGTACCCAAGTAACACCGGACGTCCGGAAACCGGTGGTCTACTCCCCGACCCATAAAGCCAATGTCGAGTCCGCCCCCGGCTACTCCGGCATTCTAGCGCGACTATCTAAATAGATGATGATATCGCACCACCGCTTAGCCCATCCCTTGTTCTGTAGAACACTCGTGGTGTATGGTCGTCCGGTGCTGCAGCGTGGTCCGATGCATCACGGAGAAGATAGACTGAAATACGTCATTACATAGAATACTTGTTCAAATGATATCAATAGCGAAGGAGACCGGGGTCTCGTGGTCCTGCCACGACGGTGAGGGTAGTAAACAACGACAGCGGTAAGATACGGATACATACGACTAAGATGAGCAGTACAAGAGATTAGAAGACATCCATAAATTCGCGGCAGCGAGTGTACAACCTCGCCCATCGACCTCCGTTCCATTCCCGTATCCGGGCCCAACAGTCGTGTGGAGACACTTTTTCGACCCATATCCTATCGAGAAGTGAGCTCAGCCCCCTGTTGCTATAGTCCAACCACTCACAGAACGGAGCATAGGGCAAAATCGCCATAGGAAACATCGCGGCCCATCGCCACAGCGCCGTTGCCATCCGACGTGTTTTTGTCGAGTATTCCAGCTAGGAAGTCGAATTGTTCTCTGACGGCATTCCACGCCTGCTCGCGTTGAGGACCAACCATGGCGGTCGGCGGAGGAGTGGGTGCCGCTCCGCGGCTGAAATGCGCCTGGGTGCGCTCGGGGAGACGCTGATGGGTGAGGGGAACGAGAATAGGAAGGAGGGGCTTGACGAAGACGTCCTGAATGTAGTGGACGAATAGCGCTTGCAGGGCCCGAGAGCCCTCTGGGAACACCGGTCTCGCAGGGTACGCCGTCTCGAGGTAATCAGCGATTGTGTTGGGGTTTGAGAGCACGACCGGCGCGCTCATGGACCGCAGGGGGTCGATAATTACGGGTAGTGTGTAGACCGGACGTCCGTCCGACCTGTACGACGTTGGTTGCGCCCCTATCATACGCAAAGTTGCCTCGATTTCCGATAATTCAATCCATACTGTACGATACGGGAGACGTTTGTAGTTGAGGATGAACCTGAGGTGAGAATAGCCGTTGGTGTCAGCATGCACAGATGGGACGTTGCGCTGAGATGGCTCACCGTATGCGCCAAATATTAGGGGCCCAGGGCTGTGGAATAGTAGAGTGTATATCGTATAGAGTAATCACAGACTGAGACATTGCGATGTGCGGATGGCAGCATTGTCGCCCACCCTGCCCAGTTATATCATGCAGGAGACAGCTCCGCGCGCAGTAGCGCGGGTGTGTCAAGCACGAACGGTCGAGACGAAGACTGATTGCGGCGCGACGTCGCTTTCTCCGGAAGAAGTGCTACAAAGCGAGGGGATCAGGACTCGCTGCGGGGTCAGAGGCTCCGGACGATGTCTACGGTTCGTGGGCAAGTCCGGAGATGGCCTCCACGATACGTCAGTAGCCTCCGTATCTCAGCAACAAGGACAGAACACAGAATGTATCTCAGTATATGGTTCCGAGATGGTCTCGAGCCTAAGATACTCTTCTAGATCCAGGGACAGCCTTCCTAGATCCGAACAGGAAGGCTCGAAACGTTACTAGTCGAGCCGCAAGTGTCCCAGGATGGAGAGGTCGCACAGCCTCTGCCACGTATGCTCGACACAAAAGCCTGGATATGTCGTTGGAATTCAAGGCGGCCGACGCGAAAAGACAGCTGAAAACGATTGAATGGCAGAGAATGGTTAAGCGGGCCGTCAAAGAGCACAGCTCGTGCCGAAGTGGGACACTTGTCTGCCAGGTCACACTCTCCCACGCCCCTCATTAGTCTATGTACCGCCTCCACACAGGTTCGTTTTCCAGACTGCAGCTGGAGACACGGTAAGTGCTGATAGAATTTCTCTATGCATGTCTTCTGACTGCCTCATAAGCTATGTAGCATGTTTAGGAGGACGTGCCTCGACAGAGGCCACTCTTTCCTGGACGAACATCGTCGGACTTTACGACAGTGCGAAAGCCAAAAGTGAACCTTCGCCGGGGACCCTCTTTCCCCTCGAGAAAAAATGCCCCAGTGGACCCTAAGCCTCCGGCGGTACGCTTCCGGGCGCATCTCCGATGAACGCTGGCCGGAGCAGAACAAAACGGGACGTGTGCGCCGGCAGACACTCGGTCCATTGGCTTCCGGGGCTGTCCCTATCACCTATCACTTCTTTGGAGCCCGCTGAAGTCTCTCTTGATTGATCTCTCTGAATCGGACATGTGCTGCATCCGTACCTGAGCCTCAAGACAACTCTGTCGTTCTTCTTCTGCAACGTTATCGCACACGTCAGACCCGATCTACAGGGGTAGACAGAAATACGAAGGTGTCCGCTTCTTGGCTCGCGGCTTCTGTGGACTAAGGCGTCTGCGCTACAAGGCTGCGGTCGTGACACGCCCGAGTCATCTCTGCAGACATTGCAAGCAACATGACTTCTATGTCTTCCGAGCAGCTTCCGCGGCTACATAGCCCGACCGTCCTCGAGGCCTACTTCCCCCTCGTCAGAATAGGTCATTGGGCGCGGTGCCTTTCCATTGGTCCGCAACCAGGGCACTCAACATGTGAGTTCCGCGAGTCTTCACTCATTTCGGTCATCACCGGAGCCCTTGTTCTACGGTGATCGTTGTCGTCACGGCGAAAACCACAAGTTTTCTCCGGTACTCCTTGTTTCAGTATCACTGGTGTCCAGAGACCACTCAATCTATAACGTAGAGGGTACGTCCATCAGCCAAATGTCTAATTTTTCTACAGTGACATTGACCTGCGTCAGCACAGCGTCGACGCCCGGAAGCCTCAAGGCGCACCAAGGGGCTCCGGGCGGTGGGGAAGACCCTTGATCTAATCGTGACGTCCTGGGCAGCATGCTCACCACTCGCGTGTGTATGCCTTAGCGAGCTATCGACGCTGAGGACGAGTGTCTTCTTGACCGGATACGGCATGACAACACGGACATACCGCTCTAGAAAGTTAATGAACAATCCACGCGCCCAGACCCATATGGAGCCTGTGGTCGTTGCTGTGTTCGATAGGAAGCTCGCGGACCGAAAGCACCAATACGTAGTGATTACCTCCTGGGCGCCGTCTGCTATCATCGGGCGGAGCTTCGGTCAGGACGCAACATCACAACGCCCGACGTCGCTCGCTTCGATTTCTTCGAGTTGCAGGGCGATACTCTCTGTGGCCCCTAATTCAAGGACAAGAAAGCGAGTGCCATGATTGTAACGAACAGAAGCTCAAAGCAGTTCTGGGTTGCTAGGTGTACTAACAGGCCGGGACATCACGCTGTTTCAAGAAGTATCGCTCGAATTCGTATCTTGACACTCCATTCTGGTTGTCGCTGGCGTCTGACTAATGTGGTCCCATATCACTAGCCACTCTTCACGCCATCCAGGACGCTCCACTTTACTACACCCGAGGCCGTTAGCGTGTTGGGGACGACTCTGCCACACGAGAGGGGCGCAATCCTTTCGCAAAATCGATAGGGTGCTTTGAAGGACCGAGCCGACTCACTGCCGCATACTGATGCCAGGTTCCCCGACACCTTATCCCGCTAGTACAAATCCCGAGGTCCCGCAATGATCCCCTTCAAATCTGCACCGCCGTCGGTCGTCCCGGTGGTACTCACCATCTTCAGCTTAACCTTCGATGCTGCCGGATCAATGGACCGCCTTGCATGTCGGACCCCACGGATCGTAGATTCTGTGGGCTGACCGCAGCTCCAACTCTATCTCAGCGAGGTATGCTGATATCTTGCGCCGTAACCACTGGCATATTGATTCTTCATTTCAGGGGGGTTCAGATCGTAATGTTCGACGTGCTTCTCCGAATATCCGACGCACAGTTTCTCACTTCACTACAGATTCCGAAACACCTCCACGAACGTCTGCGTATGTGGGCCCATTCTTCATGACTACGCGCTGCATATATCCGCTGTGCGGTCCCGTGCAGCCATAGGATGCCTAATATACCCGAGAGCCCCGGGTCCTACGCGCAGGCATATGGGAGGATACATATGAGGCTCTCCGTCGGGACGCGCACGTTTGTCACTTTGCACACGTCCTAGCGCGGCGTCTGTGGTGTCATGCGCGGTTTTTGTACAGGATGAGTAGTGCTGTCAGGTGCGGGGTACAAAATAGGTATGTCTTTCAGCGCGTCGTGTCCGGCATCTCACACCCGCCGTCCGCGCGAACGCCGTGCAGCCCCCGATGGCAGTCGATCCCATGGTTCCCTTGCCGGACGGTTTCCAGCTGCCAGTACGGAGGAGAGCCTGTTGTGCCCTTTCTCAGCTTGCTTTGTGAGGGCGTACCTGCTTCGTGTGTCCCACTCCCGTGCGCCGTAACTTTCCCCAGCGAGCCGAGAGAGCTTGGCGGTCGGAGCACGGCGCTGCAAGTCGACTGCCTCACAACTGTCCATGTAATCCATGCTTCGCACTTCATTATCTTGCCGGATGGATTAACTTTGGCCGCCAGCGGGGTATGTGCCGACGGAGACACCACGGCCGACGTCAGAGGGGGCGCATTGGCGGCGCCGCGCGAGCCGGGCCGGAGCTGGCAGCGAGAGACGCCGGATCGCGATGAGATCACGTCCAAGCTCACTCAGCCCACGAGTGGGAGCATACTTGAACGCGACACTCTGCACCTTTCTTGCGTAGCAACCACCACCATCTCCATATCATCATGACCACCTCCCTCGACGCTCTCAAGCAGACTGGCACTGTCGTCGTCTCCGACTCTGGCGACTTCCAGTGTGAGTGTCGCCTCCGCTTTCGCGCGCTTAGATTATAATTCGTTGGGGAGCGTAACTGACTGGTGCGCGCATCGGGCAGCTATCGATGTTTACAAGCCCCAGGATGCGACGACCAACCCATCGCTCATCCTTGCTGCGGCAAACAATGCTAAGTACCAGAGCCTGATCGATGCCGCCGTCCAGGCCGGCAAACACAAGGGTGGCAGCATCGATGACCAGGCAAACGCTGCTCTTGACCGCCTCGTGAGTATCCTGCTCTTGGGCCTAGCCATATAGTTGGCACCGCTCCCCTTCGTGTGTATCGCTAACGGGGGCTCGTGCTGTCTATGTAGCTCGTCGAGTTCGGCAAGGAGATCCTGAAGATTATCCCCGGCCGTGTCTCGACCGAGGTCGATGCCCGCTTGTCGTTCGACAAGGAAGCGACCAAGAAGAAGGCTAAGGAGCTGATCGCGCTCTACGAGTCCGTCGGCGTCAAGAAGGAGCGCATTCTGATCAAGATCGCTTCGACCTGGGAGGGCATCCAGGCCGCGCGCGAGCTCGAGCGCGACGACGGCATCCACACTAACCTCACCCTCCTCTTCGGCTTCGCGCAAGCTGTTGCGGCCGCAGAGGCCGGTGTCACCCTCATCTCGCCCTTCGTCGGCCGCGTGCGTATCCATGCTACCATCACCAGGCGGGACTGCGGCTGAGATGTTTGGGGCGTACAGATCCTCGACTGGTACAAGAAGAACAAGCCGGGCAAGGACTACGTTGGCGATGAGGACCCCGGTGTGCAGTCTGTGAAGACGATCTACAACTACTACAAGCAGCACGGGTACAAGACTATCGTCATGGGTGCTTCTTTCCGTAACGTGCGTACATCCATTTGTCCGCCTCTCACTCCGACCGCTTTGCTGATTTGTTCGACTACAGGTTGGCGAGATCAAGGCTCTCGCTGGTGTTGACTTCCTGACTATCTCCCCTAAACTCCTCGAGGAGCTTAAGAACGACACTTCTCCGGTGCCCAAGAAGCTTGACTCCCAGAGCGCCGCGCAGGGCCAGCCCATCCCCAAGGTCTCGTACGTGGACAACGAGCCTGAGTTCCGCTGGGCACTCGCCGAGGACGAGATGGCGACAGACAAGCTTCACGAGGGTATCCGCCAGTTTGCAAAGGACGGCGAAACCCTTAAGAAGCTGCTCCGCGAGAAGCTCTCTGCATGAAGGATTCGCGCTGGCTGTTTTTTGGAAGGGAGGATGAAGTTCGATAGCCGCAGTTTGTACCCCATGTAAAACGTAGCCTTGGCCAATAGACTGTAACGTGCCTCGTCGATAGATCTCTTGATGATGGATGCAAGGAGGCGTTGAGACCAAGTAAGTAACCGAACTGGCGGTCCGTGCGAGGTCTTCTAGTGCCTTTGATAGAAGGAGAGTATCCCTGAAGATGTCTTGACATTGTAGTTGCCCAATCTGACTGCCGAGGAGTAGGCCATTAGCCTGCTGTGAGAGTGCAATCCGAGTGGCACCGAGGTCCGAGGCCTTTGTATATGGGCGTTTGTCGTGCAGGAATGATTACGCTCTTCGAATTGGCAACCGGTGCAGACGACGCCGAGGCATCCGCATCCCAAACGTCAATCTCATCCCAAAACTCGACGAAACATGCTCCCGGCGGCCGCTCGTCCGTTCCTCTCCTCTCGGCCAGCACGGTGGCTTGTACCCCTCGTTGAGAGTGTGAGCACCCCGCATCCGACGTACTAAACGGTCAGTCTACGTACGTCATCTGCAAGCCCTCGTATAACGGACTGCTCGGTTGCTTCCCACAGCCGCACCATCGTCCGTCTCTTTTCCTCTCTCACAGGCTGCATACTATCGCTCATTCTTTGCTTCGTTTTGTCTCTCCAGTTCTTCTTCTCGTTCCTGAAGAGACTTCGGATCGTCAAACCTGCTGCTTTCTGCCGGTTCGCCGCCCTGCCCCTCCACTGGACGCTCGCACCAATGTCTAGCTCAGAGAAGGAGGTAAAGGACGCGTCTTCGAACGGCCATGCACCACCTCCACCACAGCGGCGGTCAATATGGGACAAGCTCCCCCCGTGGGTCTCCACGAACCTGCGCTCGAAGAAGTCGTGGAAGGTCTTTCTGAGGTGTTGGGTTGCATCATGGGTCAGCTTCGTGATCATGCTGCCCGACAAGTCGTTGCAGCAGCTTGGCAATACGTGAGTGCCTGTCTTTGAGGTCCCACCGTGCGCCCGAACTGAGGGAATATGTTGCGTGCAGTGCGTTCTTCGCGGTGCTCTTGAGCATCATGCTGCCTCCGAACATGCCAGTCCAGATATTCATCATTGTGAGTACCAGTAGCACAACATACCTTACGACCCCACTTGCCTTCTCCCTTCTTCTTCACATTTGGGGACAAAGGCATCTCACCGGCCGTCCTTGAGCACCTGTGCCCCGCTCCGTCTCATCACGCCAACGCGCACTAACGCAGGACAATGACAGGCCATCGGGACACTCGTCCTTGGGTTAGCGCTTGGTTGGGCCATCTCCTGTGCAGCAATGGCGGCAGCCCTTGCTGCTCGTGATCAGACCCTCTTGAAGCACACACTACAGAAAGAGGCCCAGAGGTGCGCTCTCGTTATAGGTCTATATAGCAGCAATGATTGAATTGCAGCCTAGTTCTGCCGGCCTTGCGAACCCTGATGCATTATTCCAGACCGCGATCTTTAGGGGTGATTTCTTGGACACAAAGTACGCCAGTACAGCCATGACATACAACCCGGCTCTGACAGCTTGCAAAGCTCCACAGTTGTTTTTGGCGTATTCCTTGGCGTTGGCACTTTTTTCTTGGCACTCATCCGAGCATATGCTCCAAAGCTCACTCTCATGAGTGTCTTCGGCACCATTGCAATCGACATATTCTGCGTACGTGTCCTAACGGTATGATCCTGAAACGTGCTTGCTCATTCACTGCGCAGAGTTACGGCCCGCTGTTCCCATTCTCGGAATATACCCTCCTGAACTCGTTGCTGACTTCAGTGGGCTGCTACGTCGGCATTGCGCTCATTTTTGTCATCTTCGTATTCCCGGAGACCCTTAGCCACTCATACCTGGATTCCTCCGCCGGACTACTGCAAAAGTTCAAGGGTCTACTCGCGTTGCAGGACGATGTCCTTCGGGCAGACACCCGCGATGTCCTTCCGGGGACTCCTCTTGCGGGGAAGGTTAATGGGGCGCGTATAGGGATGATTATGCAGCTTCAGCAACGTATGTCTCCCAAGTCTGCGCGTCCATGATTCCATATTAATACGCCGCTCTTTGTTGGCAGTCATGGCTCAGAAGCAAATGCTTAATCTGGAGTTCAGCTGGGGCAGATGGAGCGCCGGAGACGTTCAGGGCATGCTCGGGCCTATGCAGACCCTCATGGCCCGGCTCGTCGCCCTCGCCAACTTCAGCAAGCTCATGGCGCACCCCATGTCCCTAACATACACCGCGAGCGACTCGGAGGACTCGGACTCCGTCGCAGATTCGAGCTCGACAGCGAGCAGCACCGTCGTCGGCGACACGTACCTCCTGCGCCAGTTCCGCGAACGCAACTTCGCTGCGGAAACGCAGCACCACGTCCGGCTCGTCGACGTGCTCCCGAACATCCGCGAGGCGACCGCCGAGCTGCGCGCCGCCGGCATCGCAATGCTCGACACCCTCCAGCGGCTCATCGTCTCCGTCAACACGAAGCGCTGGAAGCGCGGCCACGCCGAGCAGGACGCGCTCGTAGTCGAGCTCGACAAGGCACTCTCTACGCTCCGCTCGGCCATGGACAACTTCCAGACCGACCGGCGCATGATCCTCCTTCAGCCGTTCCGGCCCCTGTTCGAGGCCGCGGACGCGGGGGAGATGAAGAGCGTCCCCCTGCGCTCACTGCACATCGCGTTCGTCTTCACGTCGAACCTCGTCTCTACGACCAATGGTATCATCACGCTCGCGGAGTACGTCGTCGCGACGGCCGCCAAGCGGCCGAAGGCGAGGCTGTGGATGCCGGCAGGGTTGAGCGCGTTTGGCAAGGTGCTCAAGACGAGGAGGGGCTCAGGTGAGGACGCGGTCGGCGAAGACGCAGCTCCACAGGAGGAGCTTTCCGGGAAGGATAACAAGACGTATAGTATGTCACATCTGCGGTTTGCGTGGAGGATGAGTCCTCATGAGTTGCATCTTCAGAGCGGGATCCGGATAGCAGGCCGCCGGAGAACGCCCTACAGAGGGTGGCGAATGTCTTCCACAAGCTTTACAAGTGGACGAAGACTCCCGAGGCTTTGGTGCGTGATGGAAGTGGCGAGGTCTGAGCCTGAAGCTAACACGCAGCTAGTTCACGTTCAGATACGTGTTCATCACAATTGCTCTATGGCTCCCCCAAGTGGTCAAGACCTCGGCACGTAAGTGATCCGGTCCAACATGAACGACTCAGCTAATATCAGCTTATCAGACTTCGTATATTCGGAACGTGGGGTCTGGTGAGTGCGACGCGTTATCTGGACATCGGGGAAAGGCTCACGGCACTCACGTAGGGCCCTGATCATGGCGCAGACGACAATGAACATCTATGCCTCAGACCAGATCTTCAAGTGTGTACGCCAGATATCATCACGCGTTGTCTCGGAAAGCTCATTTTGGACGCATATAGCTACGTCATGCGTCTGGGGGGCACGTTTGTTGGCGCCGTCGTAGGAATGGTCTGTTGGTATATTGGTGAGTGCCATATGTATGCGGCTCAATCATAGTCGCTGAACTAATACGACTTGTATTGCGCATCAGGATCTGGCCATGGTCACGGTAATCCCTACGGCTTGGGCGCATCCACTGCAGTATTCCTCTTCCCTATCATATTCCTCCGTATATTCGCACCTCCGCAGAATTTGGTTGCGATCATGATGCTCGGGGTATGTTCAGCTCGTCCTTGACAGTCACTCAGCCTGACTCTGCTTTCTTTGTAGGCCACGTTTGTACTCGTTGTGGGCTTCTCCTGGATCGATGGCAACCTCGGAGGCCTCGTCCAGAATATCGGTATTGGCTGGAGCGTCGCCTGGAAACGCTGGGTCCTTGTCATGGTTGGTGCCGCCGCGTCGTTCATCGTGATGATGGTCCCGCCCAAGTCTGGTCGGAAAGCTGTCCGTCTCAGGAACGCCACCACCATCTCCGGGCTCTCCTACCTCTATTCGCACCTCACTTCACTTTGGCTCGCCGCGGGCGAGCCCTTCGAGGCGTCGCATCATCTGCACACAGAAAAGGGCGTCACGGCGCAGCGCCATTGGCCGGCCGAGCTGCGAGAGATGATGATTGCCATCGCGCAACAGCTACAGGACCTCAGAGTGAGGACCGTAATGAGCAAGTGGGAGGGGAACATTCGCGGGCGTTGGGCGGTTGAGGACTACAATCGTCTGCTGGACATCCAGACTGATATCTTGTCGAGCCTTGTTCTGGTGCGTTCGCATTTGAAGAGTCTCATGCCTGTCCCGGGAGCTAATCACAAGGTAGATGGCTGGTGGATTGTCAAACATGGACTCGGCTTTGAGGAAGACCGCCTTGCCACATACGCTTGTCCTGAACCCACATTTCGTACGTCACACATCTCTGGCCCTCGTCGGCGAGACGCTGATTGTAGCCTGCGCACTCAAACAGATCAGCGATGTCATCTCCATGTTTTTCATGGTGTCGCAATCGCTCCGGACGGGCGAGCCTCTGCACGAGGCGCAGTACAAGAACCTCGCCGACCGCCTGCACTATCACAGTAGCAATTCCGTCCTAGGCGTCACCGAGGGAAGCCAGCACGCACAAGGGCGGAAGGCCTTGAGACAGTCCATCACGAGCTACGAGTACATGTTCTACGCGACTGCCGTTGTGGCCGTACTGCAGATGTCTCATGTGAGTCGCCGGTCCGCGTCCATCGGGTTCCCCCTCGCTGACTTCTTGTCGCAGAGTCTGAATGAGCTCCGCACGGTCGTCGCCAACCTTTGCGGCGAGGTTTCGCTGGAAGGCTTCGAGCGTTGGCGGGAGGAGTACGACCGCGTGCACGCCGTCGTCTGAGCGGAGGGATTCTGGCGGTACGCGTATGATACCTATATAATCAATGCTTGTCTCCTGCTACCAATACACAAGCGCAGGTGATATATTAGCTAGATCATCTGAAACAGAAACACCGGCGTACATACGCGCACACAAATCGACCCTGAGGCCACGCCCCAATGTGACACATTGCATTACGACCTGCGAGGTACTCGTCGATAGCGATTGACTGACCACGTCTGCATCTCGCAGAGCGTTGTTCCTCCGCACTGCGTGGTCGTCGCGAGCGAATCACTGGTCTGTGCCTCCTTTTTGAATATCGTGGCAGTGGCACGACTACAGTCCCGGCGTTGCGTAGACTCGACTGGCCAGCATACATAGTGTTAGCAAGGGCGGTCGTTGTGGCACGTAGTACGTCATTTGGCGTTGTACCTTCCGACAGAGCGCTAGAGCGATATGATGTCTGCATAGAACCTGCATACGCAAGTGGATGGAGATGGGCTCGGAGCCGGGGTTTGCAGCCATATCGGGCGCGAAACTGATAAGCTGCGATCGACGCTAAGTACATGTATGCGACTAGAAATTTCTCTTCTTGCATAAGAATGCGCGCAATTTGCCGCAGATGCCCATAGAAGGTTCACGGACTTGGAGGCACTCGGAAGGGTCGGAGTACGTCATGTCAAGGATCCCGGTGGTTTCGGCTATGTGGTACTAGGGGAGAGAACTCGATGCAAAGGGGACGTGGAAGGCGATTGCTTGCCATTTCACAGACTTTGGTCTGGCGAGGCGACCTACCCACGAAGAGTTCATCAAGCTTGTGCGTCCCCCTCTCCCCTGCTAGGGGAAGTGGCCAAGTGTTTCGGGATTTTACGCCTGCGATCGCATCCGTCGGGAGCGGACGTTCCGAGTTCGCATCGCATCCAGCCAAGGGCAGAAAACGCCGCATAGTCTTCCGTTGCAGCATGAGTACGTGTCAGGAGCTGGCGCGATTCAAGTACCCGGATTGAAGGAAGATGAACGCCCCAGGGCGTCCAGTAGCCACACGCTCGCTCAAGCCAGGCCGACCATTTCCTTGTCGTGGCTAGCCGCCTTGGAGCGAAGAGGACACGGTCCGACGGATGACTGATCTTGGCGCGCTCCGAGCCAAGGCAAGAGGGCGAGCACAGCTATCATTTGAGATCTTTCTGTTCAGTGCCAGAACTCGGCGAGAACATGGCAAAGGAGGCCGTCTGGACCAATCCTGATCGCGCGATCAGTCAACCCAGGGTCGCAGAACCCTCCACGAGCTGCTGCATCAGGCCTAGCGTGCTCATCGAGCTGCATGGGCCGTGGGAGACCGTGGCACTGGAGACGCCACGACGGATGGAATCTCGCACCAGTTACATATCATTGGAGGCACGGATCTAGAAATCACGAGGGTTGGCACCTCTTGCGATGCCAAGCACGAAACCATGCTACATACGCTACGTACAGGCCTCTTGCTGGCATCTGCGCTGTGCTGTACCCCTAGCCGCGACACCGAGATCAGAGACGGTATCGACACAAGCGTTGGCAATCAATGTCGAGCTGATTGTGCTCGACAACCGAACTCGAAGACGGCGCCTGCATGTGTCGCCATAGAAAGAAAGCTCGCGATCGCAGGGACGGAACGCCAGGCACGGACGCGGCCCTCCCGCTCCCGCAGCGGATGGCGTTCTGTTGGAAGGCGTCGATGGCGAGAAGCGTCACCGCTTCGGCCTCTTCGCAGACTTGCTCCTCCCGGTTCCTTCGGGAACGCCAGACCTTTGGCGCTGCGGGGCGATCGAGGTGCCCGCCGAGCTGAGCCCACCGACGCTCCTCCGCACCGACGTTGGTGCCGGCGAAATATGCACAATATGATTGCGATTACTGTGAGGCAAAAGACGTATGCAGGTCCTACGCGGAGAGGAAGAGCTTGCAATCATAGACATCGTACGCAGCTAGCTGAGCTGGTACGGACAGCGAAGTACATACCCTGAAATCCAGGAGCGCCTAGCTGGAAGGAAGTGAATTCGTCCACGCGTCCGGACCACGAGGATATTCGAGCCATCCCCGAAAAGAGAGCGTCCCCGTCTGCGACCGTCCTCGCTCCTGTGTCATCCGCGATCGAGCTGTCCGGCTGAGAGCGAACGTCCGCGAGGTCCGCAGGGACACGAAAAAAAACTTCGACAGAGAAAGCTTTTTCCGGAGAGGGCGAGCTTAATAACGCGAAGACGGCTCGTAGCACGCAATTCGTGACCTGTGCCCGATGCAGATGTGTGGCTCGCCCGCCGATCGGCAACGATGGCGACCAAGGAGGGGGGAGAGGAGAGGAGGTGCGACGAGATTGATACACGGCAGGGATCCGGGTGTTTTCGACTGAAGAGAATGAGAATTTGATGCGCAGGGGACGCGGAAGGTGACCGCCAGCTGTCATTCAGTTCAAAGACTCTTGTCCGGCGAGGCGACCATTCTGCACTGAGTTTAGCTTGTGCGTCCCCTGCTTATCGACTTTCCGCCCATCAAACACGCCCGATTCCCCGCCATGATGCATACAACGGTTGGGACGGGTGGATGTATTAGAGAATGCGAGCGTTTACAACGGTGTTGCGTCAACGGGCGAATCGCCGCAGCTGATTCGGGAACGCTCTGGTGGCCATGGGTGGAGGCGCATCTCAGGCACGCCCAGAGCCCGGACGAGGCGAGAGTCCACCTATCTCTGCCCCTTCTCTCTCAACGGTCGCCGGGCTTATCGTACCAACGGAACTCACTTTTCAAAACTTTTTGCGTGTCGGCAGCCTGGGGGCGGGCGCATGCGAGAAAGCACTGCAACGGCGGGCAGACGCGCGATCGCGAGGTGAACAATCTCCCGCGACGTTGATCGACTACTTTCTGCTCGTTGCCGGCCGCCACAACGGTTCGCTCGTGTCGGTGCACTGTGCACCCGCTGGGGTCTCGCTCTCGAAAGTTCAAGCTCTCGCTCAAGTGAAATCTCGTCGCTCGGTCCACAGCGCCAACGGGCCTATCGGCGGGACGCCAATATGACGTGGGGTCTGGGTATGTGCTTGGAGTTCAGGCCGCCCCAGAGGTCGTCCGCGCCGGACTGGAGAAAATGTTGGCAGGCCTGAGAAAAATAGGGAGAGGTACGGGGAGGATGATATGTGTTCCGGCAGGTTGGAGGAGCGGTTCCTGATCCAGCCAGTGATGACCGGCTTGCGAGGAGTGACCATATGGACTCATGTGCTCCCGATATAAACCACCAGCCCCGTTATCTCTGTCCTCACGCCCACCCCCTTCCAAACTCTTTCCCAGAGTTTACCCTCCGTGCGCCAGCGACGTTCGTCCCCCTCCGACGCTCGTCCCACACTCTATCCCGCAGAGTCTAGCAGCACGCGTCAATGGCCGGTCTCCAGGCAGACAGAGACATCATCGCCGGCCTCGCAGAGGCCAAGCGCGACGAGTTCGAGCTCGAGAAGAAGGGCATCAGCCCCAGCTCGTCCGCACACGAGCACGAGCTCGACGGCATCCACGACGGCCTCGAGTTCCCCACCGAGGAGGAGACGTTGACCCTCCGCCGCGTCTCCGACTCGATCCCATGGAGCGCGTACTGTGAGTCCTTCGCTGCCCCATCTTTAGTACTCGGTGTGTTTCTCCCTGGGACTTTCTGCTGACTAGGCGCCGTTCATTCCAGTGATCGCCTACTGCGAGCTTGCTGAGCGGTTCTCGTACTACGGTTCGACCGTCGTCTTCGTGAGTACCTCTATCCCTTCCCGATCGTCTTCCACAATGCTCGACCCCATGCGATTCTGACCTGCACGATGGCTCAATGATGGTACGGGGGAGCAACCCCTGCTTCGCATCTTCTTGATGGCTTGTGTGAGGCGCGTATCATAGTGATGCGCCCTCCCAACGGCCCCGGTGATTGCGCTCGTGTGCAGCGGTTCGTGGTATCTTGGGATCGTCCATTGGAGCAGATGTCAATCAGTAGAACTTGGTCGCTGACAAATACGATCTACTTTGCAGACCAACTTCATCCAGCAGCCCCTGCCTAAGGGCTCGAAGACCGGCGCCAGCGTTAAGCAGGCGGGTGCACTCGGCCTCGGCCAACGTGCATCAACCGGTATTGGTACATTCAACACCTTCTGGTACGTACTTTTCGTCAAGTTGTCGGTGTGCTTGGTCTCACAAGCGCTCGTCTTGCAGGGTGTATGTCATCCCTCTTTTCGGTGCCTACATCGCGGACACAAGATGGGGGCGGTTCAAGACTATTTGCGTCTCGATCGCCGTCGCGCTCGTCGGACACATCCTGCTCATCATTTCCTCGGTTCCTGGCGTCATCAACCACTCGAACGGTGCTCTCGCATGCTTCGTGATCGCGATCATCGTCATGGGTCTCGGCACTGGAGGTTTCAAGTCGAACGTCTCTCCACTTGTTGCTGAGCAGTACAAGCGGCACAAGCTGTTCATCGGCCACACCAAGAGTGGCGAGCGTGTCATCGTCGACCCCTTCTTGACGACGTCGAGGATCTACATGTACTTTTACCTGTTCATCAACATCGGAGCGCTCGTCGGTCAGATCGCGATGGCTTACTCTGAGAAGGTACGCTGCCTTCCCCACATTGACGTCGAAGCGGAGTCTCACTAGGCCTTTCGCGGTTTAGTATGTCGGTTTCTGGCTTTCGTACACGCTCCCCACCATCGTCTTCCTCTCCGCCCCCCTCGTCCTCTGGGCTGGCCGCCACCTCTACCAACGCTCGCCGCCTCAGGGTTCCGTTCTCTCTAAGGCCATTCTGATCTGGCGTCAGGCCATGAAGGGCCGCTGGTCCTGGAACCCTGTCACGCTGATCAAGAACATGAACGCCCCCGACTTCTGGGAGGCCGCGAAGCCGAGCCGCCTCCAAGGCGAGAACAGGCCTTCGTGGATGACGTTTGACGACCAGTGGGTCGACGAGGTCAAGCGTGGCTTCAAGGCGTGCGGCGTGTTCTGCTGGTACCCCATCTACTGTACGTGTCGATAGCGTCCGTTCGTCGCGCGTCACAACTGATACACGGCTTCTCTGCACAGGGCTCACGTACAACCAGCTCAACAACAACCTGACCTCGCAGGCCGCGACCATGGTCACCAACGGTGTCCCGAATGACGTTCTTTCCAACCTCGACCCCTTCGCTCTCATCATCTTCATCCCCATCTGCGACATCTTCATCTACCCCGCCCTCCGCCGCGCAGGGATCAACTTCAGCCCCCTCAAGAAGATCACCCTCGGCTTCTTCACCGGGGCTGCCGCCATGGCCTGGGCCGCCGTCGTCCAACACTACATCTACAAGCGCAACCCGTGCGGGTACCACGTCGCGACGTGCACGGACGCCGACGGGAACCCGATCACGTCCGACCTCAACGTCTGGATCCAGACGGGCGCGTACGTGCTCATCGCGTTCTCGGAGATCTTCGCGTCCATCACCGGTCTCGAGTACGCGTTCACGAAGGCGCCGAAGAACATGCGCTCGCTCGTCATGTCCGTCTTCCTCTTCATGAGCGCGATCTCGTCCGCGATCGGCGAGGCGTTCGTGTCGCTGTCCTCGGACCCGCTGCTCGTGTGGAACTACGGCGCGATGGGCGTGCTCGCCGCCGTCGCGGGTGTCATCTTCTGGTTCCAGTTCCGCCACCTCGACGCGGCCGAGGACGAGCTCAACAACCTCGACGACGGCCACTACGAGCCGAAGCAGTAAAAGTAGCCAGCCGGCGGCGCGCCCTTGCGCGTCCCATCTGCTCCTCCCTCCGCGATACGCACCCGTACTGACCTCCGATGCTTTCACGTGCTTCTCCTCCGGTTTGTCTGTCTTGGGCGACGTAGAAGTAGTGCACTGTCAACGCCGCGTCTGTACTGTAGCTGACTGGATGAATTATGATGATATCCCTATTCCCCCCCATCCCCTCCCACCATTTCGCGACGGGTTGTTGTAACAGTGCCATAATGTCGGTAGTAGTCACGCGCTATAATGAATATTTCCTTTCTCTCTACATTGCGCAAGCTCCGGGTGTGTCTACACGAACGGGCATAGAGTCGACTGATCTAGAAGTCGGTCTGCACTGCCCGCATACGGTCTGCTCAACTTCAATCGAACTGTAGGCCGCCGTCCACGTTGAACTGGAATGCAGACGCTCTATCAGCCGCCTCTTGGAGCCCACAAATCGCCTCTACTCACTGATTGACCTGCATATGGTCACGGTGAATATGTGGATGGCGTGCTTGTGAGTATGCATGTGCTGGCGGCCGAGTCCATCGCGTCGGGCCAGACTCACCGGTGACGAAGGAGGCGTCGTCCGACACCAGGAACGAGACCACTTTCGCAACGTCCTCCGGCTCGCCGAACCGGCCTACGGCGCCCTTGAACTGTAGATGCCATATGGTTGGATGACGTCAAAGGTGCGTCCCTCGTCGACTCTCGACTGCGAGAGGCATCGGCGAGACGACTGACCTGCGCTACAAACGTCTCCCAAGGTTGACCGGTCCGCGCGGTGTACTCTTCGCCCGCCGTGGCCACTGTGAGAGCATTCATTCCTCCGTCAAAATGTCACTTTGTTGTGCTCACTCAGCGGTGTCTGGATGCCCCCGGGTGCGTACGCGTTGACGGTGATGCCGTACTCGCCGTACTCCAACGCCGCGCACTGGGTCAAGCCCCTGACGGCGAACTTGCTCGCACAGTAGGCGGCCTGGGTGCGGACGCCTGGGGGGCTCACGTCAGGACTACTTTCGGAGGTCGCGCCTGGATGCACTATGGGGAAGGACCGTGCCTCTTTTCCCTACGATCGACGTCGCGCCGATGATGCGACCTCCCCGCCCTTGCTCTATCAGCCGCTTTGCCGCGTGCTTGTAGCAGAGGAAGACGCCTCTGACGTTGACGGCCATGACCTTGTCGAATTGGTCTACGGAGACTGGGAAAGTGACATGCGTCGTCGTTCAGGAGCAGCACGTCGTGACAGCTGGCTGGCTCACGTTCGTGCAGCGTCCCTGTAATGTGTATTCCAGCATTTGCGATCATCTAGGACGCTCATCATTGACGATGAGACAGAGACGGTGAGACAGCGTGGCGGCGGCGGCGGCGGCTGACACTACTTACAACATCGAGCCCACCGAAATTCTTCGAGGCAGCGTCGACAAGCCGCTCAACGTCTTCCTCTACGGATACGTCTCCAACGACGCATACGACCCGAGCCCCATGTTCACTGCGAATAGCGGACGCAGCGTCTTCGAGCATGCTCTCGCACTGGGGTAGGTCGAAAAGCGCCAAGTCCAGTCCGTCCTTTGCAAGCCGTCGAGCGATGCCGAGGCCAATACCTTGCGCAGCACCAGTTACAATAGCGACGCGTCGGGCGGTAGGTTCCATGGCGAAGAGTACTGCGAGGAACTGGGGTCAGACCGTGCACTATGTCCTTATATCAGCATCGCAAGAATGCGCCTGGGACCGGGTCTCAGTTGAACTTGAGGTCGTCTCGCTTGGGGCTGCAAAGAAGGACCTTCATCAGTCTTCGTGGTGTGTGAATGGGTACCGGGAGAAGCGAGTAGGGGCGCTCTTCGATATGGTGCCGAATGGCACCACTGATTGGTTGAACGAACGGGGCGCCGTGCCCCAGCTTATATGGCATATAGGGAAGCACTCTACGACCGGCTGACCTTGATAAGCGTCACGGTTGACGACGGCGTAGCCTTCGACCGATGTCAGGTAAGACAACGCTCGAGGGATATCCGATGTTAGTGTGATGGCTGACCCCTCCACCGCAGTCATCTTCACTCACCGGTTGACCTGCAGGATAGACATAAATCGAGACATGCCGCAGCGAATGCGTGTAAGCATAAGAGTCGCCCGTGGTGGAGAAGACATTGTCAGATACGACGATAGAGACGACATCCGCAGCGTCCTCCGGCTTTGCGAGGTTGTTGTTCATCTGCAACCAGCATACACGGCATCAACTCTACATCACCAGCACGATGATGCCGTGACAGGAAAGACGTTGGGGGAGATGTACTTGGATTACCTGCCCTGTCCACGATTCCTTGAGCACGGACGGTGAGAGAAGCACCATCTCGCGATGCACTTCAGCCAACTCGTGAGTAAGATCCCTTAGTCAACCGCATTTTAGCTCAGCTGGAGGGACCAAATACTACACCCGCAGAAGCGCTGAAAGGTAAGCAGTAAGCTTCGTGTCTCATGACGAGGAAATAAGTGAGCCGAGAAGACATAGCGCATTGAGCAACCGTACCAGGTGGTGCCAGGAATAAGGCGCCATGTGAGATTAGGAACGGTCCGAGTCGCGCTTTACCCAGGCGAACCCTTCCGCGGGCGATTCTTGCAAATTCGAAATGCGGACTGTCCTGGCCTTTCGACCAGGTGAGATGAGACAGTTCACACGATTTTACGTCTTCGAAGGTCTCAGAATTCAGGGACAGAAGGAACGGCCGCGCTAGATACACCTGCGCTCTCACCCGTATCAAATGCAGCGCTGAGCGCTCAATCGAAGTATTCTCCCCCATCCACGTTGTACTATGGAGCGGTCAGTCGCCGAGATTCTAGCTGCCTCAAGTATACTCACAGACTGGCCTACATGGACCACCACGTCAATGAGTCCCATATCTGAACTGCAGGAACGTGTTCTCGCTCACCCGTTATGAATGCCGCGTCGTCAGAAACAAGGAAGGACACAAGCTTCGCGATGTCCTCTGGCTGAGCGACCCTCCCCAGAGCGTTTTTTGGGGGCTGCAGCTCCCGGTGAACGCCGCATGAAAGGCGTGGTGTATGATGTGCTTACCGATCCAGGCCAGGAACCCTTCGGCGCACCCGTGTTCGCGGAGTGCATCTCGTCCACAAGGGTCCCTATATGCACCGAAAAGCAAGAATCAACGCTATACATGCGGCGCACACATGACTGCGTACTCACAGAGAGGTGTGTCTACGAGCCCTGGCGCGTACGCGTTCACAGTGATGCCGTACTTCCCGTAATCTCTTGCGGCGGACTGTGTCAAACCTCGGATCGCGAACTTCGTCGCGGAGTAGACCGGTTGATCCGGGCTGCCTGCGAATAGGCAGTGCTGTAACGAACGACGCTGTTGGCTGAGTGTACGGGCAGTAACGCACCTCTCTTTCCGGAAATAGATGCCGCCCCGACGATGCGGCCGCCCTTGCCTTGTTCTAACAAACGCAACAGCGCGTATTTGTAGGAGAAGAAAACACCCTTGACGTTGATGTTCATCAGCTTGTCGAACATCTCCGTAGTGGCTACATAACGGTTCGTGAGTCTGAGCAGAGGCACCCTTTGCGACACTAGTAAGCTCACTTTCGTGCAAGGAGGCGACGTTAGCTGTTCCTGCATTAGCGATCATCTATGGGTGCACAGTGAGATTACTCCGCAACGCAGGAGAGGGATCGAAAGGCTCACTGCATACAGGTCCCCGAGTTGCTCCGTCGTCGTGTCTACCAGCTTCTTGATATCCTCTTCTACGCTGACGTCGCCATAGACAGTGATGACCCGAGCGCCATGCTCTGCGCGGATACTCGCCGCGAGTTCCTCCAGCAGGTTTTGGCACTTGGGCAGGTCGAAAAGGGCGAGGTCTAGGCCGTCCTTTGCCAACCGTAGGGAAACGGAACGACCGATGCCTTGAGCTGCGCCAGTGATTATCGCGACCTGCCTTGGGGAGGTAGACGCCATGGTTGTTGTGAGAGGGGGAAAGTTGAAGAAGCTCGACGATGCGTCTCACGCCTTATATACGCGCGGATTCACAATCGTGAACTCTGTTATAGAAGGATAATCCTGCATGTTCACGCGCTACGGGGTCCAAGCTATTCATCTTGGGTACTGCAACTCGCGGACCTATGCGAACAACGGTGAGCGGATTGGCGTGGCGCATATGTATGAGGTGAACGTCCTGCACTCTATATGCCGTCCGAGAGGTGAAACGACGGTGAACAGTCAACCCACGAGACACTACAGGCGAGACATTCGCGAATTTCGCAATCATGTAGCGGGACGATATGTCCTGGATGCGAGCTGAACTTCTGACAAGTTATATTCTTACAAGCACAGGACGATAGATCAGAGCACAAACTGCTAGCAATGAACATAGGAGGGAGCATGTGTTCCATAGAGCGACCGCGGACAGGATTGTCAACTAGTCTGTTTGGTAGGCTGTCCGATGTAATCAGTTGAGAAGCGTAAGACAAAGATCTCGCCTAGGAAAGGGGTGGCGTACGTTTGATCTTCGTGATGAAGCCCATAATGGAGTTGATCATAGCGGCAGTCTCTTCACCGACTGGCCTGATCCACTCCGCCGGGAGATTGAAACCGTACTGTGAGGTACACGGATGGTGAGCGTCACATCCAGCGACAAACTGCTGGAAGCTCTACGTACCGTCCCGGTATCGCGCAAGTGGACAGAGTACGCGTACTTGATGCCCGCCTTCTTGTACATGTAGTCCACGACGTTGCCCGATGCTCTGTACAGCTGTTCGCACAGGCTTCCGATCTGCAGTATCCCAAGAGGTCAGCGGAGCGGTAGACGCACAAGGAGGGCGTGCCGCGGGCATACAGTGAACATGGTCCCGTGAGCTTGCTTTATCGCGTTAACCGCGCGGAGCGCAGCCTCGAGCTGGTCCTCCGCATCTTTCGGCGTCTTCTTGCAGCTGTGTGAGAACGGGATAGACACTAGAGGGGCCTTCGTCAATGACAAGAGCACCGCCATTGATGCGAACGAACGAACGCATTTGGCCATAGCTGCGCAAATCAATGAACGCGCTGAGGTTGGGGAGTGTCTGGATGTAGTTGGCAATATTGTTAACTTCGGGGGCCTCGAACGGGCGGTGGCCGGGATACCATGTGGAACATGGGTCCGCGTCCACGCCCTTACCAGGCCGGGAGAGGGCAAACTCGTCCGTAGCGTTGGAAATGGACGGCAGACGCGATTTCGCCTTCCACTTGTAGCCCTAGGGAGTCATGAAGCTCAGTCATTCATAAGATCTTCAGGGGAGACGGGGAAGAGCTCACCCAGTTCCTGAAAGAAGGAATTGTCAGTTATGGAGTCCTTGAGGGTATGTAGTGGGCGGCGGACCTGTTCATGTCAATGCCAGTGCACTTTTCAGCAGGGCCGATGTTCTGTCTATTCTTGTACCTGACGGCCCGTTTGAGTTCCGCACATGCAACGTTGCCCACGAATCGCTCACCAGAGACGATCATTTTCCCAGGTATAGACGTAGCCGTCGGGATTCGGCACGGGAATGATATAAAAGTCCTATGGCAAAAATTCGGCACTGACCTCCAACGTGCGTTACCTTAAAACTAAATGGAAGGGATGCTTACGAAGTAATCCAACCACGAGGAGAGCGCAAAGTCTTCAGCGGAGTCAGCAAGGAGCGAGTGTGCGAGATAGAGTGCAGTGGACGTTGCAATCCACTACAATTGGTGTCGTGTGAGCGATTGAATATGGGAACATGAATATATAGGTTTACGGCACGCACTTCGCGCGCATGTTGCGCTCCAGTAATCACAAAGCCCATCTTGCGCACGTTGGATGCGTGAGCATCTTCGCCAGTGAGGTTGAGGGAAGTAGGCTTAGATAACCTCATAGCAAGCATCTCCCTCCCTTCTCCTGTGTGACCGATGTAGTCGAACTGAACTATGCCTGGATACGTGATAGCAAGGTCCTCCATGAAGTCCTCAATCTCGTGAAGCGGGTGGTAGTCGGCGTGGTATGTCGTGTTGGAGAGTTTGCTGATGTCCCATATGGTCTGTTGGGCGAAGTAGTCGCCGGCAATATCATCGGCAATATCATCGGCGTCGGCCTCGAAGATTGGGGGATACTCCGTCTCCGAATCCACACTTTGGATGACCATTTGGCACCCTTGAGCATGGCCAAGTTCTTGCCGCATGAGTGCGGATTGTGTCTGTATGAAGAGATACAGATGTGAAATCCTTTCGTATGCAGCATTGGTACATGATATCGTACCTTCAGGTCTCCTTCCCATCTTTGCGACCTTTCCAAACCGCCCTGGCTCAGCACCGAGTGATACTCTCCAGTGCGAGCAAGTTCGTCCGGTATGTGGGTAGCCAAAGCGCCGTAGAGGCCACCACAGAAAAGGGAGACTAACCAGCGGGAGAGCATCCTGTTTGCCAACAGGCAACCTCGCTCGTCCCCTGCTTCTCACAATCCCCCACAGTCCATTCTCCGCCCGGCCCGCATAAACGGTCACATGACTCTACTTCCTCGTGAGAGTGAAGCCCAAAAAGCTGAGCTATCGAAGGATATGCGAGGCCTCTCAATGTTAATATAGGTACCCTGACTAGAATGCCTTGATAAGACCTATCTCGGCATGACTAAGCCAAAAACATGAATTCTACATATATATGCTCACTTCTCGATTATGTTATTTCACATACATTCACCACCAACCTTACGTGGGTCATATGATCCTTTCGTCGCGTCGGTGCTATTTGAACACCATGGAGAAGAGGCAATCAGCGTATAACTGTGGTTACCATGCAATGGCCGGCGGGGAAAGCGTGCTCAAAATGGCATATCTCTGGGTGGGGGTTGGTATATTGCCATGATACTACTACAACAAAGAATCTACAAGGCACACTGACATGAGCGGCGGAATGTGGTGGGAGGCGAGCGGGAATATTGTGAGGTGCAATTGTGCTCTCGGACAGTACATGTGTTGACGTTGAACGTAATGTATGATGTGAAAGGTCGGGTGAGAGGGAGAACATAGATGCGGAAAGCCTATATGTACGAGGGAGACAATAGCTAATAATGCAACAACTGGGCGAGTACTCGCGCCGACGGCCCAGGATGTAGTCCGAACGTCCATGGAATAAATGCATGCTACATAAGCGAGATCATAAGTGGCGGAGACCAGAGGTACACAACGCGGGGTATGAGAACGAGAACGAGGGCAGGCGATAGAGGCGCGCGACTTGGCCGACTTGGATTGAGAGGCGTATAGTCGTCAAAAGCGTGGACATGACCGCGCACCCATATTCGATACAACGACGGTGTCTGCGCTCAACGAGCCGCATGTCGTGTCTGGCGAGCCCCCTCCTCAAGTCATACTCTGTGGCCTGCTCATCGTCTAACAGTGCCATCCGTCCCATCCATATCCATCCCACTGACAACACCTCTCCCCGAGTACGATTCAACTCCCAAGCGGGCCCCTCCGACTCCGTCTCTCGTCGCTCCCCCCGAGCTCAGGATCCATCCTCCCTAGCACCTCCTCCGACGCCACGCTGAATCCACTCCTCACGCTCCCCGTCGAAGCCAACCTCGGACGCACATATGCAGGGGGCAGAAGGATGCCTCCCGCCGCTCCCGGAGCGATATCCCTGTCCTGTGGCGAGTCCCCAAGAGGACTCTCCCTCCGCCCCACACTAGGGTATGCGATCGGGTCCCCAAGGGGCCGCCGCGATGTTGACGCTGGCCCCGTGGCAGTCCGATCTGTCGACGCACTGGCCTCTCGTCTTGAGCCCCGCGATCCGAAGCCCTCCAGCGACGCCATGAACGCCTCCTTCATGTCCCGCAATCGCTCATCCACCGCGCTCTCCGTCGTGAGCACGGGCGTAGACAACGTGCGTGGTCGCAGTGCGACATCGCTCGAGCGCGAGGACTCGGACTCCTCGTCAATGGTCGATGTGCGGGTATGACTTGTCAGTGGCGGCGGGGGGACGGGCGACTCGGACCCTTCGCGTCTGCTCAAGAGCGGCCTACGCGCGTCGATCTCCTGCACGAACGCCGAGATGTCGTCGTCATCCGTGTTGCTGGTCAGGTACGCCGGCGGCTACGTGGAACGAAACGCGTCAGGGCGTCTACTCGAACGACGAAGCAAGAAGATAACACACCGGAACAATTTCCTTCGGCCCACTCCCGGGGCTTCCTCTCGGGCTTGCCTCACCCACACCACTGCTCGGTGTCGCGTAACGTTGACCAAAGCTACTAGAATACCTCTTCCTCGGTGACGCGCTCAAAGGGCTGGCCGACACGCCCTCACCAGAAGACGGCCGGCCCGAGCCTAGGTTTGAAGGCACGAATGGTGGTGAGGGCCGTGCTGGCGTGATAGGGGAAGACGGGAAGTTGGCCCCACTGCCTATAGGGGACGGCGGTACACGAGACGACGTCGGAGACTGGGCTGGACGGCCTGGAAGGGATGGTCCAGCCCCCGTCGAGAGCGGCGACTGTTGTCGCAATGATGGGGAAGGGGAATGCAATGAGGGCGAGCCTGAAGAGATGGTCGACGACTTGAACGCATTGACAGTCGTGATTGGAGTGCGCCGTATGGGTACACCAGTCGGCGACTCTGCCTGCACAGCACAAACCGGACAGGTGTAGGGGTTAGCGCGGCTTCGCGAGGTGGATCCGCGCTACGGGAACTCACCGAACTGCGCCCCTGCATGCTCTCCCGGCGTATCCGCGCCGCAAGCGCGGACACCTCCTCCCTCGAGCTAATTGAGCCCGCGCCCTGTCTTATCGAGGACGAGTCTGAGACCCCAGACGTGCCCATACCCGCGCCCGAAAGGTTCCGCGTGACCGGTAAGGGGATGTTCCCAAGTCTCGGGCTGCCCGCGGGACTGCCTCTAGCGCCCTGGGCAGACGAGAATGACGGCGACCGCCCGTGGGACGATGCAGTCGCCGCGGAGGGTGGGGGGATAACGAACCGGTCTGCAACCGAGCGCGGGGGAGAGCGCGGCAAGGACGTGCGGAGGGGCAGACTGCCGGGGGACCCCGAAATGCTGTCCCGCTGCTGGTTCTTGATGAGGGTAGGGGTGAAATCGGGGCCCTCGTCGAGGGAGAGGAAGCGGGAGGAGAGGAGGGACTCGAGCGTGTCGAGCTGGAAGTTGGGGGACGTGAGGTACGTCACGGAGACGGCGAGCTCACCCATGGGGTGCGTGATAGGGGGCAATGAGTGCTTGTCCGTCTGCAGAACCGGGGCGAGCGCGGGAGGAGCTGTATCTGGGTATATGGGATAACATCGATAGTGTCAGTCATTGTGGTCTGTGGTTGCGGAACCGATGACCCAAGTATCGTAGAAGGTAAGAAGAGCGGACTGATCGAAGGTGCTACGGCACCGCGTGTGCATGTAGGGAAAGAAGGGGACAATGAACCAACTGATGGGAGGTACTCACCAAAGCTCAAAACTTCGTCCGCGCGAATGTCGCCATCGACCCCGTCGACGCGCAGCCTTATACTGAAGTTCCCGCTGCGACTACCCCCGGTACGCCTGCGGAGGCGACGTGCAAGCTTCCACACAGGGAGAACGCGGAGAAGGGTGAAGATGCTGCGAAAGAGCGGGATTCCATGCTTGTACATGGTCGAGGGGGCCACATCCTGGGTCTGGTGATGGTTGTAGGGATGAGGGGCATACTCGAGGTTCCAGGACTCAAGGACGATGTAGCGGGGGGTAGGGTCGATGCGTACGCGAGACGAGTCGGGAGAGAGGTAGACGAGTACCTGGTTGGTAGCTAGCTCGGGGATACATAGCAGAACTTGAAGCTGGAAGAGAGGGACGGCTGGCGAAGTGGAGATAGAGCGATAGACACGGGTGTGCTCTCTAAAGAGCTCCGGGTCTGGAGTCTCGAGGTTGAACTGTAACGACGACCTGGTCAGGTCGCGTCCATGAGCATGAACGCAATGTGCTCACCCATTTGTCGACCTTGGCTGCGGGAGATGGCTCAATGGTAGCTCGTGCATGGTTGACAACTAAGGCGAGTTTAGAGTATAACCTGTGAGCTATCTGGTCGGCCTTCTGGGTCTCATTGGACATGGCAGGAGGGCGAGAACGATGGTATAGCGTGTCTACGAAGACATTAGGACGTATTCATAGGCGACGGTCGTGGGCTGTGATGGACGTGCAAGGAGGGGGAGTCAGACCCTCGTCCACCCCAAATGCCTCTCACTCGATGCCTGCTCGATACGGTCCACCTGGCCGTCAGTCCACGATAGGCGCCCATCCCCTCTCTCCGCCAATTGTCCAATGCCCCTGCTGAGCCGTCCTGCCTTTCTTGTACCCCTCTTCCTTCCACCGCCATCTCCACATGATCCTAGGAGAGCTTAAGCGTACTTCTCGCAGCCCCGGGCCTGCCGGCACGAACAGATCGGCGCACTACCAGTGCGCACAGCTGCGAACGCCCAGGGCGCGCCCACAGACAATATCCGATCCTCCTCGCACGAACGCGCATTCGTGCTTGCTACATGCATCCGACACAGTGCAAATCCCATCGATTATGCTCACGTTTTTCTTCGAATTAGTCTGACAGAGTGGGACGACCTGCTTTCCCCTGTACCCCGAGCGGTACGACAAGCTGTCGCGAGATTGACACGGCGTACAAGTACGCCATATCGGCATCCTATTACTCCATTGCATAACAGGGGTGCAACCACGACAGCATCCAGCCTATAGCCTCTGCGGGAAGCACCTCGCGTACGTCTACCTTTTGCCTCGGGTACTTGCCCGGCCAGGCCCCTGCGGTAGCTCAGCCCCGTGGACCCCACATACAGGAGAACACGACTGAGAGTTCTACCAAGAAACGAGTCATCGCCCCTAAAGCGCTAGTCTGAAGTCAATTTGGGTTGTGCAGGATCATGACCTCCCGCACGTTCCCATTGTCCTTGAAGCGTCCACCCTGACTCCGACGGTCGATCAAGAAGACCGCGGTAGGAACCACCAGCCCACGCCCGCGGTCCAGCCTCTTTTCTTTCCATGTCGAGCAGCGCTGGGTGCCATGACGTTCTCCACGCGGTGCCACCACCTGCGGGGCACGAAGATTGTGTCGCCTTCCTGCAGCATGCAGCTTAGGACGCTGTCTGAAGCAAGCATTGCCCGGGCCGCCTTCGCGGGCACCATATCTGGATCGATTGCGACGTCGAACGTGTCGGAACTGGTGGCCTTAAGGAAGCATTCCACGTGAGACGTGTTACGCATGAATTCGCTGTCCTTTCTCTCGAGGAATGGCGACATCGAGGGAGGAAGTAACACGAAGTGTTTGCCGAAGAGAGACGGCTCCGAGGAAGAGAAGAGGTTGTAGAGGTTGTGGTACGGATCAGTGTGCAGAGCACTGACCTGGATGGTGCAGCATCAGTATAAATGAATTGATCTCCTACGATCATGCGCGATCGAAAGTGAGGGAACTGACGAGCCAGCTGCGCTGGGAGCCTGGACCTCAGGATTCATGCTTGTGAAGCACGAGGTCTGCAGAACGCTGCAAGTCACAGGATCAACCGACCAGTGGCGCGATTACCCTAAGGCAGATTTTGTCGTGGCTCGTTCCACCCTTTCACTGAGCATAAACGAGTTGCGACGATCTCCCGAACGCGCCCATGGCGAGGCATGGAACAGAGCGTTACTTACCACGCCTACCGGCCCCACAAAGAACGCAGACTGATACAGATCCGCCTTCTCCTGTTGCAGGAGCGGTACGATCAGCCCTGGTGGCTTCACGACGTCCTGCAGTCCAGGAACCTGCACAAGTGATAGATCGATTAGCGTCAATATATCGCACATATACGGACTCGGCACGTACATCTTCATGCGCCCTCCATTGCGCAAGATACAGCATCCGCTGCTCTTCGTTGGCGCTCAGCTTGCGTTGGTCCGTCAGCCAGTCGAGGAACACCCCGAGCTGGCACGAGATGCGGTCATCCCACCCGTGCTTCCTATCCCACTTGCCTGTCTCCACCTCGACGAGACGCTCGCTGGGGGCGGCGCGAAGGGTACAGAGGAGAGTCTCCGCGAGATGGTCGTCCTTATCTTTGCGGGCTCGAATAATCACCGGCGCCGCGTTGGGGGAGCGCAGGTACTCGAGGAACTTGTCCGGAGCCGAGGTAAGCCAGGTGGGAGCGTCGGGGACGGCCTTGGTCTTTAGGAGCAATATGGGCGTGTCTGGCGGTAGCGGCAGCGGATGCACGGCCGAAGGCCCTTGAACTGTGTTTTGCTTGTCGGAGGATGTCTCCCAGTATCGCTGCTTCGAAACCTGCGATGTAGCAACCGCTGGCCGGCGGGCGAGCTGCGAAGTCTGCAGGCGGAAAGGTGCTCGTATCATGGTGGTTTGGGTTCGTTTGGAAGGCGTAGAATGTGGCTGGCTTTATGCTGGAAATGTTAGCACGATAGAACATTGGATGTCAGGGCGGGACGCAGAAAGGGGCTCAATGACGACCACCATGACGGATGGCATCTGACCATGTCCCACTCTTCTTGAGAACTACAAACCTGCCGTACCGTTGGGTCAGAACCATATCAAGAACGAGAAGCAAGACTCAGGTTGGAGCAACGTGAAGCAGACCGCCGAAATGCAGCAAGACGCGCATATAGCGGGCAGGACGACTATGATTATGAAAGCAGTCATACAGTAAGATACCTCCGGCCCGATTGGACCTCCGAGTAGCACAAAGAAGGAAACATATACAAACCGCACCACCAGCCCCCCGGAACGCAGCAGTCGATGCACTGGACAAATAGCCAGATGATGCATATTAGTGCTTCGGCTCGTAGTGGCTCTCCTCGAGATGGTTGAGCTCGTCCTCCGCCGCGTCGAGATGGCGGAACTGGAACCAGAAGATGACACCCGCGACGGCGGCGAGGACCGCCATCGAGCCGTAGTTCCAAACAAGCAGCGGGTCCGCCGAGAGCGACACGAACGCCTCGCCGAGCGCAGCGCTGATCCCGTTCTGGAACAGGAAGATGGCCATGACGAGCGAGCGCATGTTCTTCGGCGCCTTCGTGAACGCGTACTCGAGACCGGTGATGGACGCGAAGATCTCCGAGAGCGCAATGAGCACGTACGAGCCCGTCTGGATCCAGACGTTCAGATCAGACGTGATCGGGTTCCCGTGGGCGTCCTGGCACGTTGCGACGTGGTAACCGCAGGGATTGCGCTTGTAGATGTAATGTTGGACGACGGCGGCCCAGATCATGGCGGCTGACCCAGTGAAGAAGCCGAATGTGATTTTCTTCAAGGGTGTGAAGTTGATCCCTGCTCGGCGGAGGGCGGGATAGATGATGATGTCGCAGATGGGGATAAAGATTATGAGGGCGAAGGGGTCGAGATTAGAGAGGACGTCGTTTGGCAGACCGTTAGTAACCATCGTGGCGGCTTGGGAGACCAAGTTATTGTTGATCTGATTGTACGAAAGCCCTGCAAGCGGAAGATGTGGATGGTCGACCCTAGGTCCGGAATCGAAGCACAGGATTGTCACGTACAGTAGATCGGGAACCAGCAGAAGACGTAGCACGCCTTGAAACCGCGCTTGACCTCGTCGACCCACTGATCATCAAACGTCATCCACGAGGGCCTGCTCTCGCCTTCGAAGCGGCTCGGCTTCACGGAGTCCCAGAAGTCGGGCACGTTCATATTCTTGACAAGCCGTATCGGGTTTGTGGACCAGCGGCCCTTCATCGCTTGACGCCAAACGCGGAGCGACTTCGAGAGCACAGAGCCCTGCGGTGGTGAACGTGTATAGAGTCTGTACCCGCCCCACAGCACAAATGGACAGCACAGGAAGATGATGGTGGGGAGAGTGTACGAAAGCCAGAAGCCAACGTACTAGAGCAAATTTGCAGTGTCAGCGGTCTCCCCGGCCTATGTAGTAGGTGCAGACATACCTTCTCGGAGTAGGCCATGGAGATCTGACCTATCAAGGCGCCAACGTTCGTGAAGAGGTAGAAGTACATGTAGATACGAGACGTGGTCATAATCGGGTCGACAATGACGCGTTCACCGCGGGGGGTCTCCCTGATGAAGAGCTTTGACCTCTTGTACTGTTCGGCGACAAGGGGAGAGATATTAGCCTTGAATCCACCTGTTCCCAGGCCTATGATGATGACTGCAATGATGAAGCATCCCAAAGCACCATGCGAATGCTCGATGACACCGGGGACAGAGGAAATGATGAGTAGTATGTGACCGATCAGCGCGACCCCGACGCAGATGCAGACGGTCTTGTAGCGTCCCCATTTTGTATCGGCAAGGTAGCCACCGAACAGTGGAACAACGTACACCCTAGCAGACGGTGAATATCGATTTACGGTAATAACAAGCTAGCGATCTTGGAGATCACGCACCAGAAAGTATTGAAGGTACCGATGCCAGTGGAAGCACGTTGACCAAGGCCGAGCGCACCAGCTTGCTTAATGTTAGCGCCAGTCCTCGATCCGGGTGGCAGCGGTTGTTGTACGAAGTTGGTCTACGAATGCCACAGCCCTTGTTGGTCATCGGGAATTGCGTACATCACATAGAAGGCCACTTACATAGACGACACTCGCTCCGTAAAACGAGAAACGCTCCGCCAACTCAACAAAAGCAATCACTAGGGGACATTGTCAGTTCGTGCGGGGAAATAACATGGATCGGAAACAAATTACAGTACGCGCTCCAAGGGAGGGAGTCAGACACACGGCGCAGTGTGTGCTTCTCCTCTTCGGTGGGGAAGACAAGCCCATCGTGAACGCCGTCGAGCTCGTGCTGGAGCGACGAAGTCGTTGCAGACGCAAGATCATGCTTCTCGAGCTCAACCTCGTCCCGTTGGGCTTCGGCGAACCCAGCTAGGATGTCCTTGTCAACCTGAAGACCAGCCATGTCCTTGTTTGAGTCCTACAAGTCTTGACCGAAGGAGGGTGCGGACTGGTGCGAAGCGATGACCGTTCAGTAGAGAAACTCGTCAGGTCTTGAAGCACCAGAGTACCACCGGAGCACTCGACGGTCAGGGAAGACCTTGATGGGTGTAAAGAAGTTGTGAGCGCTGCATCGCCCGTCCGTTCATCTTGGCATCGCTTTTGAGACATACTGCATGACTGATCCTCTCAGATGCTTTGTGCCCGGCGTTGAACAGGCGTCTCGAAGCCGCTGATCCACTTTGATCATCAGACGATATACCATCTCAACGGCTCACGGGCAGGAGCAGGACGACACGCCCCCAGCGCCAGAATAAATCTCCTAGAGGCATTGTACACATAGTGGGATTGAGTGAACCATGCCCTGCAGTCTAAATGGGATGAGCGAATACATACATCCGCAACTTCGATGTTGGCGTCGTCTTGCCTGGTGTAACCAGCCAAAAGACATATCAGGCGGCATCGCGTGGTCCGCTCGTCTAGACGCAGCGCTGGCTCGGAAGAACTTGCCCCGTTTCTTCCACGCTAGTTAGACTCGTTCTCATGCGGCGATACCTATAGAAGCCTGACGGCTGGCATCACAAAAATTCTCCGACTACTGCCATAAGGAAAATGGTATCCTGTTGGTATGTCAGTCGTAAGTAGTCAGTCGTGAGTACTGTGACCCTGTAATCTTCAGATGTGCTAGGCACTCACGAGCTGTCAGTCGGCCATGGCATAGCAAGTATCCCTGGCTCACAAGTCTGCGCCCATGGAAGGGAAGAGGTGGTTGCGTGTGGTCGCGTGTGAAGGATTTTGGTCAATTCGCAAAAAGTTGTGGCGTTCAGCGGAGTCGGGCATCCTCAATCTCGATCTCAGTGCCTGATCTCATCTGAGACAGTCCGCAGATCTACTCCGAAATCCGAGCAGCAGCTGATTTCCTTGACCTCTGCAGTTTGTTCAAGTCCTGTGCTGATCTCAACCCTTCCGCTTTCGCCGACATGGCCACGAATCCGAACAGTAGAGCTTCGGGCACGGAGGGCAGGGTTAAAGGCCGTAGCGCGATATCACATTCCTTGGCAGAGGGTTGAAGCTAAGTTTGAAGTTTGCTCCTACGCCCTAGCACGCATCGGTGACGGTACAGGAAATCCAGCTCCTGTCGAAAGTCTGCTTATCTATTGCCGGGCTACTTCGGGGAACGATTTGAGCAGCATTGCCGTGCGCCCTCATGACAGCGTGATTTCTGCAGAGCCACATCTTTTCGACCTTGCGACAACAATTCCCAGGAAATCACGCAGCGTGCCCGTGGGGATGTCGTTATCGGGGAAGAAGGGAATTACAGTCAGATCTGATGAGGATTGCGGCTTATATTCACAGGCCCATGCCCACGCAACCCCGTGGACACACCAGCTGAACAATAGGTGATACTAATGAAGATCGACATCGATTGCATTGCTCGAGGAAATGTCACGACGAGAGATCTGACTCCCCTCTCGTTGAACGCTATGAGCAACTCTGCCACGAGACGCACTGTCATCATCACCGGTGCCGCCGAAGGCATAGGACGCGCAATCGCAACGAGGCTAGCAAGAGATGGATATGACCTTGGCCTGTTCGATCTCCCCCATGCGCGCGACAGGCTAGAAGAATTAGCCGAAAGTACCCGGACCAGGCATGGTGCCAAAGTCTGCAATGTGTACGGGGATGTAACAGTAGAGGATGACGTCAAGCGGCTCGTGGAGACAGTTGTGCAAGAGCTCGGCGGCCTGTATGCTGTAAGTCAGTCCTAGTTCTTGGTGCCGAGGGACTAATTCTGTGCGCTACCAAGTTTATCGCTAATGCTGGCATCGCTCGGATCGGTACTCTCCATGAGGGTACGAAAAGGCGACTGCGTATTCGCAGAGATGCGCTGATTGGACGATGTTTCAGTGCCGACGGAGGAGTTCGACAAGTTGATGAATGTCAACGTCAAGGGGGTGTTTTTCAGTTACAAGTACGCCGCTATACAGCTCATCAAGCAAGGCCATGGTGGACGTATGATTGGTGCAGCGTCAGCCGCTGGAAAGAAAGGTATCTTGGTTCACATGACTACTCTATCCTTCATGTCAGGCATCACCACTCCCTGACGTGGGGATTTTCAGGAGCTTCGGGATGGGGCGTCTACAGCGCCTCAAAGTTCGCGGTGCGGGGTTTGACCCAGTCCGCTGCGATGGACTACGGGAAATACGGCATCACAGTGAATGCTTACGCCCCGGGATTCATTGAGACACCCCTCTGTGAGTGATTGCTACCATGTATTAGAACAATCTCCCTCTAAGTGCAACCGGCTCTGGGGATGGACAGTGGAAGGGATTGACGAAATATACAGCGCAAAGATAGGCAAACCCAAGGGGACGTGGACGCAGGAGTCGTCGGTCCGTCTACGCTTACCATGCCAACGTGCTTATCCCGGCTCATCAGGAGGTTATGCATATCTACAGGCCAATTGGAATGTATTACGCCGCCATGGACAGCCGGACGACGTTGCAAACCTTGTGTCATTCCTCGTCTCGGATAATGCAGCATTTATCACCGGTGAGAATCCGTCGTGTACGCGATCGTAGACGCGTACCTTGCTGACGGACTCCATTAAACCTTTACATCGCGCCAACAGGACAATCGGTAAGTATATATGCGCCGAGCAAAGCGGGGCGGCATGTCTGATAACAGTCTCCGATAGTACTCCATTGACGGCGGCATGCACTTCGACTGAACAGTTTACGCTCGGATACTGAGAGAAGACCATCCACAGGGCGCGCAAGGAAGAAGGCACAGGAGAACAGACATGGAGAGGAACATACGACCCAGAGAGCATGCCCGGAATTCACCCAACGGACGTAGTTAGTGATCCCAGCGATCACTGTATTATTTCTTGCCTCCATGGTACCTTGCCTAACCCTGGACGTCGGTTGCTTCTTGACACCCCTGGGACGGATGCGCCAGGAAACGTCACCCTGAATACCAAGAACTGGTTGTCGTTGTCCAATCCAGCGTTGTACGGCTGTCCAAGGGAGATGCCCTGCGTCGTGATGAAGTCGTTATCGGACTGGGAGAGAAGCACCGGAGATCAGCTCGTTCCTAGATCCAGGGCAGCCGCCGAACGAGATATTGACAGCTCAACTTACGACAGTGAACAAAAAGTAGTCATCAGGGAAATCCGGGTCGCCGACTGGCGCGAGGGCGAGAGATTCCCACTTAGCGTCGATGAGGGTCTGGTCTGCAGGCTTGCCTGTGGGCCCCCAGTAGCAGGGTTTGAGACAAGGCTTAGGGGAAGAGAACATCAAGCACGCACCGTTATGGAGACCGAAACGGGCGAGCTGCGTGTCGTCGATGAAACTGACGAAGGAGACGTACGTGGCAGGGTTGATGGTGCTGTCAAGCTCGCCATCCGGCGAAATGGGCTTGCTTGGATCATCAAATTCTGTGTTGTGAATGTCGGTCGCGTCGGTGATATCTATCAAGTCGGCCTGCCTGTCGGGTTGCAATCCGTCAACTGCGACCTTCACAGGCAAGTGTGTACAGTGACTTACTTGTAAGCGGAATTATTGTCGTCACCGCCGTGACCATCGGAGTCACGGGAGAGAACGAGGAAGACATTATCGCTGACAAAGTGTAGCTCGCTTGAGGCGTACGTCTTGCCCTTTTTACTTTGTGGAAGTGGGACGACCCACTCTCCGACAAGAGGGGGCTGTGCTGCAGACGAGGAGACATTGAAGGCGACTAAACGTGTGAAACGCGAAGTAGTCTTGTCGCTTCCCCCATCCTGGATGGTCGCGGATTGGAGGAGTGCATACAGGGTGTGCCCGTCAGCGCTAACGGTCAGTCCCTCGAAACCTATATGGTAAGAGTGCATGTGGTCTATATTCAATTCGATCTGTGAAGAGGGATTGTATTACGGACCTTGGTTTCCCGCGCGGCCTGTGTCGGGGTCGGAGTCAGAAGTAAAGTTGAGCTCGCCCTTAACCAGAGGGAGGATTGCCTGCGGAGGTTGGATGGCTTTGATGAGCTCTGCTTGTTCGCTGAACAAGTAGATGTACGGGCCGTATTCGTCGCTGGTCCAGAAGCTATGCGACAGTCCGTGAGCCGCCGATCAGAACTTCAGACGCAGAGAAAATTACACACGTTCCGTCAGCGTTGAGCACGAGGCCTTCAGCGTCCAGAGACAGATGGTCATTAGAAGGCGCCTCTGGTAATGGCGGGTCTGCCGAGGTCGACGGGCGAATAGCCAGCGCGTCAAGTCCAGTGGTGGCCGCGTCGTTTCTCTCAGTATACAAGAGTGTGTTACGGTATGAGAGTTTGAGGGTGGTCAAAGCGGCATCGAAAGTAAGATTGTTCGTTCCGTAGAATGGCGACAACACGAAGTCGATCTGGTGCTGACGACCTTGATAATCGATAGTTCCGTCACTACACGACCCACCGTATCAGCTTGCGTGACTAAGACTCTATGAGCTTGGGAGAACATACACGTTGAAACCCCGATCGGGTTGGGCAACAATCGTCCCAGTGAAAGTGCCATCGGACTGCCGCGCAAATGAGCCTCTCTTGAGGGCGATGGCACTCCCGAAACCCCCCATAGTGTTGCCTATACGGCATTGTCAATTTGAAGACGTTACGCTTGCTTGTGCGTCACGAACCTGTAGAGTCCGTGAAGTTCGACGGAATCAATCCGAACGCGACTAACCCCTGCAAACTCGCTAGAACTCAGCACTCCTATCCACGATAAGACTGGGCAAACCTTATTGATGTACGTATTCCCACCCAGTTCCACAGGCACAGCGTACGATGGGTCAGGCTCTGGGAGGCGCGTCGAAGACGGGCGCCCATCGGAGGTCGTGATGTGCAGGGAAAGCGCGACGATAATCCACGAGAGAGTCGGAACCATTGGGCCTTTCGTCCTCCACGAGGCCTGGAGCAAATTTTCTGCCTCTGAGCAACCCTTTATACGCCATGCTACGCTGCCGTTGAGGTCCTGGCTCTGACGGACCCTTCTTGATATAGACGCAAGGCCACGCGGACAATGGACGCACGTTCGTCCGCCTATTCGACCCCTAGCCCATGGCCATGACTCACATCAAACTCAGCTTGTCGTGCCTCTTCGGAGCATCATCAATGACAGGTTGAACACCGAACGGTTAATATATACCATGCCGTCAAAACCTCCAACCGCATCCATCGAAGGCTCCAAGTGGCAAGCGCCGACATGCTGTCTTGATGGCCAAGGGCGGATGACTCTCCTGAGGAAGCTCGCCGGCGCATCGCGGCGATGCCGTAGTATCCCGGCGTCAGCACTTCAGCACTGCAAGATAGTAAGCGCTTGTGTTCTTATTCTCAGCTATGGTGCAGTTCACTTAGAGGCATCCACTTTTGTACGCAATTAAGCGCCGACCTATAAGTCCCTTAGACTGTCATGAAACCCTCCCATAATCTGTCAATTGCACGGATTTGAACAGAGGAACTGATCCCTAGACGCGATTTTAGGTCGGGTCAAAACTGGCGAAAATGGCTTCGACAGTAAGGCCACGGCACGTGACACGGGCGTTTAAACACTAAAGAGGTAATCCGTTTATTACATAATGGTATCAGACGCCCGTCGCCCGTGCCACAGAGCCTTCGGCATGTTGTCCTGGAGAGTTTCCAAGATATATAGTTGCAAAGCTTTCAAAGAAAATAGTTCTTCACTAGGTCCCATAAAATGAACAACTATGAGGTCACAATGATGTGCAACATGCTCTATTGGTGTCATGAGTCGGTCAAAACCGACCCAAGGCCAAGTCACGTGATGCTCAAGCGCGCGCTTAACTGCGTACAAAAGTGGATGCCACTAATTGAACTGCACCATAGCACGACTCTCTCCAAATAGCCGAGCTGATACTAATTTGACATCTACGGCACGTCCGTCAAAGCTTATACATCTGTACATAGATGTTAAGGCAAGCTGTCATTCCGCTAAGTTAACGGGCTACCTGCCGAATGCTTGTAGCCTAATATTCATTGAGGACGATTCTGGTCTGGCTCGAAGATCGTGAGACACTAGCGACAAGTTTCTTCATGCTTCCAGCGGAAGCTTTCCTCTCAGGCGTGAGTTTCCCACCGATATCTGCTTGCTAATCCGGAGACGATGTGTCGCAACAGGAGTAGTACTAGCTGAGAGAGAGAGAAGTCCTTCCTCCTCGCCCTCGACAGCGATGGTTTATTCAGAGAGTCCAGTAGCTACCGAGCTCATACCGCCCCTCGACCCAGAGCTACTTTCTTTATCAGATGCGGAGAGCTCATTCCTTCGCTCCACTACCTCTCTCAATGATGACGAGTTACGGAAGCGGATATTGGACATTCAGAAGCGGTAGGTTTTCCGTCATTCCCGAACTCATTCAGATGGGCTCACATACACGATAGGGCCTAGTAAGCATTCTTTTCGATAACCTAGGTCCTCCCGGCCAGTCGACTGATAGCTAGATCAGCGAGGAGTACCCATATCCATGCGTGCGGGCCTTCCACTTCGTGAACCTCATGATGGCTGCAAACCCGATCTACTCGGCGGTTCTCGAGGCCGGCAAAACCGATCGGACCCTCTTCCTTGACCTCGGGTGTCATAGTATGCACACACCGCGAACGGTCCAGAGTCTGGCATCAGTCTAATCGCATGTCTGTAGTGGGGACGGACCTCCGCAAGCTGGTCTATGACGGATATCCCGCGTCCAACGTGGTCGGATGCGACCTGCGGCAAGAATACTTCGACTTCGGCTACGAGCTATTCGGTGATAGGGACAGATGTCCCATCCGATTCTTCGCGGGCAATATCTTCGACTTGCCTGATGTCGCTGCACACACTGCCGTCGTCCAAGAGACGCACCCTCCTAACTTAGCATCAGTTGACAATCTATCTCAGCTGCGCGGTAACCTCACCCACATCTACACCGGGGCGCTGTTCCACCTCTTCAATGAAGAGACTCAATATCAGCTCGCCATCAGGCTCGCCTTACTTCTGAAGAGGACACCAGGTGCCATTGTCTTTGGCCGACACCATGGCTTGGAGCACGCAGGCAAAGTCGACGATCACCTCGGCCGGTAATTATACCCAGTCCACCATCAGATCTCAAACTGACCTGTCGGCTTAGCGACCGTTACGCTCACTCGGAGACATCGTGGCCCGCTTTGTGGAAGAAGGTATTCATAGAAGTCGAAGGAGAGGCGTTCGTCGACAAGATCGTCGTTTGGGCGAAACTCACCGATGGGTTCACGCCCAACGTGTTCGGAGCGAAGAAACAGCACCGGATGCTGTACTGGAGCGTTCAGATCGTATAGCAGTTCAAGAAGGTAGATTAGGTATTGATAACTATGGTTATCCCCTAGATACATAGCCGGTACCGTGGCTCAGAAGTTTTCAGCGTACATGTCGGGACGGTTTACAGACCGCATGAGTATCGTTGTTGATTTACGGAATGATGACGGCCCGGAAACGGGCGGTTTCCCTGTGAGCATAAGCTTCATGGGCCTTGTGGAGCGGGAACCGTTCCACCAAGCACTTGAGCTTCTTTGCCTGAACGAAGGCGAGACAGTCCTCCGCGTCCTTCGGAGAACCCGCGGGCCAGCCACGGATGGAGAGGCGCTTCACGAGCAACGACACTGCAAAGCACGTTTCGGATCGACGCATTTCAGACAATGGTATTGTGAACACTCACAAGGCGATATCTTCATCGGCTCAGGCTCCACAGCGAGCACGAGCAAAGTGCCGTTGACCGCGAGGCCGTCGATGAGGCTCTCGGTGACGTTCGCGTTCGGCGCCGTGGACATGATGACTTTCATGCCCCCGAACTCCTGGAGAGCCTGGGCTTGGTCCACCTTGGAGCTGTCGATGAACTCGTCCGCACCGAGGGTGCGAGCGAGTTCCTCCTTGGACCCGTCCGACGATAACGCGATCGTTCTGAAGCCCATCGCTGAGGCGAACTGGACGGCGAGATGTCCCAGCCCTCTGTTATTGTAACATGAGTCACGTAGAGCTGCAAAGAGCGGAAGGCCGAGAAGTGCGTACCCGATGCCTTGTATGGCGACATACTCGGGAGGGGAGATTGACATGTTACGGAGGGCGTCTGCGCGGCGTGCATCGGTGAGCAGTACATCAGGCATCAGCGACGTCCCACTCACTGAACGTCGATATACCTGCGCACAGAAGGGGCGCCGCTTCAGCAGGGTCCATGTCCTCGGGGACTTTGACTACGGCTTCCGACCTCAAGGTCACGTACTCGGCGTAGCCTCCATCCCAGTTTGCACCTGGTTGCCACGCTTCAGCACAACAAGGGGGGAGACGTAGTTTCGGGTACTTGCCGATGATGCATTGGTTCTGGCATGTCATATAGTCGCCTGCCCGACAGCGGACGCAAGTATAGCAGTGGCCGCCATGATAGCCGGCCCCAACGCGCTGGCCGACCTTCCACATCGTTTCTTGGCAAGACACGGCCACGACGTCCCCGACGATCTCATGTCCGGGGACGCGGGGCAGGGGCACCGGCATGACTTGAGTCGGGCAGATGTCGTCCCTGCAGCAGACGGAGTCAGCTCCTGGCAAGATGCGAGGAGAGAATGAGGTGCTGACGTTCCGCACACGCCGCAGGCGAGCACTTTGACGACGATTTCGCCGGCCTTGGGAAATTTCCACGGAACGGTTATTTTCTGGAGCTTGCCCCCAGGTACGAGGAAGGCGTAGGCGGTGTAGGTAGCGGGGAATTCTACGAGTCCAGGCATGGTTGTAGAGGGAAAGCGTGTCTGTGTATGACGGGCTGTTGGCCGATAGAGGTCTAGGATGGGGCGGTTTTATACCTCGACGTGGGCGAGCCTGAGGGCTAATGCACGGCCGCTCAGCATAGTATAAAACAGCGCAAAAGAGCAGATTCCGGTCTTCGACGTGTGGTCCCGATCCGACATCGAGGAGCCGAAAATGGTGGTTTGGCGTATGTCACGACATGACACAACCTGCTTGCAAGCATTGTCTTTTCTGTACAGCGAGGAGACAGCGTGGACGCGAGCAGTTGGCGTAGTTCGTGAAGATAGGCGGGAGTGCGGGTAGGCCGATCAATTGCAACAAAATTTGGATCGCAGAGGTAAGAGCACCGCGGAGGTGGCGCGTTCGCGGGAGAAGGCCGAGTGTGAGCATAAAGAGCACACTGACAGATATCTCAGTAATTGACACCACACGGATACTCCTAGAGCGGCTCATACACATACCTTCTTCCAGGCACTCAAAGTCAAAGAAACATGATTCCTGTTTGACCACTACGGACAAACATCGTCGCACCCCGTCCTGGGCCAATCTGCGTAGCGATTGTTCCTCACTGTGAACGATTGAGTTGTGTGTCTATTGGCTCGTGGCTGAGCCTGATAATACAATACGCACGTTTTTGAGGATTGTAAAGTGTCGAAATCTCCTGGTTCATGATCCATGAACGTCAAGATCTTGCGGATAATGGCCACCTGGGCCTTCTTTGACCCCAGCGTCACAATGCGAAAGCCAAGGTCCCATAAAGTGGTGGCGTCATGTAGGGAAAGAAAAAAATTCACGCTCGAGAGGACGGCTTGGAAGCGACGACGTCAGAATGGTAGAGAAACTGAGATTACTCGAGCAATGTGGCGAACGGAACAGTGCGTGCCACGGAGCCGTTGGGAAACTAGAGACACGTCATGGATTTGCTTGTTCACACCCGTGGCGGCGGCCTATAGAAGGTCGAGACATACCGTCTGCCGGGACCACGTCTGTCCGAAGTATCACAAGCGGTGAACATTGATGTGGCGACCCGCCAGAGAGCCACTTCTGCTGCTCATGGTTCACGGCTTCCGACAGATATATGGACAAGAGCTAAGGGAAGACCGATCAATGAGGGTGGTCAACATGCAAGAACGACTGTCACAATCATATTACAGGGCTTTACGCGAAAACTGTAGAAGTTCGGCGAGGGTTATATTCCTCACGAGCATGCTGGCATATTAAGGTGCCATTGGCTAAATCTATAGCACATACAGAGCAGGAGCTTGAATTATATAGATTATAAACAGCGGCGAACGCATTGCATTTCAAAACATACCTCAAACTGTTATGGGGAATTTGCCAGTGTCAGTAGGTAGGTTGGTGATTGGAGGAATACTGTTGCAAGTGAGCCAAGGTGCTAGACCACATCTTCCTGCGCTCGCATTTGAGAAGTTGAAGGTGAAAAGAACGGAACACGTCGATGAGCGCCAGTACGCGCGTTCTGCTGCCGTCGACGCCCACGCGAAGCGTCACCGAGCGCCGGTCGGTCCTCGAGAGTCGGCCTCAGACTCGTACCGCCCCCTGCGCGGTGCCCCTCTCCGTCCGCAGCCTGGCCCTCTAGCTTCAGCTATACCTGCTTGGAGCTACCAACCGGACTTGCTGCCAAAATGTTCCCGGCATCCACATCTGCATGGACATCGAACGTCTCTCAGCTCGAGGTCCTAATCACTCGGGCGTGCAATCCGACCATGGGCGAGCCCAACTACGCCCTCCATCTTGAGGTTGCGGAGTATATCAACCAAAAGAAGGCAAACACGTACGCCCCCTTCTTCCTATACATCGAGCCACCCCAGCTTATCCGCACGCCATTCGCCTATCCCGAAATGCAGCCCCCGCGAAGCGGCGATGACCATCGCACGGCTCGTGAACCACCGCAACCCGCACATCGCCATGCTCGCCCTCGCGCTGCTCGAAACCCTCGTCCAGTCCTGCGGATACCCCTTCCACCTACAGATCTCTACCAAGGAGTTTTTGAACGAGCTCGTCCGCCGCTTTCCCGAGCGCCCGCCCCCGTTCCCGGGCCCGGTCATGCAGAAGATCCTCGATCTCATCCACAGCTGGAAGGAGGGCATTTGCGTGGAGTCGCGATGGAAGGACGATTTTGCGAACATCCGGGATATGCACCGGCTTCTCACCTTCAAGGGTTATCGTTTCCGGGACGCGGGCAGGCAGCAGGCCTCCTCGGCGCCGTCCTCGTCGGTGAGTCTTCGTCGCGCTCATGAGCCATCAGTCCCGCGGACGTTCCAATGGAACGATGGCGGACGTGACGCTGACACGACATGTCGTACAGGTACAGAATCTTAAATCCGCGGAAGAGCTTGAGGCGGAAGATCGGGAAGCGCAGCAAGCTAAGCTGCAAGAACTGATTCGCAGAGGAACGCCGCGGGATCTCGCTGCCGCGCAGGAGCTCATGAAGACTTTGGCGGGTGCAAACCCCGACGCGAAACCGGACTACCGCACGCAGTCTCTCACGGAGCTGAACAAGCTCGAGAGCAAAGTCATCTTGCTTAACGAGATCCTAGACAACGTCGATACCACGAGAGGAGAGAAGTTTGTGCAAGGAGACGTGTACGATGTGAGTCCCGGCCCGTTCATCATTAGTACCGGACGCCCGGATTTACCAACCGCGCCCATGTTTGTAGCAAGTCGCGTCAATACTCCGCGACGCCCGACCAAAGATCCAGAAGTGGATATCCAACGCCGAAGAAGACGACCCCGAGTCCCTCGACACCTACCTCCAGATAAACGACCAGATCAACACCGTCCTCAACCGCTACGAGTCCTACAAGAAGGGCGACTTCTCCGCCGCCGCCAACCCTATCCCCGCAGAGCTCTCCAACGGCGCCCAAGGCGTCTCCCTCATTGACCTCGACGATGCCCCAGCACCATCGTCGAATGCGGGTGGGGCAGCTGGTGGCGGGGGCATCAACGACCTCGCGGACCTCTTCGGCGCAAGCCCCGCGGCCCCCCAGGCGCAACCCCAGACCGCCCTTCCACCTGGGTACCCCGGCCTCGCCGGCTCTGGCTTCAACAGGAGTCAGGGTTACGGGGTGCCGATGAGCGCAGGGCTGGGGGTCGGGACGGGCTTCGGCGTAGGCTTAGGCGGCACGGTGTTCTCAAGCCAGCCAGTCACACCAGCTTTCCAGGCGCCGTCCCCCATGGGTGCGAACGGCCCCCCGGGCAACCTCCCCCAGCGCGCAGGGACCACGTCTCCCTCATCGGGGGCGCCGCTGGGCTCGATCCGGTTGGGGACGCCACAGCTGCAGCCGCAGAGTCCCGCGCAACAGCCGCAGTACTCGCAGTCGTCTGCGCCTGGGTTCTTTGGGCAGCCGGTGCAACCGCCGCCGTTCCAGCAGCAGCAGTTCCAGCAGCAGCAACTCCAACAACAGCAGTTCCAGCAACAGCCGTTCCAGCAGCCACTGCAGCCTCAGGTTCAGCAGTCGGCCCAGCCGACACCGGCGAACGGGCAGGCGCAGGGGAAGGACCCATTCGCGGATCTAGTCGGGCTCTTCTGAGGACGAATGGACTTGACTATTGCTATTTACTGCTGTCGTTGGTTGGTTGGGAGCATGTATACATCGCACGAGGAAGGATGTAGGTTAGGGGAAGCAGTCATACATCTCATCTAGCGTTCTCGAAACCATGTCTCGCCACATACCTAGGTCAGCGCCAGGACGCATGATTGAAGGAGCCCAACACACGAGGCCGTGAACGTTTGATGAGTGTGATTCGGTTGGGCACTAGTGGAAGTATATGTACAAGCAGGCTCAGTGCTCGATGCAATGTCCGCACAAGCTGGGCTTGGGTATATCGTGCCGCTCGCTCATGTGTAGAACTTGCGGTTGGGGTTCGGACCGAAGAGGTCCGCCCGGATCTCCGGCAGCATCTATGCAGGAACATGAGCAATGAGCCTCGATGTTCTCGCCGCGACCTGAGGGCGGAATCACATACCCTGTCCTCGAGTAACCGTAGCCGCTCATCGAGGGTGTTGTCGATCGTAATGCGCTGACTGCCGCTGACGAGCTTGACACCTCCGGCGCTGTCCCCCACAGTCGTCAGCGGCCTACGCTGTGCACGAACGACGGAAGAATGTACTGAGCTACTCACATATCGTCACTCAACGAGCCCTCGACGGTCGACTTGACCGTCTTGCCGCTGATCTCGTTATACTGCTGCGCCGCATTCTCCGCCGCCCGCTGGACGAGCTGGACGTCCTTCGGGCGTGCGTGCACGGTAACCTCGGGCTCAAGCTGGGAGAGGAACCCCTGGACGATGATCCCTTGGAGGAACTGGACGTAGCGGCCCTCGTCCATTGCGAGCTCGTCGATAGCCGCACGAGCGGTCGCGAACAGGTCCTGGAGATGCTCCTCACGTTGCTGGAGTAGCTTCAGGCGGGACTTGTTGGTGAGCGTGGAGTGCGCACTGCAAAAGTTGTGAGACGAGCGCCGTGTCAGTCGACATCACGCAGCAAGGGAGTGATGGGGAGGTCTGGGAGGTGGATGAGGACGCACATCTTCTGCGAGACCTCGGCGCCCTTGCGCTTCTTCTCGTAGAGCGCGTCGATGGCCTGCTGCTCCTGCTTAACAAGTTTTGCCTATATCGAAGCCACTCCCGGTCAGTATCCGCCCTGGTTTCTCGCATTCACGACTAGTCTCGCAATTGTAGCAACCCACCTTCTCAATAGCGAACTCCTCATCCGCCTTCACCTTGATCTCCCGTGCCTTCTCGAGGGCCTCTTGCTTAATGAACGCCACCTGAATACGCACACAGATCAGACCATGTCAACTGTCCGCGCTGAACGATGGTGCGAATGTTCCTGCATGGGGTCCTCAGGATGGGGGATGTACAGACCATCTTGTTCATCTCCGAGAGAACCTCATCGTCGTTGAGCGGTCGGCTCGCCATAGTGGCTCGTTCGTGAGGTCCTTCAAGAAGAACCCTTGTCTAACAGGATATTATGCCGAAGCAGCAGGGCGTCGGGGACGACGTCAATAGTCGAGAGCAGCAGCCTGCGTTGGGGGCGCGCGATTCGGCAATGGCGGCGTCACTGCACGGTGACCGTCAGGTGTGACAATGCGTCACCGTCACGTCCCAGCTTTCGGCGTTTGTTTGTTTGTTTCTTTTCTCTTTCTAGATCCCGTTTATTGCCCTGCGAGGCCGCGCCTCATGGTAGGCCTTAAACTACAAACACTATCGACGTGAGTAAGAAGTGGGTGTTCGGCTGTACATGGTGGGCGTTTGTTTCTCTTCTATCCTGCTGCGAACTGGGGAGTCCATGAGGGACGCTTTTTCGGACTGTGCTTTCCATCTTAGACGTCTTGCCTTCACCTCACTCACCGTACAGTTATACGTTCTTTCATGAAGCTGAAAGACATCTGATTGATTTCAGATGCGTTGAGCCACAATCTAATCCATGCTCACGCGGTTGGGCTCGAAGCAAAAATATAAAGCTCATATTACATGCACCTCCGCCCATGACTGAGCTTGGGTTTCTGCCATCTCATAGCTCTTGATGTATGAGATGTCGAGACGGACTTCATTCCTAGCCCTACCCAAGCATCCACTTCATATTCATGCGATGCTCATTTGCGCCCGCCGCCCGCATCGACTTCTTGACTTCACTACCTGCTCTTGAATGGATGCAATCATCTTCCGGTTGCTACAGGGTCCACCGTCCCCATCATACATATTATGGACGTGTACAGCCGGTAGATCTTTCACAGCCCAAGCTCAACCTTCGAGGCACTCCTGACGACCAGATGCACGATGCTTATCTTCTCCAGCGCATCAAACGCCATGAGAGGGGGACCGGGAAACAAGGTCGGGTAAACGGGTAACTGCGTTGATCTGCAAGGAGGAGGCGAAACGAGGCTGAGCACGTGCGTACCTGCTGTACCTGCGGTCAGTTCATTAACACCCCCAGGCCCAGATCACAGAGCTGACAGGCTGCGCAGATTGCCTGTCGGCCGTTGCTCATCAAGTCCACCACCTCAGCTGGGAGGATCCGGAATGTCGACATCTTCAGAAGTTCCTATGAACGTCATACTTACATATCCAACTATGCACCTACGATCAGGCTCTCGTGTGCTCGTCGACAGATATTTCTCACCGTGGATGACCTCGATCATTCACTCTCGAGACCTCCTCGAGTACATCATTTCGATTTCAAGCTGTGCACTCTCCATCCCACAAGAGCTCTGTTAGAACGCGTACAACAACACCACCACCTACAAGCGGCGCGCGAAGACACGAATTGCGGAGAGATTGCCACCGCCCGATCGACGGTGAGTAACGCCGTTCAAGTTCACGAGCGGGACGTTTGGTCGCCCGCGTTTTCCGTGAATTCGTTCTGTCACGCGTACCGCCTCGCATTACCTCATGATCAAGATCCAAGGATCGCCCCTCCAGGACGCATGGGACCATAGTCCACGAAGCAGCTCCGACTTCAAACTCACCTCGAGGCATCGAGGAAGGGACCACGGCGGAAGCTAGCATCAACATATCACCGCACACTTGGCTGCTCGGACGATTCCAGGCAGCGCTAGGAGAATTCGGAGATGCATATGCGGGATATGCCGGTGGCATCTGCTGTTGTGGCGCAGGGGGATGGGCGGACCCTGACGCGGGCCGCGGCCTTGGCATTTGCATGCGATTGGATCGGTTCTGTGGGTCTGGTGGGAGGGTACATGAGTCGCTGGGCGCGGAGTAAACATCATGATGGATGTGCGTTCAACCCCACCGGGCAAGCGACGGGTTGTGTTCGGAATCAAACTTGTAAGGCGACCTTCCAAGGAAATTGTTGAGTGGTAGTGCTGAACTGAGGGACTGTGCAGGCGACAGCAGGGTCGTCATAGTAGCTACTGTAATAGGAGGCATAAACGGGTGGGGAAGGCGCCCACGTGGTCGAAAGCGGTGCATTCATCGCTTGTCCTGCCTCAGTCGCCTGCAGCTACCAACTACGCGTCTTCCGCCTCTTGTGCTCTCCCCATGGCAAACTCACGTTCTAGTGCACTCGAGATGTTCTCGAGCTGTCTCCCTGATACATATAGCTTCCTTAGATATCCGCATGAAGACGGTGAGTGTAGATGGGAGTATGATAGCTTCACCAATGATAGACTCCGTCGCTACTGATCACGGGTGGCGATGTGCGATCAACATGCCCACCTCTGCATGACGACTCGGGCCATCATCCTGTTGCCGGGATAGAGCTCCGCCGAGATGGTGAGCAATGCGAGGCGACCACACGACGCCGACAGACAGGCCGCATCCTTCAAGTACCCGCCCGCCTGTCTCTCCGCTTCCCCGGTTCCCTCCCACTTTCATTCCTGTGGCCAACCTTTTTCCTTCGCACATCGCAGGTCGATTGTATAGCTCCTTCTTCACCTTTTACTTTCTTCATTCTACGTTCTCAAGGAGCTTACAGTCACTCTCGCAACGCAAATTCCAAGCAACGCACGAACGATTCTTCACGCCAGCCGTCATGAACGCCAAGCTCGCCACCCGCAACGTTATGGAAGTCACCGCTGCCGCACCAGCTGCCGCACGCCCGTCGCTTTCCGTCCGCTGTCCCACTACGCCTCTCGAGAAGGCTGCGATTACCGAGCTCGCGATGACGATCGCCGAAGAACTCGCCAGTCTGAGCCAGTCCATGTCCCCCATCGGGATCGACGTCCCCCTCAAGCACACAGGCCTTAACCCCAAGACCCTCTCTCTCTTCCATTCCTGGCTCAAGTCTGCGCATGACTACGATGCCAGCCTCAGCAGGCTCTTGGAGGACGACATGACGGCAGAGGTCCTTGCTGCCGATGTTCTGGGTACGTCTCTTACTTCTGCCAAACCCAGATTGCGTCTCATTACTGTCTCTCGCGTCCGTCGATAGCGTCCCCAAGAACACGGCAGGCGCGAGCGCTGCCCAAGCCCGACAGACCCGTAGGCTCCGGGTCGTTCGCCTCTAGGCGTGCCCGCCGCGCTCCCCGCGCCCCGATCTCAGTAGATGTGACGACCGAGCCCGAAGAGGTTCCGGTGTCGTCCGCTGCCGCCAGGCAGTACGCCGCAGACATCGGTATGGCTCCCTTCGACTCCTGGGCGGGCAAGAAGTCTAGGTGAGTACTAGCGCCATCACCCCATATCTCCAACGAAACCTCTGCTCTATGCAACGTGCAACGTGCTGACTACTCGCGTTTGATGCGCATGTGCAGCCTCGTGTACGGCCTGCTTGCGCTCGGGCTCGTGGGCTCGCCGATGTCGCCTTCGATGAACGCGATCAAGTCGCCCGCGGTGCCGGCCTCGTACAACCCGGGCTCGCGCCTCCGCCCGATCGCGCCCCTCGAGGACCCCCGCGCGCTCATGCCGACGCGCACGCCCATCTTCACGTCGTTCCTCGACTCCGTGCGCATGCCTGGCGTGGACGCAGTCCAGTCCCCTTGGGTCCCGGACCGCCACTACGCTAGCCTCGACGGCATGTTCGCGGAGCTGCGTTTCCCCCAGACGCCCGGGAGCGTCTAGAAAACGGTACACCTCTGTCTCTCATATGTCTCTCTTGGAAGATCTTTCCGAGAAGAGTTGATAGGTGCCGGTGATCAAAGAGACATCATATCGGACTCGTGGATATGCGGACCCTTATTGCAAGTGACTTTAGATCATCCTTCATTCCTTCGTGCTTTCGCTGCTGCCGCCCCCATCGCGCATACCCTCCATTCGTTATCAATTGGCTCAAGTTCATCTCCCTTGGCAATCACTCATGGCTCATTTGCACCCACACGCACCCTTCGTTCCCTTGGCCACAAATTGCTGCATCTACGTCTCGTTCATGTTTGCACCTTTACCCTTCAAGTACTTTGCATCTTCTTCCGGTTACGGTGTTGTTCAATAGTTTCGTTTCGTCGCTTTTGCTTTCGTGTTCGCAGTGCGCGCCTCCCCTTGTCCTCATTAGTGTGTTGTTGGATACTTTGCGTATGCCTGTACGCGCGCATAACGTAGTAGTTTACCTCACGACGTCTTGACACGAATTGACGCAAGGGTTTTTCTGGTCCGGGAACCCACCCCATATGTACCCGTTTTAGCGCGCGGCTACTTCCCACGTCGAATATCAAGGTCGTCCGTCATAAAAAGCTTGCACAAGTTGACCATCGTCTCTCATAACTTGGCATGGGTGCTATACGCACTACCTATTCGATGCCGGAGCCTAGACTCTATGCTATCGTTTCAGGCTGCTCAATCTAGCTGATCCGACCCCAATGGTACTCTGAGGGCTATAGACTGCAGCTGGGAGTCGGAGCACGTTGCGCGTGGTGGACCTGCACACAATCGCGTCCGTCTCGCCGGTGAGTATGAGTTTCGCCGCCTCGACTGGTCCAGAAGATGCTGACTTGGCCTGTTGACTTTGACAGACGAGCTAATCCCCGGCTGGGACCGACCGCAGTACTAGTCTGATGAAACCCTTACGGTCGTTGGACGCCAGCAATTTCAATATGCATCAGGGCGGGCGATGTCTTGTTAGACGTGCCCCACTGTCTCCTCTGCATTGTAGCCTTCATCTTTCTCGACGTCTCCGTCTCCTTCCTGTTTCTTGGTGGTCACTGCTGAAGACTTGGCCTACATCTTGCTGCACTCTCTCGCCTTCCTATTTGCTTGACTTTATATTTCGTTTCGCCATCTGACCATTCGCCGTGATGCCGCCACGTCGACTTGGCGAGATTTTCTCTGTGTACCGCAGGGGGTCCTCTCCCTCTGGCTACGATCTTCTTCCCTCTACCTCCGGATCTCAGCAAAAGGGCGTTCTCGACTCTCGACTCGGGCGAACATGTCATCTTGTAGCCTCTCGAAGACGTCTGCGGATTGCTCTCTTGCTTCTCGGACTCATTGTAACAGCATGCATCCCAGCGGCCACCTATGTCGTCAACTATCCGATGCCACCACTGTACAGGAGGTTTCACGAAGCGGAGCTGAAATTACCACAACACGATCCATTGCTGCCGGCGCCTGAGGGGAGGAACGGGAGGTACTTGTGGATTGCGAATCATGCAAGCAGTAAGTCAACTACCTTCCTTGCACAGCCTACGTATGCGGTGATGGGATTGTGCCGGAGTAGCTAACGACGAATTACGGAACAGAGTGTGGTTGGGGCAATGCGATGCAGGAGCTGTTTTTGAACGCGTATCTAGCCTACAGGACAAATAGAGCGTGAGTGCTTACCCGCATCCGCCATGCCGGGTGCCCAGACGATATCGTAGGGAGGATCTTGACATCACGATTTCAGGTTTGTATTTGACAACTATACCTGGTCCCGCGGAGAGTCGGACTACTCGTTGTATAATCTGAAACCGATACCCTCAAGGATACCCCTTACTGCACTAATACAGGGTGGGTGCACCTTGACTTCACCTTGACGTGTATGTGGAATTGGAATATGGTGTATCAGGACCTATCGCTGGAGGTCACTTCCCCGCCGGCTCGGGGATTCCGCGCGCTGTAACGCCGGAGTATTTCTATGAGGTCTGCCAAGACCGCGCCATCATGAGCAGCTATGAAGTCAACGACGCACTTGTCGACCCCACCGCGGAGACTCTCGTGCAGAGTTGGAAGGACAAGATGTCACCGCACCGATGTGTGGAGATCGCCAGGAGTCCCCCAGAACTCTTTGACGAGCAGTGAGTCTCCCTACTCTCCCCCGATGAGTCCCAGTAGTCATATTCATGTGGTTCAGCGTGTTCGCGGATGCCCGGAGGCTGCTCGACGTTTGGCCCCATTTCTCCCAGTCGCCCATCGTCAAGGAGTTCAGCTGGTCGACGCTTGTCGAGCTCGCCTTCGACAACAACCGCGAGGTCATCTCACCCACCTCTCCTTTCGAACCCACACTCTCTTCCTCGTCTGTCTTTGGTCTCGCGCGCTATAGCCCTATTCCTGGCCTGCTCGTCCTGCATATTCGCCGAGGGGACTTTCAGGGTCACTGCCACGACGTCCTCGCGCGCCGCTCTATCGGCTTCACAGGCTTCAACTCGTTCCCAGAACTTTCGGATCAGTGGCATCTACCGGAAGGCGTTTCAGAACGAGAGAAGAAGGCGCTATATGCTCGCCGTTGTTTCCCAGAGATCGACATGATCGTCGAACGCGTCGAGGAAATCCGCCGCACACCAGCAGGGAGCGGACTGACCAACGCGTACATCATGACCAATGGCTCGCCTTCTTGGGTATCCAAGCTCAAAGCGGCGCTGCGCGCGAGGCATGGCTGGGCTCATGTCGCAAGCAGCAGGGATCTCGTGCTTACGTCTGAGCAGAAGTACGTCTCGCAAGCCCTCGACATGCTCGTCGCGCAGCGAGCGCATGTCTTCATCGGGAACGGGGTAGGTCGGCTCGCTCTACAGAAGTTCTCCCTTGTGAAGGATATCTAACTGTTTTATGAGCAGTTCTCTACACTGAGCGGCATGGCCGTCATGCTGCGAATGGCAAACAGGATTGCTCCTGATACCAGTAGACATTGGTGATGCCACTACTACGTCCCTGTAGCATGCGCCGGAAACAGAGACGTCCTGCGCCACGAGGCAACCTCATCCGCCCGTATGGTATGTATTCTATCTCTGAAGGCGTAAATCTCTCTCGCGCTCGCGAAGGTAGGGGGCCGCGGGGCTGTATCCGAGCGAAAGCCTCGGCGCATTTCCGGGAAATTGCCTGTCCTCCATTCACTCTGTATGCGTCGGACCGACGACGCCATCTTGTGGTACATAGTACATAATGTGTCTATCTTGATCCGGGATGTTAGTCGATGTATGTTATTATCCTGCCGCCATGTAGTCGCACTGTTGCTTTCTGGGGATCGAACGTCGAGTGTGGTGGCGAACACGAATCCTTACTAAGCTTCTTTCCGCGCCAAATCCATTTGGACGCCCCCAATAACCTTTGTCAGCAGTATCCGTAGTTGCTAATCCAGCACAGAGGTCAGCAGACAGACAGACTATACAATACCGGTGGTGAGCGCATTGCATCATCGACGTGTTCGTGTCGCAGGCCTGGCGCGCTGACTGGCAGCTGGACGTGTAACCCGGGCGGCGACGCTAATAGGTTCCGTGCTTGCAATCGGCTGACAAACAGAACGTCAATACTTTTGAATTCCATACTGACTCATATGTTATGCGAACGCGGCCAACTTCACTTGCTGTGCAAGCCGCGACTGAGGAGCGCTTGTCTGACATCATAGTATATAAACCCTGTGTGGGGTCGGGCCACTTCCAGGTCCTCAGTCATACATACATCGTGCTTCCCTCTGCTCTGCAGCAGCCTTCCAACGCTAAAACAGACTTTCAAGATGTCCGCTTCCACCATAGACTCTGTCACGGCGACCCTCCACTATTTCGAACCCCCTGCGGATGGCTCGAAGCCATTCATCCACATCAACGCGGATCCCAAGACCGGCGTTCGCCCACAGAACTTTGAGACACGCACTCACCAAGTCGAGATCGAGAATCTCCGCGGAAAGGAGCACACCGTGTCGCTTGATACCACCGGCTTCCAGTACTTCAAGCGCGCGGTACCCCATACCACGTTCGAGAACAATGAGGTGGTGGAAAAGGAGTACTACCCTCAGTCGATAGAGCTCGTCAAGGAGCTCACTGGCGCTTCGAGGGCGGTGGTCTTTGATCACAGTACGTCTTCCTTACTGTAGGCTGGTAAGGTAACGGCTGAACTATTGTCCAACAGCTATCCGCCGTCGCCGTCCTGGTGAAATCGAGGATACTCCCGACAAGCGGCAGCCGGTGCCGCGGGTGCACATCGATCAGACAGAGGGGTCTGCCATCGCCCGCGTCCATCGCCACCTTCCTGCGGAGGACGTCCCCGACCTCCTATCCAAGCGTTTCCAGATAATCAACCTGTGGCGCCCTATCAAGCACGCTGCGCACGACTGGCCACTCACGCTTTGCGACTACCGCAGTGTCGATCGCTCTGCTGACCTTGTCCCGACCACGCTGAAGTATCCGGACCGTGACGGTGAGACGTTCAGCGTCAAGTTCAACCCTGGCCACAAGTGGAAGTACCTGCGCGGGATGGAACCGGAAGAGTTGGTGCTGATCAAGTGGTATGTGTTTATACGGGAACTTGGCAGGTGGTAGCGCTCATAAGGCTTCTTCTTTGTCCAGTTACGACTCTCAGAAGGATGGGAAGACGGCCGTCTTTACGCCCCACACCGCATTTGAGGACCCCACGACGCCAAAGGACGCGCCTTTGCGCGAGTCCATCGAGCTCCGTCTCCTTGTATTCTATGACTAAGCGCAATGTATCCAGACCGGAATGATATGCTCTGCTCTGCTCCTCTAGATGCGATGCTGGGCTCGATTCAAAATATTCTACTACACCAGAATGTCATGGCGGGTGCCTTGCTGAATCGTTCCTACACGGCCTGGGGATTCGAGGGTATACATGCTGCAATGATCGTAGACATGTCCATTCGATCGACCTCGTCTCTTCTCAACCAACAAGATGGATAATTCACTCAGACAGCCGAGTACCGCCTGATGTCGTCCTCCCTCTCGATGCCGGACTTTTCTTGTTGACAGAACATAAAGGGTACCTTCGCGCGATGGTCACCCCTGATGACGACAAGGTCCTAATATCAATATCAGACGTTCATGAGGTGCAAGTCTCGCGGCCTTCCTTTTGGGCCGGGTCTGCTCATAAGCTACCCAGAGCATAGTGTGTCCGTCAAGCAGAAGGGCGCCTTTTGGTGGCAGCGAATGCGATCTATTGAACGATCCTCGACGCGGGAAAGCAATGTGACACGCTCTTTGAAACCTTGGATGGAAATCAATGTAGGTTATGAATGAACGTCGATATTTGAGCTTCGTTCACCATCGCATCATCGTGCTGGTGGGTACCAATCCCCGCAAGCTCGTCCATGACGGATATCCTGCCTCTGGGGTTATCGGATGCGACCTGCGACCAGAGCACTTCGACCTTGCATGTGAGCTTTTCGGAGACAGTGATTATTTGAGCAGCCACATTCTGGCGTCGCCATATGTTTCCAATGCCTCGCGCTCCTCAAATTAATCACGGCATCAGCTAAAGCATTGTGTCTGCTGTCAGAGGCGAGAGGGACAGAACCTGAAAGCTTCCGGAGCCGATCATGGCGGGTCCAAAGCCGTTGCTTTCACTACCATCATCTTGACGAAGAGGCGGGAAGCCGATGACTGAGTCAGTACACAGCGCAGCATATATCCGAATCCCGATGAAACCGTCACTGGCCAAATCCAAAATTGGTAACCTCCCTGTTCGGGCGTCTTATAATCGTGACCCACCGTCATACCGTATGCCGGCACCTCGGTATTTGGAGGTTTCGTCCTGTACTCCTCAACTCCTCTGCGGGCGGTGCGTAATTGGCCTGACAGGAGCTGCCAAACACTGTGTCTCCTAGCACCGGATTCATGGTAGGTTGTTCGAGGACCTTGCGAAGGTCAGTTTTGTATCAGCGATAACAAAGGACTTGCGTGCTTCGTGTGGGAAGCGGCTTACCAACCCTCTTGGAGTGTCGGTGTCCGAGTACATATGAGCCTCGACACCCCTTTCTCCTGCTGTCAAGGTTTCTGCAAGCACCCCAAGTCCTCAGCTATCGGCGACATACGCCTTAAGGCGCACAGTATTCTTCAGGCAGAAAGATGACTATCTCGACCGCCGATACCGTCACCGCTACCCTACACTACTTCGCTCCTCCGTTGGATGGCTCCAAGCCATACCACTTCATCAACGCAGACCCGATCACCGGCAAGCGCGCCAAAAACTGGGAGACCGTTACGCAGGAGCGCGAGATCGAGAATATTCGCGGAAAGGAGCACACGGTCTCGCTGGACACGACCGGCTTCCAGTTTTATAGACGCGCTGTTCCACATACGACGTTCGAGAACGACGAGGTCATCGAGAAGGAATACTATCCTCAATCCATCGAGCTCGCCAAGGAGTTGACTGGTGCCTCCAGAGTGGTAGTCTTCGATCACAGTGTGTATTATTCCCTCGTTGCTTTCGTAGTATACTGAAAGTTACGAACCTCAGCTATCCGCCGCCGCCGCCCGGACGAGATTGCGGACACGCCTCAGAAGCGCCAACCCGTGCCGCTAGTGCACATTGACCAGACGGCTGAGTCTGCTGTCGCACGTGTACACCGCCACCTTCCCGCTGAGGATGTTCCCAAACTCCTCGCGAACCGCTTCCAGATCATTAACCTCTGGCGCCCCATTCATCATGCAGCCTGGGACTGGCCGCTCGCGCTCTGCGACTATCGCACCGTGGACCGTTCCAACGATCTTGTTCCCACGACGCTCAAGTACCCGGACCGTGACGGTGAGACCTTCAGCGTGAAATTCAACCCCGCCAACAAGTGGCGATACCTCCGGGGTATGGAGCCTGACGAAATCGTCCTCATCAAGTGGTGCGTTCTCTCCTCCGCTCATATGACGTGCTGCGCCAAAAGTCTCATTCGCCCGTCTCTGTAGCTACGATTCCCAGGATGATGGCAAGACTGCCATCTTCACGCCTCATACCGCGTTTGAGGACCCTACGACGCCGAAGGACGCGCCGCTGCGCGAGTCCATCGAACTGCGCCTCCTCGTGTTCTACGACTAGGTGTCCATGCAGTCAAGATGCTATATGCCATGATCGCCTAGCAACCTTGACGTTGTACGTTTAGTTGGAGAGCGGATGTAGTGATTACACCTCCTGTACGTTCTGTATGCTGCTGTACAATTGACATGCTGTCACCGCCGGTTCTTTCAGACTGTTTTAATACACGGCTGGGCTCTGGCTCTTTTGAAGCAAAGTATGCTTACGTCCAGCGCAGGCCGCAGAACATACAAATTGCTCGGCAAAGCGGGTCTGGACTTGTGCGCTTCCGGAGCCGGGGGCGTCAGGCAGGGTGCGCTGCCCAAAAATGGAAGGCAAGAAAGACCTGGCGAATGCAGTCGTGACTGTACCATCCGGACTCTGGCGGAACTTCTGCGATCACATTACGTTCTCCATACATCTGGGCGAGACGTGAGCTGGCGACGATCTTTTATCTTGTCACAGGATTCCGTTATGCTTGACCAATTTGCCTTGCGCACGCGGGGCATTCAAAGGCGCGAGGGTACTAAGGGAGGCTGGTTCCGTGTAACTTTGACTCGCAGTGAGACGAAACGACCTTCTCATTCCACATGGATCCCAAACTGACCAAGACTTACATCGCTGGTGCGGAGAAGAAAGACGACTTCGATGAATCGAAGCAGGATGTTTCTACTGGTGCCTCCTCGGTAACGACCCATGGACCCCTCGCCGACGTAGCGGTGCTCGAACATCCCGATGGTCGTGAAGGGGTTGTCATTCAGGAGCTTGCTCCCGTCGACCATGGCTTGGGGGCTTGGGGCTTCTGTGCTTGCAGCTTCATAGTCGAGACCCTCATTTGGGGCTTCCTCTTCAGGTATGTGCTCTCCCCCCCTCGCTCCCTGACTATGGACACCAGCAAGTGCTGATGGTTGTGTCCGTCAACAGCTATGGTATCTTTCAAGGTAGTACTGTATGTTCCGCTATCATTCCTCGGCCTAACAACGTCCCAGATTACTACACTACACACCCACCTTTCGACACCTCATCTCCAGTCGCCATTGCAGCAGTGGGTACCGTCGGGCTTGGCATCCAATACGGAGAGGTAAGTTAAATCATTGTCCCGGAAAATATCACCCCTAGTATATACTCACCGATCCCCAGGTCCTTCTCCTGACAGTTTTCTTTCGACGTTATCCAGAGTACATGAGGCCGGCGATGTCTCTAGGACTCGTGCTTTACTTTGTTTGTCTCTTCTGCTCTAGCTTTGCAACCCAGGTATGTCCCGGCATCTATCCCTAGCCGTCTTATATGTGTCTCAACTCATCCTGGTGCATCTAGGTGTGGCAGCTGATCCTGCTACAAGGCGTTGGGCTGGGTTTCAGCGGGGGCTTTGTATACCTCCCTACCATGATCTGGCTACCCCAATGGTTCTCTGAGCGCCGCGGTCTTGCGGGTGGCATCATCTTCGCTGGTACTGGCGTTGGCGGTAAGTCATTGCGTGCTTAAACGTGCGCAACGCAAAAATCCCACCCCCGATTTCGGCTCCAGCACCACTGAATTACAGAAGCTAATCGAGCGTTTGCGTTGCTCTAGGCTTCGTCTTCCCGTTTCTGCTCAATGCGCTTCTGAGCAAAGTCGGCCTTCCCTGGACCCTGCGCATCTGGGCCATCATGACCTGCACTTTAACGGGCATCGCGTTCCTTGGCGTGCGCCCGCGTATCCCCGTACCAAAGCGCGCACCTGGGCAGCAACGGCCGAGGCTCATCGTGCCGCAGATGCGGTACTTCAAGAGCCCGCTCTGGCTGAGCTTCGTACGTGATCTCCGCCTGTGCGGAACAGATGGTGTGAGCTAGACTGACATGTCTCCGATAGTCGCTCACCTGCCTCGTCCAAGGGCTCTCGTACTTTCCGGTCTCCCTCTACATCGCATCTTTCACACAAAATCTCTCCACGCCGCTCACGGCGACAATCATCCTCTCGCTCTTCAACTCTGCTGGAGTCGTCGGTCAGGTCTTCCTCGGCTGGCTCACCGATCGCTACGCATACCCGTGGGTCATGCTTTTCAGCTCGCTCGGCAGCGCCCTCGCCGCGTTCCTGCTCTGGGGTTTCGCACAAGGTCCGGCGCTGATTTACCCATTTGCAATCATCTTCGGAGCACTCGTGAGTCCGGATCACCTCTCAGCCAGACATACCCGCTCTAAATTACGCTTCTTTCATCTGCTTCCGTCGTGATGCGCTTACGCTCTAACGTACACTCTTGAAATAACGCGCAGAGCGGCGGTTTCTCCGCCGTCTGGCCAAACGCCGCGGTCGATTGCGCAGGTCGTAATCCTGAAAATGCAGACATCACTTATGCAGGAACAGCCGCGTTCAAGGGGGTATCCGCCGTCATAGGCCCCATTCTCTCCGGCATCCTCCTCCAGGCAGGGAAGTCATCCACAACTTTCGGAAAGCATTACGGTCGCGCAGGATACGGTGCTGTCGAGATATTCGTCGGTTCATGCGCCCTCGCGGCTGGGCTTGGGAGCATTGTAGTTGCGGCCGCGAGACATAATCTCGCCGCGAAGGCTAAGTCGCTTCCGAGGTGAATCGGAGGTGGAACATGGGCGGAACACAAGCAGTGCTTCTGCGGAAGCTCCCTTGTGTCTAGGTCGGTCCCAACGAAACACAGGATAGCGGTGAGCCGACAACATGTGAGAATAGATGTTATTGTACGAATACAATGTTATAGACGAACATGTGGCATGGGTTCGTTCGAGCCGCTAAACAAGACAAATCGAGTTGATGGAAGGAATACATGGAAATGGAAGTCCGCATCGCATCAACCAGTTCACCGGATGCTCTCCCCCTCGAGGTTCGTCGCGAACCTTCCAGATTCATACCCTGACCCCCGATTCGGGTCGTCCGTGTAGGCAGAAATGTAGTCAAAGTCGTCCTCCCCCTCAAGGGTAGAAATACGCGGCGCCTCGGGCTGCGGGGACGATACAGACCGCAAGCCCTGGTTCGGCCCCGCCCCCGGCCCAAGCCCAACCCCCAACGACGACGGATACGGAGACGTGGGTAGCGGACGCTTCTTCACGTTTAGCGGGCTGATGTCAGCGAGCCCGACGCTTTCGCTGCTGAAGTTGCGCGGCGGGGCCTGCTGCTGCTGTCGCCTGAAAGCAGCCGCCGAGATAGTGCGCGTGCCGCCCTGCGCCGAGAACGACGTGCCAGATCCCGTCGTGGCGGGCAGGTTGTACATAGAGCTCGAGCCCCCCGGGAGACCAGAGGGTGTGCCCAGGGGCGTGCGGAACGGCGTTCCGTCCGAGTCTTGGGCGCTGAGTGAGGGACGCTGTTGTCCGCTGCCGTCACTGAGCGTTGGCGAGACGGGCGCGGGAGGAATCACGTCTTGCGACATCTTCCTACCCACGGGCGTGCCAATGGACCGGTCGCGCTCGCGGACGTACATGTTCTCTAGCTTCGGGCTCGTTGGTTGCGCCGTCGCCGTGTTCACGGGTGGCAGCGGAGAGGGGTCGCGCCTCTGCCTGTTGAAAGGTGAAGGCGAAGCCCCGTACGGACGACTCGAGAGAGGGGATGGAGGAGGCTTGTCCTGAATGGGCGATATCGTTGGGGAGCTGATCATCAGTGCGTCAAGCTCGCGAGATACCTCACGAGCGGCCGCAGCATTCAATTCGTCCTCATCCATGAGGGCTTCAGTCGTGGGTGGGGTACGCGCACGTTGCTCTGGCGGAGGCGGATTTTGGGGTGACGGTTCCCGCGGAGCTGAATCGGAGCGCACGGGAGACGCGGGTTGCTGAGGCGATGGAATCGTCGATTGCTCTATGCAGCGCACGGATTTAGCATGCAGCTCCTATCGTCGCACGATCTGTGATTCCCCAAACGACTCACCTTCTCCCGAAGTCCGTCCATTCTGGTACTCATTCGCGCCCGCGTCCATCGCAGGGACCGGTACGCGCGCGTATCTTTGTCCCGGTGGTGTCTGCTGCTGTGGGTGCGACTGTTGCTGCTGCGCCTCCTGCTCCTCATGACGCTTCTCCAGCTCGGTGTCCATGTCGCTGACACCCCCAAATCTCACCCGCCTGTCTCCAGAATCGGACAGAGACTCGGCCGACCCGTTCCCAAGCCCCTGCCCTGGAGACATGTACGCGAGCCCCTCGTCCTCGTCGTACGCGGACTGCGGGCGCATCGCATCCTTCCCGTTGCGCTGCTCGGGCACGCCCAACGCCTGCATCGCGGTAGGGGGTTGCGAGGGAGCAGCGCCTTCGGGAAGCCCTTGCCCGTTCGAGGGCGTATACATGGGCGGGGGCGGGGAGTACCGCTGCGGGCCGAAGTCGCCGCCCTTGACGTCCTGCGGAGGCGCGTCGCGTGCGGGCTGGTAGCGGCCCGAGCTGGCGTTCGGACCAGACCCGCTGCCAGACGCGCCGTCGAGGGACAACCCACCGTTGCCTAAGGCCTGGGCGACGCTTGACGAGAACGACTCGTGATTGCTGCGGTCGAGCTCGATAGAGGGAGCGCGGTCGCCGCCTTGCATTGGTGGGGCACTGATGTACGGGTTCGTGAATTGAGACGGGCCACCTGGCGGGGGGCGAGGACCGGCAGCCTTTACAGGGAATGTTGCGAATCGGCCACCACGAGGACTTGCCGCCTTGTCACGGTCAATGCCACCAATAGTGCTTGGTTGGTTAGAGACGGGAGGTGAGGAGTATGTCCCGAACTCGTTGACGGAAGAGTTGGTGAGCACGGGTGATTGGGATGCAAAGTCCGGTGCCATGAGTTGACCAAAGGAGAAGTCGCCCTCTTCGACTTGAGGAAGGCCGGGGTAGGCTCCAGGAGCAGGTGATGGAGCATAGCCTGACTGTGGAGGGCCTTGTAGATACGGATTGTTTGTTGAGGACGCGGACGACATTTGATGCTGCTCGGTTGGAGAAGGGACTGGGGATAGCTCGCGGCCTGGAAGCGGTCGTATTGTTCGATGTGAGGGGTTCGGGTCAGGTTCAGGCGAATAGGTGACTTCCGAGACAGATCGCGCCGCCTCCGCGACAAGGAACTCAGTACGTGCATGGCCTGCGTAGTACGGTCGCGGGAGGCCCGGCTGTGTTTGCTCAAGTGGGATTTCCTGCAAGGGTCGTAGGTATATGCACTACTTAGGCCATGTCGATGACTTACCGAGATCACGAGCTTGCCCAGCTCGCCAACAATCTGTAGATCCAAGTTGAGCAGGCACGGGTATGCGACGATCAGAGGAAATAGACATACGGCGCCCTTCTCGCAACATTCTAGCAAGCCACCAAACTTCCTCCCCATCCACGCTCGGACAGTCGACCGCTTGAAGTCGCCCAAGTTCGCCTCCTCCGCCGTGATGTCGGCGTCCATCTGGCGAATGTCCTCTCGCAGTCGATTGAGATGATCGGTTTGCTGTTGCAGGTTCTTGTTTTCGGGGTTCATCTTGCTCAGCTTGCGCTCAGCAGCCTCTGCGTCGGAGAAGACGGACTTGCGCCGTCTTTTGAGCTCATCGAGGTTCTCCTCGCGTGTTCGGATAGCCTTCATCTGCTCGCGGATCGTGCCTTCATGGCTCGCATATACAGACAGCGCCGAGGAGAAGTGGACGAGGAGGGCATTGGAGGCAGTGAGGGTGTCCTAATGGAGAGTTGCTGCAACTGTGCATCGACGCAACAAAGTGAAGCTTACACTCACCCCAAGGTCGTCTCCCTCGCCCTGTCCCCATAGCCTGAGAGCCTCGGACGCCCGCGCGAAGTCCGCGCTGAGTCTCTGTAATCTAATCGACGCATACATCATCGGTTAATGCAGACAGCGGGCCATTGGGCCTCAGATTTCGCCCCGGCTGAGTATTATGACGTACGAGTTGAGAACCGCCTTCTCCGCGATAATGAGGTCCTGGAGAGAACGCAAGTCCTGCTTACCCGCGAGCCCAGGCAAGGTCGTATTGTGCGCGATCTTGCGCGTGGCGTTTCTGAACATTTGGGCAAGGCTTTCGTATGCTGTCCACTGCCAGTCGCAGTGTAGTGGTGGATGTAGGAACAGTCAAAAAATGTCGGACGTGCCAGTGCGATGGAACGTTATGGCACGGTGCTGCGCAGCGCATACAGTCAATACGGAAGAGTAAGGGCTCCCGAGGCACGGCCGCGAGAGCGTCATCGGATACAGCGCCACGGCGCTCAATTACAATCCCATCGCCCGCCGCTTAGATCGGCTTGAATTGTGCCGTCATGTTATATGTCCCTTTGCTCTCCCAGTCTGCAGCCTCGTTTCTCATGTAAACCAGAGCAAGATGAACCGAAGGGTCACCCAGCGTGCGCGGCGACTCCGGTTGGCAGCCTACCATTCCCGGCAGATTCAGCGGACGCAACAAGACCTCGAAATAAATACGCATGACCTGAGTCTATTTCTGGTGCTGAGCAATCTATTCCGAGCGCAACCGTAAGCTGAAAGTGATCTTCATAGGCAGCATAAGCATACGGCATACGAGGGTTCCATGGCAGAATACCCTACGTGCGATTGTGGAATGAAGTGAATACTATCAGCACATAAGCTCTAGATTATAATACATGTGTGAGGCCTTATTTATGGAGGGTATATAAGTACACCTAAGGAACGCATAGCATAAGCATCGGGTCGTTACAGTACAAGATGGACTTTCGGACGCACATGGAGCGAGAGCAGTTATACATAATCCGACATTAAGAGACATACGAAGCCCTTGACCTTCCGAAACCGAGCGAACTGCCATGATCCAGCGTAAGTATCCGAATCCCGAGACCGTCAAACGTAAGTCGTAAACGTAAATGCGCACAAGACCAGGCAAGAACCAGCTTGCCCGAGCGCAGCGTGCGAGACGAATGCCAGCCGCAAGTAAGTATATCACGACAGGACGCTCACCACATATGCCCGCCCCATGCTGTGCCGATCTGGTCGAACGGCACGTCGCCCTGGATGAACCGCCGCGACTTCCCGCGCCCGTGCATGCCCAAGCTCGCGGAGACCCCGACGACAGTCAGGCTTTCATGCTTGGCTTCCTTCGCGTTCTCTTCGATACTCTCCAGACGTTGCACGCTCCTGGACGGCTTGTCCTTCGGCCGCTCCTTGTACAGGCGGTCGCGCCGGGCGTTCTCCTTCGCCGCTTTCTTCTTGACCTCAGCTCGCGCCGAGGGCGCAACGGGGAGAGGCTTGGACAGCTCCGCGGGGGTAGGGAGGGGCTTGTTCGTGTCCACGAGCAGCCATTCTCTACTCATGGTCGAGGTGGGGGTTGCGACGAGCGGTGAGTCGTCCTCCGACTCGGACTCTTCAGGGGAGGACGGGAAGACGAGGTCATGCGGGACGCCGTCCCCGAGCATCTTCCGCACCCTGCGCATCTTCTCGCGCCTCATTGCCGCGTCGGACGGTATGTAGAACGTCGGCGGCTCGATTGGGGCGCTAGCAAGCGGTTCGTACGTGGGAGAGCCCGGGATGGTGTCGAGATTAGGCTTGCGCGAGCGGGAAGGAGAGGGGCTAGAAGGGACCAAGAGCTTCAGAAGAGGTGGGCGCTGGACAGAGTAAGGCGTGCGCCATGCAAGCTCGTCCGTCTTGACGCGGACGCTCGACGTCGACCTACGCGAGGCGACGGAATCTGGGCTCGTCGCGTCCTTGCGCATTGCTTCCAGGTCAGCCTTGGGAGAAGACTTCTTGCGGGCGTGCCCGCGGAAGGGATTCCTGCTTGACGTGGGCGTCTTGGGAGGGGCCGGAAGCTCGGTATGCGGTGCAGGCGCGACTGGACGTACAGGCTCAGGGTCAGCCATCGTGGTGATTGGCAATTGCGATGAACGTCTATACGTACCTGTATATGAGAGGTCGAGAACATGCGGCGTACTGCCGAGTACCTGACCGAGTTTATTGTTCGTACGGATGAGCTTCGCGCGCTGTTCGCTCGACAGCTCGTTCCGGGTGGGCGGCGGCGGCGGGAAGCGGATGACAGCAGGGGCAGACATCGTCTCGCACGTCTAGATAGAAGTAAATGCCGATTGGAGAAACGAACTGACGAGAGGACCGGACTGGAGGATCAGAAGAAACGACAGAAGGTGCAGAAGGCAGCACCAAGCAGAGAATATACAATTAGCGTGTCCAGCTATGAGACCTCTAGGGCCGTCAGCTGCAAGCGGCGTTGGTCGGGAGGTGGAGGGCGAGCGTCGGATGACGAACGATGCGGAGGGTCGAGGCGAGACGCATTTGTAGATATACGAGGGGCGGCATGTGCCGCGAAGGAGGGTAAGACAAAAAGCCGAAGTCACCCCTTACACGCTCAATGCACACACAAAAGGCGCGAGACACAGAGGCGGACTGGAATGGAGAATATCAGTTGACAGTACGTACGCCGTATATCATGGGAAGTCTGCACGCAGCATAACAATAAAGACGAGGCGCCCATATTGTATGCGCCGCGATCGATGAGTAGCAGCAGACGTGAAAAGATCACCGCATGCCGATGTTTCTAATGGTTCGGATTACTAGAAAGTTGTTAGACAATTGACTTGCCCGTAGATAGCAGTGGGTACGATAGCAACTGACACTTCGCTGTCTAGTGGCATTGTTTCAACTGTCGACGGCTTCGATGATCCAGGAAGCCGTTACTCGAGTGCTAAACTGGATCCCACACAAACAAGCATCCTAGAGAGGAAGAGACATGGCTCGGAGGTGATGGTGCAGTGACAAGTTGCAAATCATGGGCGTCGAACGCCGCTCCGAACACAACGGGATGCGGCAAGCCGTAGACAAAAATTCTACTCAACGCTCCCCCTTCCGATGGCCGTCGCCACACTCTCTGGTTTCCCTCCTGCTCTGTAATACTTGACTTGAACGAGATATGAAGACTGCAGAAAATTTTCTGTGCCTGTGCTTGGACTGAGGTTACCTTCACATCTAGGTCGGTCGCAAGACGTTCACTAAGTCACAAGTCAACGCACATCGTTTCATCGGTATCGATGTGAAGGGCGCAACAAAAGTGAATGCTATGGGCATGTGGTGGTCGCCGGTGCTAATATGACTTGTACTTCAACAGCGAGGTGATAGATTGTTGGACTGATGCGTGCACAAAACGACTAGTCTCGTAAGAGCTGAACAGGAGTGGATGGAGAATGCAGTAAAAGATTCGGTAGTATCTGAACTGATGACGATAAACGCGCGAGTGAAGGCAAGGTAGAATGTCCGCTATAGCGATATATCCGTCCACGACATGATCCAGACATGACTCTTTTACTAGCAATCCGGCACCCAGGTCGTCTGATCGTAGGAGAGCCTTCACGTCCTTTAATCGCAACACCGCGCATTCGTGCAGACCAACGAAAGTAGAGCAAGATGGCCGGCACCGAATAACAACGTCGCTTGGAGGCCTTCAAACCACGTGTCCATGATTGCAAGGGCGAGGGCAGCGCCCGCGACAATCGGCCGCGGCTGACCGTCGGGGCACATACGAGAAAGGGTGAGCACCTACCGGGATCATTCCCCAGTCAGATATGAAGCGGTTCACGTCGTCATCATAGCTCCGCTCGAGATCACGGTGACTTACCTTGGCAACGAGAACGGACGACTTCAGCGTCCGGACCCAGACTCTCCTTGGCAGATACGCGGGCAGCCTTTCCCGTCCTCGTCGGACTGCTTCCGACCATCCTCGCACACTCCTAGGATATGCGGGTATAGGATAACCAAGGAATGTCCCCTTCTTCTCCCGAATCGCGCTGTCGTCTTCATCCTTGATCTCCTCGAGGCTAGCATCGCTCGTCCTCTCTACGAGTGCGGGATGCGTACGCTCGGGACTTGTCCGCACATGCTGCGCACGAGCGAGGGCCAGCGTTGATGTCACTCCATTCCCTCGTAGAACCGCAACCGGCTTAAGCTGCTTGCGTCATCAGTCTGCGAACGAAGAGCAGGCGCACCAGAAGGACGTACCCCACCCTCTTTAATTACCCCGAGCACTCGTTCGGACGATGGCCGGACCGCAGGTCTGACGTTCAGAAGCGTCTCCAGCAACAGCAGGTATGCCTTCGGCAATCTCCGAGACTCAAGTCCGCTAGCAAGTATCGAAGACGACCTGAAGCCAGGATATCCAAGGATCTCGGCCTCGAGCCTGTCCATATAGTCCCTTCCATCTTTCGGTCGGCTCGCATCGTCGTTGTCGGACGTGTGGTGATAGGGCAGCCGAAAGAACAAGAGCTTGTGCAGTATCATGCCAAGAGACCACATGTCGGCCTTGGAGTCAACTTGGAGCAACCTGCCGGTCGAAGGATCCGGCAAAGATTCCGGTGCCGAATACTCGAGGCTGTAAGAGGACGGATGTGAAGAGATGGCGAACGTTCAAAAAAGGGGCAGTACACACGTTCCGGTGTTACCTGATCGCGTCCTGGCGTTGAGCATGTCCTGTGACGTGCCGAAGTCAGACAGCATAGCCCGAGGTCTACCAATCGAAACATGAGCAAGAGGGCAGAATGCGGAACGCGTTATAACGCACACTAACCGACCCTCGTCCCAAGTGAGAAGCACGTTGCCGGGTTTCAGGTCGAGATGCAAGATCGACTTCTCGTGCTGCACGCCTAATGAGCCGGCGTATGATGCAATAGAACTTGCCATGTACCAAAAAAGCGAGACCTGTGACGACATCCTCGAAAAGGTCGTGGACCTCCTCCGCACTCAAGAGATGGACGGCTTTCCAGTCCGCGGGGGCTTTCCTGCCATTCTGAGGGGTGAACCCATTGCCATGAAGGCCCATCTCCCGGCGGAGTCGTTCACGTTCCTCAGGCGGTGCACGCTGTACGGCACGAAACGCGCGGATGCGTGCATTACGGGAGTAGGGTTGGTCAACACCAGGTTCAGGGGTGTCGGCCGGAGAGTGAGGAACGGAAATGCCGCCGGATGACCCTTGCGACGACTTGAAGTGAGGAAGATTCGGAGCGCGACGTCCAAGGCGCGTGTCAATCAAATCATCCAGACTGCCCCCCTCGGCCCATTGCATGAGGATGCTGTCACAACTTGTCAGCACTTAGCCGCATTACAGACTTCACCGTGGCCACTCACTGCAACGTCGGAACCCTCGGGCCGAATGACGAGAATTGCGAAGGCTCAAGCCAGGCATGATGGTAGGTAATAATGTTCGGGTGGTGGAGCTTCTCCAGAAGACGAACCTGAGGACATCGTATGAAATACCGAGTGGGGTGGAAGCCGATCGTCTGCGAAGACATACCTCACGCAGGGTATTAAAAAGATATGAATGAGATTGGCCAACGGCAACCTTCTTTACAGCGAAGTAGCCTACATGCCGATACAAGCTGTAGGGGTAAAGACGGAGAGCGAGGGACTTAGACATACCAAGAGAGTTCCCGTCCAAAACGTGCTGTCGAACACGCGGTTGAGGTCGGTACGCTAACTGCATGGAAGCTGCAGCTTACCTGACACAAGTACACGCTGCCGTTTGCACCCATGCCCAATCTGCACACCTCCTGAAAGAAGGCCTTGAAGTATCCCTCCGCCATGTTCTCCGCGCGAAATGTGCCTCGACCTGCGGACGAGGCTGCGGAGGGACCACCGCTCGCAGGGCTTGCAGGGCGGGATGATTCATTGGCAATCTCGAGCAGCTGGAAGTAGTTGGCAGCCCTGTTCGAGGCACGCTCGAAGTTCTTCTCCTCGAGGTCGTCGTCGCTGTTGTCGGCAGGATGTCTCCTGTTGTCCGGCGTTATAGAGCGGTGACAGTAAGGACAGCGCACGTGTCTTCGTGCTAAAGTTCCTGAAGGGGGCGGCGAGTGTCTCTGGATAGAGAGCGCATGGGAGGTCGGGTTGTAGAGCACAATCTGGTTCGAGACGTGGAGGATGGGCTGCCATTCTGGGCCCGCTGGGTTGACCGCGACGAGCGCACCAGATGGCGAGGAGGTATCCAAGTCGTCAAACATCTCGGAAAAGCAGAACCGTTGGAATTCAGAAGTCACCGGTCATGGGCGGCGAGGGTCATAGGCTATAGCGGGCATGGGCAAGGCGGAGGCCTGCGAGGTGAGTTCATCGTGGACATATGAAGCAAACGCTCTTCACTTCTAGCGCTCATAAGACGTTCTGGGTCCCCACCGCATCGCCGCTGACTTCCACCATGACGCTCTCTTGTGAGCTATCGTATTGCGGATGTACAGCCGGTCGAGGCCCATGAATACTGCGAACACGCAGGATATGGAGAGCGTACACGTCCCTCTGACTGCTTGTCAAAAACGGTTACATGTAAAACTTGAGTGATTCCAAGCAGTATGATAATACAACAACCGGGTCGTACATTGATACTGAAAAGTCCGTACGTTGGCAGTCCAAAAAAGTCCTTCAACAGTCAGTCGCCACTAGCTCATATACCAAACATTCCACACCTTCCTCCTTCATTCTCCCGCCACTATGAGGCTGCCTGGCCGGAGAAGGGAACCCACAGGACCAGGCTCGCCCTCCGCGCCTCGGTCATCTTATCATTCTCCGCATGGCCAACAGCCTGCAAGGGGATTTCGTCCGAGAGCTCCTGAGTGGTGACGATGGCGGGGGGATCATGGGGACGTGTGGGAGGAGTGTCGGGCCCGCTGCATTCTGATGAGGATGTCGAAGTAGATTCGGGGATGACAGCAGGGTTGCAGCCGGGCTTGCGGATAGGGAACTCGTCCGAGGACGCAGTGCGCATGATCGCCGGGACTGGAGGAAGGGGCTCGTTGTCGAAGTGCTCCACCGGCTGCGGCTGCGGCTGACCCTCAGCCTTGGGCGGGGTTTGGGGCGATGCATGGTGGCCTTCCTCCGCCTTCTGGATAGCCCCGCTGGAGACGCGGCGTGCCCGGAGTTCCCGCTCAGAGTCGCTAGAGGCGCCCGCTATCGATCCTCCACTCTCAGAGGAAGTATCCGACTCGAGGGTATCACCGCACGAGGACTCCCAACCATCCGACGAGTCTCCGCTCTCCTCGCTCAGGTAGGATTCGACGGGCTTGTACTGGCGCCACGTCTGCTTGACCGCCCAGTATCTCGAGCTCGCCACCTCCTTCTCCGTCAACCAGAACCTGTCGAGATTCCGAACGAGCCTACGCAGCTCGGAGAGAGAACATTGGTCCTTCGGAATCATGGTGAGGATGCGACGGAGGATGTGGTTTAGTCCCGGGGTGATAGGGAAGATCTTGAGGAGGAAGTCTGGTTGGTCGAGGAATTTGTAGAAGTGGCGGTCGTGGATCGTAGCCTTTGACCATGGCAGACGGCCAGTAGCGAGCTGGATGATTGTGATTCCGAGTGCCCAGATATCAGCCCGACGAGTGTCGTACGGATACTCGACGTCACCGCAATCGATGCATTCTGAGAGAAATTGCCGTCAGCACTAAAATCAAGACATTCGGCGGCCAACAATTGTCACTAACCTGGACACTCGTAGAATGGGGTCCCTATCCCGAAGGATGTGCTCGTCTTCGAGTTCGTCGCCAACCCGAAGTCAGTGAGGTAGACCTTCGAAAGGTCTTCTTTCACCAGGATGTTGTCCGGCTTGATGTCCCGGTGGTACACGCCCCTCTGATGACACGCCTCCACCGCGTCGATGATCTGGAGGATGATCTCGCGGAGCAAGTCATCGTTTCGGGCGAGAGCGCGCCTCTTCCCAATAAGGGTGCGTAAGTCGCCGGCGCTGTAGTAGTCCATCACCGTGTACTGGAATCTTCCTTCCCGTACGACACGATGGAGGGAGGCGACGTTCGGGTGGTCGGACACCTTTCGGTGCAGCGCAGCCTCGCGATCTTGGCAGTAACCGCGATTTGATCCCTCAGGAAAGGCCGGGCAGACTTTGACGGCGCGGGTGACGGAGCGGGTGGTTCCGGGGATGCGCTCGCGACATTGGTAGACGACGCCGAAGCCACCTACGCCGATCTGTCGGGAGAGCATGTACCGACCGTTGTCGAACGAGGTCCCAGAGAAGCAAGGCATGCGCCTTTCGATAGTAGGCATTGCGGGCAGATGTGATGTGAAGGTGTATGCGTAGTGATGGCTTGTGTGTGGGATGGAAGATTTGGTGAAGTCTTCGTCGAGAATGAGGATCCTTTTATACCTCTCTAGCCCCTGCATAGAAGTTGGAGTCTTCGCGTTCTCGACCGTCGAAGTGCGGGCCCGGCAGGAGCTGTGGTTCTTGGTGCCACTGGCACCTTGCGATTGGTCTTGGTGAAGAAAAAAATCAGCAAGTTCGTTATCCGACTACGACCCTTCTTAGTCGGATAACGAACTTGTTGATCTCGGTAAGCTCCGCACTTGGGCCTGTGTTGAACCACAGTCCGAGTAGTAGCGATCGGGACCGAATGAGGTGTCAGTCGTCCAACGTTGCGAGTATAACCAGTCCAGGACAATTCTGAATAGGACATAGGAATGCTTTCCAATTTCAATATAGACTCATGGTCTCGCACCGTCTTCCCGGCAACAATGTTGAAGGTTGTGCAGTCCCAGGTGTCTACATGACCCACCGACGTCACACCTACAATCCGAATAGCAGTAATCACATTCGACATGACCGACATAAGATACACTTAACTTAACCGGTTCTAGTACATTGAAACGCTCATTGCGACGGTGGCCCCACCCTCTGAGCCGAGACCAGAGTGTCCTCGAGCACATTGCGAATGCCCGTCGTCCAGATGCCAAGCTCCTTCTCCAGTCTCATGATCGCCTCCCGAATTTCTGCTCCGAGCAGCCCGCCTCCGGACTTCTTCCCGAAACCGATCAGCAGCTCCTCGTGTGCCTTGACGAAGGACTCGTACGCCAGCTTGAGCCGAGGCGGGCCCGACGGCGGGAACTTTTCAGCTCCGGCATAATCTGACGCGGATGTTGGCGCCGGTTCGTCAACGGCAAGCAGTTTGCCTAGCTCCCCGAGCGCGACTGCGCGGACCGGATGTCCCTTTGGAAGGAGGGCCTGGAGTCCGGCGGTGTACCGAGCCGCTGTGCGAACAGCCTCGTCTAGAGTTTCCTGTGTCGGAGAGGATGACGACAGACTATCAATGAGGAGTTCTTTATGGAGCCTCGTCAAAGCGAGTAGCGGATGTGAAGAAGGTGTAACTCCCGCGGAGGTGAGGATGGGAGTTATGTTCGTGGTCAGTTGCCGGGCTTTGACTCGATCTGTATATCGGGGCCATTGTCAGCGCCGCACTAATGGCCTGACGCCGTCGCCCGGTGGGCGCACCTTTGGACTGCAGCGAGCTAGCCTTATCCAGAGCCTCTTGACCGACGCGCAAGGCGTCTAGCACAGCGCCAACGTCGCCCACTTGAGCGTTGCACTTCACACAATGTGTAGCCCTATCACCGCTCTCTGGCATGACAAAGCCCAGGTCAGTAAGCAAGATGAAATCTAGGTGAGAGACGCATCTCATCAGCGCACCTTCTGTTGGATACGGACAGATGCCGCCGCAGGACTTAGGACACCAGAGAGCCTCCCGCGGGTCCGCGGCCGTCGTTCGACAGCAGAGCTTGCACTGACAAGAGAAGCTGTAGACCTCCTTCAGTTCATTCTGCCGGAGCCTGTTCGGCAACGTCGTGTCGACGTATGATATTCGAATCTGAAGACAGGAGTAGCAAAATTATCATGTAATGCCGGCATGAGCGAGGTGGGAGACGCGGTTCCCAGCTAACCATACACGTACCTCTTTCCCTGGTGCTACGTTGCGGAGGGCCACAAGGCTCAGAAGCGGCTCCTTTACCCGCGACCCGCCGTCGGCGCGAGGGAAAACGAGCGCAGCGTTGGGGTCACATGAGTGGTTAGCGAGGGCCACCGTGGGCGAGACGCATATGCCTATCGGGGTCAACGCGGGTGTAGTGAGCGTGAATGTATTTGTCGTGAACTGTATCGGACGAGGCGCTGTCAGCCGAGTGCTTCGCGGGTGTGCATGCAGCCGTAACGCGGGACTCACGCGGGAGATCAAATCCACCAGATCACCGGCGGACTTCAGTCCATAAGGTTCGAGTTCTTGTGGGGAAGACACGCCTAGATACCGAACAACCGAGTGTGCCAGGTGGGTGTGCGATCCAAACGCTGACGGTTGCAGCGAATTTCGATCTACCATGGGAAGGTTATCGTTAACTGGATGTCCCATTTGACATTAGAATGTCCGAGAACCCGAAGGCCCTCGGCCTCTGCCATGAATTCGGCAACTTACTAGAGTGCATCATCCGAATCTCCTGCGCCTGACGAAAGTGTCTTGTCAGCGCTCGGCGCCCAGCGAGAATACTCGAATTACAGCACGCACCCACACGCTATCCAGCCCTTCTTTCTGAGATCCCCACATAATGCGGCCCAGGCAACGGACCGGCTCGCCGGGAATCGCGACATCAGATGAGGGTGCAGATGCAGCCCACTTTTGGAGCGCGTTGCACTCGCGCCTGTGCCACGCCCAGTCCCGATTCTGACAGTCCTGGATGTCGCAAGCGATCAGTATTCCAGACGAGCCGGGGGTGTGGGTAACCCACGTACTGAGTTGCAATACCGGACTGTTTTGCATTTCGGACATCGTTTGAGTCCGGCCGTGGCGGCAGGTGCGGCGCAGGCGGAACAATAATACTCTAGATTGGGCGTCGAGAGGACAAAGACATGGGGTATTATCGACAAAATGATTTCACCTGGTAATCATCTGCTGTCAGTATCGTAGTGACCATTGATCGGGACAATCCACGATGTACCAGCAGATAGAGCGGTCTTGGCGTAAAGTCCGCGACCGTGCCTGCTTGACTCCCTGATCTCTAGAAAGGAAGGGAGATCGGTATGACAGCCGTGTAGGTTCACGGAGTTGGTGCTCTCTCTTGTCTTCACCGGTGTCGGGTTAGTTGGTGACTGATGCTCCTGAGTTCTTGGCGGTGCCTGTTCCTCCGAAGCCTGAGACAGAGGAGAGTGCTGGACTACAGCCTGCTCATCTGTCACCATGGTATCATGGGAGTTCTTTGGGGCTGCTGCATTGATCTGCATTGGAGATTGAGAGGGCAGTGGGCCTGGCGACGTATCCGCCTTCATAGTATCCGAAAATCCCGAGACTGATTCAGGCTTGACGAAGGAGTGAATCTCCTTACCCTTGCGCGCCGACTTCAACTTTCCGAACGACATGGCCAGTAGTCAGTGAGCTATTTGTGTGGAACGCTTGAGTGCCCAGTGGCTATGAGTCTTGTGCTGGTGTTGCTAGATCTTACGGTCCTGATGACGTAACTTGTTTGCATGTGTCTGTCGAAGGCTTGCGATCCTAACAAGCACAAATAGACCAAGTGCTTGCCCTTGCGACAGCCGAGGTGGCCAGATCTGGGCAGCTGCCGCAGACTTCGAGGCAAGACAAGGACAGGCAATGCTATGGCGCCAAGTTGAGCTCCGTTAGCCATTTAATGATCCACTTAATGATCATGTATGTACAGCATGGTATTACGAGTAAGGGACAATGTAGTAACAGCAAAGGGATGCATACGACGTGAAGGATGAAGGGTATAAATATGAGTAACGTGTTGTTCGTAAGTGTCGTGGCAAGTCGTGAGGGTCGTGGCAAGTCGTAAAGATTCCATACATCGCCGAAAGGAAGACGATGGCGGCTGTCCCTGGAAGACATGGTCAATGCAACATAGTAGTGGATGTGAGAACCATCCTTACACAGTTGATCTATGCAGCGTGTTACGCGCAGTCGTGATGTCATGACTGATTGTGGTTGACGACACTCTCGCTCTGCCCTCGAGGCCTTCCTGCTTCCACCGTACCGGTGGAGCGGTTTGGTATTGACGAATCGTCTTGCGAATGTTGCCTCGTGAAGAAATCGTCCTCGCCCTCATAAGGCGATGACGCAGAATTAATCTATACATCACCGTCAATGAAGCCCTAGCCGCAGAAGGTGTGATACACGTAATAACACCCTAGGGACAGGGCAGCACAAAATGGGGTGGAACCAAGACACTCACCCACTGCCCAAGCACCTCTGCTACTCTGCTCGCTTCCTCCGGAGTGAAGTTCACGTCGGTCCCCTTCTCTGCGTGAAGCTTGAGAAGCTCCGAGAGCGTGCGTTTGCCAGTGCCTCGTCCGAGGGAGCCATTTTGCGAAACGGCACCTTCGTCGGCACCCCCGTGGCCAGGAAACGAGACAGAATTCCGTGGTGTGCTCGCATGGTTAGGATCTGCGTCGCTGCTCATTGAGCGATCCCAGTCTTCGGTGTCGGAGGAGGTGAGAGATAATTGTGACATCGAGAAGTGGACTTGTTCCGAAGACATGTAGATCGCCCACGCGTCGAGCGGACGTCTGATTTGGCAGCAGCAGGTAGATGATAGAGTTAGCCGAGCACTGGACACAGCCGTCTGGGGGAGAAGCTGGGTATGTCGTGTGATGGAGAGGGTCTGGTGCTCACTGTGAGTGTCGGGAGCAGGTGCGAGTCGGCGCTGGGACTGCCCTACTGAGAACGCCCACGTGACAGTAAACAAGCCCGGGCGCGTTGTTTGGCCCTGCGTCTCTGGGCTGCGTCTCCCGCGAGCCGCCTCTGTTTGCGCCATCGCTGCCTTCTCTGTTTGCTCATCATCTGCGGCGGCGACCGCGACTCTCCCTGCGATGTCCACACTGGCCACCGCCACTACACCGCGCAAACCGGAATCCCAAAGAAGCCCCTTGTCCTCGAGGCCGCCTCTTCTCTCATCTGCTGCCCACTTTGGTGACAGCATCCTCCCTTTGGGCTCTGATGATACGCATTCCCTTGCTTTCCGTCTTTATGGCCCCGCCTCGTTTCTGCTCAGACAGGTTCCCCACAAGATCCATCCAGATTAATTGGCTAACGGTAGCCTCTCCGTCCGTCCATCGTGAATCCCGCTCGGATCCAGGCGCATACACCTTGTCTCCTCTTCCACCCACCCACCGCGCCGATCAATTGGTCATTTGGCGCGTGTGGAACGCATGGATCGTCCGTCCCCAATAACGTGTCGACGGCGTATTGTATTTTCCCCTGTCTATATGCTGCCTTGTGGTTCTCCTTGGGCTCATATGCGACATCGCCTCGTGGTGCCCTTCACCCAGATGCGCTCTGCCAATGCCTCACGTCAATCTCACGGTATCTGATTGACGAATTCTATACCGATGTGACACGCTGGGCGTTCTGTCTAGAATGCCCTGCACATACACGGTGCGCGGCCTTTCTCTTGCTTATTAATCACATTTGTGTCCAGTGAGAATTGACGTGCCGCCGTATTGGCCCGGGACAGTTGGCGGCCTCCGTCCGCAGTCCCATGAGAGCGGTCGAGTGGATTGGCTTGCTATTCAGTTGACTCGTACCAGTGAGAGCGTTTTACGGATGGGGTGTTCATTTTCTCTTCTCTTCACAGTGCTATGTTTGTTAACGCGAACAATATAAATGTTTCGAGGGACCTCACGCAATGGCCTTCGGTGCGTAATGGTGTGGTCAGTGGAAGGCCCCCCCCCCTCAATGCCTGTCCAATCATAGTGGCTATACGCCATGAAGGGGCCGCGTCTCGGGCCGCTCAATACTATCACGTTCACGGGCTATTTGAAGAGCATAATCTCATGAATTACTCCAAGTAGAACTTGCCACGCATGGAAGGATAAGTTTCTATCAGTGAACAGCCTCTTCTGACGACTGATTGTAACTAGACCCCTGTATCAGGTGAGAATATCTACTGCGGTCCCCCGGTTCCGCAATAAATTCACTTCGCTGACCACCCTGCAAATTACGCATAGCGACTTGCGCGCACATGACATCATGGTGTCACTTGTCGCAACGGCTATTTTGCGAAGAGTAGTGAGCGGAGCTAAGGTGACGTCCTGCATTCTGAGCCTTGCCGCTGAGCCTCAGATGCTGTCCGCAGATTGATTGGCCCTGCACTCGTCAAAAGCGCCTGCCTCAACGCTAGAAGTGCAAAGGGCGCGCCGAGATGGATATCTTCGTATGCAGTTGTGGCTCCTTCCAGCTACTGATTGCTACATATGAAATGCGGACGTTTTGTGGTATAAGAGTCTTCGGATTCCCAGCTACGCTGCATTACGGGCGATCCCGCGGACGGTGCGAATGCGCCTTATGCTCCGTTGACCCCAGGTCGACCAAGCGAGTAAGCAAACATCTGTCCCTCATGCGGATCACAGCATTGTCACAATCTGGCAGGACGCATGCACACGCACTTCGCCGATACAGCTTCTATGGTCATTACACAAACTTCTATCCCACTCACCGAAGCATATGGCTATTACACGCTCCATAGGTGTGTGCAATGCGACGTGCACAGCGTCGCGTTCATTTGACGGGGGTGGCTGCAGTGAGTAAAATGACTTCGTTGTACCCAGAGCCTCGCTGACAGAGCTCACTGCGGCGTGCCTCCTTGAGGCCCGGGCACGGTAACAGTTGTCGGCGCTCTGCGGGCACAGCTAGATAAGGTTGTAAACCCGCGACGATGCAGCTTATCAGAAGGCTCTAATGTGATCCCTTTGGCAGTAAGCACTGGCATACCGACATGACGGCAGGCCGAAGCCGCGTAGCAAATTGACCCTGGGAATGTGTCTTCAGACGTAAACCCTGCGACAGCTCCGGGCGTCGTTGTACTCCCTTTTGGCTATGCCCGGTCGTGCCGACGGGACCGACCCGTCCTACCTGTGCAAAGCGTCAATGAAAAGTTCTCGTAATGAGGCGTAAGAAGGTACGAGGCTTTTGGCGATGTGCTGAGTCTGGGTGTCGGATAGTACAAGGATGGGTTGCAGTCCACTCTGGCTGGACGGCGACCGAACATCCCATGGCAGGCGGATGAACACCACCAACCTGTCCGCGTTTTACTGGAATCCTGGCAGCCCTGGACATTATGATATGATGATCCGCCCTTCGGAGCTTGTATACGGCGCATTCCATATTGTTGGTGTCATGACACACCACCGCCGGGAGTGGCATTGCACGAAGCGCACAAGCTCGCTCGTTGCACGACGCCCAATCAGGTGTTGCATCGTTTCGCAACATCAGTCGGCATGGGTAGCGAGAGCGCAACCCGCTGACCGCTATATACTCGCATCGTTTGGTGTTATACCGAAGCGACCGATTTGCTATCGTCAAGATTTTGACTAGACGATAGGCTACGAAACCTCTCCGAGGCCCGCTCTCGTCGGACAGCTCAGATGGTTGCGGTGTCAGCTCAGGCCTTGATGTCTCTGATGCCGCTGCCTGAGCGCGTGCAAGAGACGTCTCGCTCGGAAACCTCTCCTTTGATTCTCCCCCATGCATCGGCGTGGGTGAGCGTATCCTGTCGAAACTGGTTCTGGCCACCTCCCACAGGCGGTCCCTAGCCGATGCATGGGGTGGCTGCTCTGGATATCTGTCTCGTCGTCCGTGCCTGGGGCGAAACTTGCGCCAAGTCGCGCGCTCGTGGGTGCGCACCATGCATCCCTGAGCGTTAAGACGTCGCCGGAATGGAGCCGAAGTGCGGCCGGAGCCGGGCCAGTCGCTCGGCGGAGAGGAAGGACTTGCCATGTCCGTTGCAAAATTGTCGTGCGTCCTGTCACGTCCATGTCCGGTTGTGCGGCGACCCCCGGAAGGCACGACATAATGTAACCCTGACGGCACGCGGATGGTCTTGAGGCGATATTGCCCCTCAACCTCCTACAAGTCAAACTCTCGCGAGCTTCGTGTTGATCACAGACCATTCATGTGGGTCGGTTTGACTTGCGAAGATGGCAGCGCGCTGGGGATGCATTAAGAAGCGAGGCTGAGAACTTTGACGTCGGAGCGTGCCGAGCATGTGAGTTCGAGTGACCTTTCGTCCCCACGGGCCTATGAGCCTGCCGAGATCAGACGAAAGGACGTCAGGGTTCCCAATCAGCCCCGTGGCGTCTCGCTGCGTCAAACATTCGGGACGCACGCAAAGACTGACGGACCTCGCCTTCCTTTGCAGGTCGCACCAGATCTGGCCCGATCCGTAGTATCTCAGGCTGTTTGTTACTGAGATGGCGTTGCCCAGCCCTTGAAGCGGTTCCATTAGAACAGAGGTCCGTTCCCGGAAGCACGCATGGCACTGAGAAACTCAGATCATCCACTCGCATAGCGCGCTACCCGATTTATTGACGGCCCACCCAGCATACTGCGGGTTCGGAGTGGCCGATAACGATCCGTTCACTCAAAGTCATGTCCGAGCACATATCTCCAGATTGACATTTCCCTCACATTACGCGACGCGACGCGCGGAGAACTTTCCGGCCACCCTCATGAGAAGTCCGCCCGAATACTTAAGGAGATGGCTGGAGCACATTGGGAGCAGGTCCTCAGTCCACTTTTCCATCTGCGACGCTTCCCGGCTCCTCTCGATCGTCTGCCAGCTCTCAACCTCTTCTCCTCTTTTCTACAACGCGATCTACGTCTTCTCAACTGCGGCGGTCATGTTCAAGAACGGTCCCGAGTACGAAGAGCGGTTAGTGCTCCCACACTCCGCGCACCCCGACCTGCGGCGCGTGGTCCCTCGTCGTGTTGTCCTCCCCGACGACATAGGACACGACCCCGCCGCCGTCGGACCTGCACAGATGACGATGCTGACGCGTGGATTAGGCTCGCCCGTCCCTTCGTTCCACCCACGGTCACGCTGAAGCAGATCCATGATGCCGTTCCTAAGCATCTTCTACAAAAGGATCCACTCCGGTCCACCGGCTACGTGGTCCGGGACGTCTTCTTTTGCGCGCTTTTCTTTGCGTTCGGCGCAGCAATCGAGCCCCTGGTCTCAAGCAACTTCCTGGGCTTCGTCCCCTTGACGTCTCCGTGGCAAGCCACGCTCGCCCGAAGCCTCTTGTGGTTGACGTATTGGTGGTGGCAAGGCATTGCCTTCACGTCCTTCTTCTGCATTGGTAAGGCAATCTAGCAGCTCATCGTAGTGCACGTCAAGGCGCTGACCATGTGGACGTCCGTGCATCCTCGTTCCCCACAGCGCATGAAGTAAGTGGTCCCCAATGCAGTTATAGGCAGGCACGGGAAGGAGGGATGCTCATTGTGCCTCCCCCAGCTCGGGCACGGAACCATGTACAAATCGTGGTGGGCTAACAATATCCTGGGCTTCTTGCTCGATACGGTGCGTGGTCTCCCTAACGTGACTGTGGGACGCTCGTATCCCACGCTCGCGAACCCTGTACTGATTGTCATGGCGAGAGCAGTTTGTCTTGGCGCCCTTCTTCGCTTGGAAAGTCAGTCACAATGCCCACCACGTGCGTTTTACGTCCTTCTGTTGCCCTCCACCTCGAAATTTGCGTATTTGACACACGGTGTATCCTTCCACAGAAAGCGGTGAACTCTATCGAGCGCGACGAGAACTACGTCCCGCACTTGCGCAGCCATTACAACCTTCCACCTAAGGAACGGGCCACGACAGCCGATTACGCCGAGGTGTTTGAGGAGACCCCTTTATTCACTGCCGTGCGGATGTTCGTTATGCAAGCGATGTGAGTACTTCGATGGCTTGCGCCGGTCACGGCTTGCGGCCACGAGGGCTTTTGCTGACGTTCAATGTGTTGCAGGGGCTGGTGGTTGTATCTCAGGTACGCCCTGCGTAACTCAAACACGTTTTAATGTGAGAAGTGCTGACGCATCTGGCTTCTCGTGTGACTGTCCGACAGCTGCAACAAGCTTGGGGCAAAAATGTATCCGAAGGGCACCAACCACTTCTCCCCCTACTCGCCCTTGTTCAAGGACGGACAAAGTTTGTGCATTTGTCTCAACGCAGCAGAAGCGTTGTACTGAATAAGCTTGGAAACAGGGCTGAGCATATTTATCTCGGACGTTGGGCTAATCGGCATGATGTCCCTGCTGTATCTTTTTGGACAAGCCTATGGCTGGAAGGCGCTCGTTGCCTACTATGTCATTCCCTATATCGTAAGTGCCACACCGTCACATTCTCAGTGCTAGTTCTTATGGAGTTTTTTTGATAGTTATGCAACCATTGGTATGATATCTGCCATCCTGATTCTGCATAGCGTAATTTACGAATTTTGGACTTTGATGTGCCCTTCAGGATCGGTATGTCGAATCGCGTTCCACTCGGAGTCAGGGTCAAGAGAGCTATGCTGATGCTTTTCGCAGTGATGGTCACCTTCCTCCACCATTCTGACCCGACCATTCCGCACTTCCGTAAGGAGGAGTGGTCCTTCCTTAGGGGTGCTGCTTCCACTGTTGACCGTCCCACGCTTGGCTGGATCGGCCGCTTCTTCTTCCACAACGTACGTCTGTGCCGTCTTCTGAGCACAGTTGTAGGGAAGACTAAGGCTCCACTTGTTTTGTCATGTAGGTTGCACATGATCACGTCGCACACCACTTCTTCTCGCACATTCCGTTCTGTAGGTTCTGTGGCTCGATTTCCTCCGGATAAACGCTTACCTGTCTGCCCGAACAGATCATCAGCCAGCAGTCACAGATGCAATCAAAGCTGTCCTGAGAGAGAACTACAACTACGATTCTACGGTACGCTTGAGGGCTTGCGAGAGGGTACACTTCAAGCACTGACTAATTGTTTCCTGACAGAACACTTTTTACGCCCTGTACCGATCATTCACGGAGTGCGTTTTCATTGAGGACGAGGGCTCGATCGTGTTCTATAAGAACAAAAACGGCGTAGCGGCCCGTCATGTTGCCGAGGATGCAATTACAGCCATCAAAAAGGAAGGCTGGACGCAAGAAGACCAGGACAAGTTGGCCGAGGGTGCCCTCTCGGACTCCACGAGGTCAGAGTGATTGATGTAGGGCGTGGATAGGGCTGCGCGGGGCGCTACAAAAATAGACTCACCACTAATGAAACCTTCATAGACTTTGACTGTATTTATTACTTTGTATCCAGCAGCAATGTGTAATACCTAGACATTCAATCAGTCATCCCTCTGAGTCCGATGAGCGGTGAGACAGTCGTTTGCGGTCCGTGCGTGGTGCCCGAAGACGCCACGACCAGCACTGCCACCGCGTGGACGGCCGGCGGCATCGCTGAACGCAATCGTCCCGTTGGTCCTCGTCAGATGACAACAGCCTCCGAAGCAGTCGACGTGTGTGATGTTCGTTTAGTACAGGTGACGTTCGAGACTCTTTCAACCGTGCCTAAAGAACATGATTTTCTGTCGCCAGGTGAGACTTTTGTGTCCATCCGGGAATCGCTTTCAAGATCATGAGGTTGATCCGCCACTTCGCCATCCAGACCGCGGCCCGCGAACGCCAAAGAAGAACTTGTGAGTTCGAAAAATCGTCACGAGTGTGCGGTGTCCGCCACTCGGTGGCCCAGGAGCATATGCAGTTGCATCCCTCAATACGTCACATACTCAGTTCTGCTCCATAATTCCGCCGGGATCAGCATCGTCCGCTTCTCAGTTGATTCAACTTGGCCCTCCCGAAGCTTTTCCTAACGGGCCGCTCATGGTATAAATGTCAGCGTGCAGTTGGTGTGGTGCTCGCCAGAGCGGACGCGGACCCTAGCCTGTTTCTGAACCAAGTTGAACGGGATGAGAGTCGAACTTCATAGCACCTTCCTACTCGCCTGCTTAGCGGTACGGTCCGCAGCCGTCACTGTGACGGTCAGCAAGACAGCAAGCCATTCCGTTCCGTCTACTCTGTGTAAGCAGGTCCCCTGCTGAAAGTGTTGGCTATGTTCCTCTGACTACTTGCTTCTACAGATGGACAAATGTTTGAAGTAAGGGCGCTGTTCGTTGTGATTCGTGCCCTCGGATGCTGACAACTTTGCATGTATGGCGTCTTCAGGATATCAATGTGAGTGTCATCTATCCCCTGCGAAAGCTTCTCACGATATCTTGCTGAGCGGGCTGGATTAGCATGTACGTTACTTCGCTCGGTATCTCCAGTACGCGACATGAATAACGAATAACGAATGACTCTCGCTGCGATCGGGCAGAGCGGGGACGGTGGTCTCTATGCAGAATGTGCGTTTCTTCAATTGCTGTAAGGTCTCATGCATTGGACTCACGAGACTTCGGTCAACAACAGTACTGCAGAACAGGGCTTTCCAACAGGTGACGCCAAGTAATATTTCAGGAAATCGCCCTCAAAATAAATGTCGCCTCTGATCATGGTCCCTCAGACACCACGGCGGCTTTGAACGCGTGGCGCCCCCTCGGCGATGCACAGCTGACTGTCATCGCTGATACAAAACCGGTTTCCAATGCTCTGCCAAACTCCCTGCAACTCATTGTTCCGAGTGGCTCAACTGGCTCTGTCGGTTTCACCAACGAAGGCTTCTGGGGTATGATATCGTTCTTCCACGTCACGTTCATGCGGCTGAGTGATTGGCAAACCTTGATTTAGGAATCAAGGTCGATTCATCCTGGACATACAAAGCGTCTTTCTACTACCGCTTCCCGGCGTCCTCGTCCTTTTCCGGGCCGCTGACGGTGGGCCTGCGCACTAACGCTGGGACGGTCCTTGCACAAGCGACTGCTCAAATCCGCAGAACAACGAGCTGGCAGCAGATAACCCTCGATCTCAAGCCGACATCTTCTGCTCCCGACATCAACAATAGCTTCTTCATTTCGGTAGATGGCCCCAAGGCTGCGGGTCAAACTATTCACTTCGCCATGCTCTCCCTCTTCCCTCCGACCTTCAAGAACAGACCGAATGGGTTGCGCATTGACATTGCTGAGGTCTGTGTAGTGCTTGACGCGATCAGTGACAAAGCATTCATTCAGCGCTCGATAGACTCTGGCTGAAATGGGTCCGGCCTTCTTCCGATTCCCGGGCGGGAACAACCTGGTACGTCCTCTTATCGCGCCTATTCTGACGTATTCGGGAATAAGCTCACGCTTGTAATGTAGGAGGTAAACTTGTCATCATACAAAACGGCTGGTCCAAACGCGTGTTATATTTTCTATGTAGGGTCAAACCCCGGCAACGAGGTGGCAGTGGAATGCTACCGTCGGGTCTTTACTCGATCGTCCTGGGCGTGTCGGCGACTGGGGCTATGTGAACACGGAGTAAGCGACACATTCACACGGGTCAACGTTTCTGTCGCACTCAATATCCGCCGAATCTCGTGCGCAGCGGTCTCGGCCTTCTTGAGTTTCTGCAGTTTTTCGAAGACGTAGGGATGGAACCTATCATGGCCGTCTGGTCAGGCGAGTATATCTTCCGACGTAACACTATTTCAAGCCCGAGCTCACGCGTGCGTCTCGCCCGCCGTACCAGGTTATGCGCTCGGAGATACTAGTGAGCCTGAGAGCGCCCTTGCACCCTTCATTCAGCAGGCCAAGGACCAGGTGAGTGCTTCTTCCCGCGGGCACCGGCAAAGTCGGACAGCCTGACCCGTGCATCCCGCGGCGTGCCTTACTGTCCTGCAGATCAATTTCGTCATCGGTGACCCTGCAAAGAGCGCACCAGGTATTGTGTTTGTCTTGAACTACATTCTTATTTGACGTTTACAAACGGTGATGGTGATTCAGCGGCCCTGCGAGCTTCGTTGGGACACCCAGAGCCATTTAATCTGCGGTTTGTGGAGGTTGGAAACGAGGTGGGTTCTATCGCCTATCAGAACGGCGCAGATCATCGCCTCCGTAAATAGACAAGCTGATGTTTGTTTCTCCATAGGACTTCATTGGCTCAGCCCCTTCGACGTGAGTGCATCCATCTTGCCCTAGATGAGATCGACCATTGAGTTGAAATCGCTAAAGATACCCGTACCGTTGGCGCGACTTCTTTGGGAATTTGAGTGCCGAGTTCCCTAACCTCCGTACGTTCTCTTCCATTCTTTGCGGTACCACCGCAGTCTGATGCCCACACCCGCTGTAGGGTTCATTGCGACCTCGGATGTGGGGAGCCCAGTTCTCTCCCCCGCTCCGCCGTCATATGATGTCCACGTCTATCAGACGCCGAGTGAGAGTCTAGAAGCGACTTTGCATGCTCTCAGGGTCTGATCTCCCCGTGTCCCAGCTTGGTTCTACCAAAACGCGTTTTATTACGACTCGTTTGAGGTGAGTGAACGTCGTGAATCAGCAACACGTGTAAACTCAATATGGCTCCAGCGCGACGGTACCACCTACTTTGAGGTTTGCTGTTGGAGGGTATTCCCTTGACCTTCCGACGCTGATCCCGCTTCAGGGGGAGTACGCTGCAATTTCTACCAACGCGAACGACATATTTGGCACACCTGCCGACGGGCGCCTGTCATGGCCAACAGTACAGAGCAAGCAGCTTCCCACAAGTGAGACAATGCACGAATCTGATCATGAACATACCAGGCTCTTCCGGAGAAGCTGCATTCATGACTGGATTGGAGAGAAACAGCGATATCGTGTTCGCGGCCTCCTATGCGCCTTTGTTGCAGGTGAGGCAATGCCTTAATCCTGTACGATAGCCAATGCTTACTAGTCGTGCAGCATGTCAATTCTACGCAATGGGTACGTCTCCGCGGTGATTCTGGCAGATATCCTTGAGTTAAGTTCGATGAATAGACGCCAGACCTGATCTCCTTTGAGTACGTGTCACGCTTTATGGCAAATTTGGCATATCTTGTTAACCTATGCGGTTGCAGTGCTGGATCAGTGATCAAGTCCACGAGCTTCTATGTACAGAAGGCAAGTCGTGCAAGCAGCCTATTCTTGTCTACGCAGCTCATTCATGGTGCTCGAATTAGCTGTTCGCGACCAATCGGGGTGATCAGTACCTCCCAAGCACGCTGCCGACGAACGGTGGCACATTGCACTGGAGTGTCACCCGCTCGTCAAGTTCCGGCGAAACTTTCATCAAAGTAGGTTACTCAGCCCCTTGAATCGGTCCTGTTTCGCTGCAGATTGACACAACACTAACAGGTCGCTAACGCTGGCAATGCATCTGCGAGTATCACATTCGACCTGAGCCAGTTCAGTACGGTGGCCAGCTCGGGAACTCTGCAGCTCCTGACTGGTCCAGAGACGGCGAGCAACACGCCTGAAGCGCCACAGACCATCTTGCCCAAGACAAGCGCGATCTCCACGGGCAAGTCGTTCACATATAATGCTTCTGCGTTCAGTGTCAGCGTCATTATGACCACGACACATTGAACGCTCCGACGGGGAGGCGATCCCGGTTCCTTGACTGCGTATGGCCGTTGGAGAGTATAGGACGCACGGAGGTGTGGGAAGAATATGTGATGAACGATGGGCAACGTTTGCGCTGAATTAGGCGATCTGTAAGCAATAGTGATGTCCGAGTATCTACTGTAATTTTGTGAGGTCGATTTCCATGGGCTCCTCCTCCCCTAAGTCGTCAAATGCGTGTTGTATCGCAGGCAGGTACGTGTTGAGCTTCCACATGTCGCCCAAGCGTATCCGAGAATAGTCGAATGCAAGCCCAATGAGGGGCCCGCCAGACGTTTCGCCTTGTCGAGGCGGCATCCCAGGATAACGGGCAGAGAAGTGGGTCAGGAGAATTTTCTGAGCCCGCATACTGTTTACCCGAACGTTTATTAGACAACATAGCCTCGCGAGATGAAGTGCTGCCGTAGCGCGCAGGATGGGATGGGAGATAGAAGTCGATGGGCAGAGAAACACCCACCCGGCAGCAGCTACGGCACACCAGATTACACCAAACACTCACCGCCTGCCCACATCGATCGCTTGTGCCGAGGTGCTGTGGGCCTTCTCTCGCGCCAGCTCCTCTTCTTCGGGGCTCATGCTCGACTCGTGGATAAGCAACGTGACGTCGCGGCCTGCCTTGACCAAATTGTCCGTCGGCATGGTGTCCCCGGAAAAGCTTAATGGACAATCGCGTCAGTTCCTCCTCCGATCCGCGAAGCTTTATCACTCGCCGCGGCACATCGCAGATACGATGTCGAGGCAAGATGACAACGAACGAAAGACGATGGAGCTGATTGCACTCACGCCATGCTCCATCCGTCCCTGTGCCTGATCACCACACCGTAGCAGCGGGTTCGGTGCGCGACATCAACGGTGGTGAAGCTTTTCAACCCGAGCGCATGGCACATCGCTTGAGCATTCTCGCGCGACCTATGTTGTTTGCGTTCCGCATTGCGATTCCCCGATTTGGCGAACACGAGTACCATGCGATGAAGGCATTCCGAATCAAACTGTCAGGTACGCATATTCGACGCATTTAAGGCGGGCTTGTCGGCGTACCTTTCTTGGTTCATGAAGGGCTCGTCTTCAGTCTGGTTCCTTCCGTACGGGCGAGCGAATCGCCAATTAAGCGCGTCTGAGAGGACCATGACAATCCCATTGAGATCTGCCAGCCCTTGATCTTCAAGCTCTTGACGTTCCAAGAGGTACATGAGGTGGTGACGAAGGCCGACGACATACAGTGGGTCCGTGGGAGGTGGGTTCATCTATGACCTCATACCGTGAAGTTCGAAAGCATATGCTGGGGTGGGTGCCGAGGACGTACCTGCGCACGCATTGTCAAAATCTTCGACAGTCCCATGTGATGGTCGCCGTGCATATGACTCAGGTAGATGCACTTTATATTACGCAATACCTCCCAAACACCTGTGGACCTCGCGGGATCGTCGCCGAAAGATCGAACAAGTTGGCCCCAGGTACCCTCGCCACAATCGAGAAGGATGCTGCCGTGGCCCGGGATCTGAATCAACGTTCCGGACACTAGGAGATGTATTGATGAATATGCAGCATTTTTCACTCGTCACAAAGAATAGGAATACCATTTCGCAATAAGGTGGGTATAGCACTGCCAGTGCCGAGAGGAGTTACCACGACGTCGTCTCCTGGTTGGCTCGCCGGGCTACGTCGGCCTATCCGCTCAGCAACGCGCGCCTTCACGGCGGCGAACTTCTCGTTGACTGAAGCCGATAGTTCGGGCAAAGATTTGGACTCAGCAAGCGTCTTGAACGCATCCTCCTTTGCTAAGGAATCGTACCCAGGTGCATTGAGGGGTCGGAGGCCGAGTAGAAGATCTCTTCGAGACAAGATTGTCCTTGTGGGAAGACCGGTGATGGCTGCATATCATGAACCTTAGGCTACAGGGAACATATATGCGGGTAGAAACGTACAAGCAAGATCTCGCTGAGGAGCTAGTTCATATTTTGGGATGGGGAACATATCAGCGTCCAGTTGATTGAGCTTCGCTTGCACGAGTGCCGAACGAGTGAAGGAGATTTGATTTGGCGTGTGCTCTTTTGAAGATACTACGTGCTGCAAACAGAGCATCTCAGTAACAGCACCCTCCCCGTTGCTAGCTCAAAACTTACGTAAGTCTCATCAGAGAACCCGTTCATGAACGACTTATACCGTTCATCTTCGAGTACTTTGGCGCTACACATATGATACACGGCGTACACGGGATGCTGCCTCCGGGCCGTCTCTTCCTTTGAGCGATATTGCGAGAAGAAAGGTGAGTCCGCAAAGGATGCCATGAGGGAGGGTATGTATGCCGACGTTGGCACGTCCAGTATGAGAATCGACTATTGAGCACCGTTAGCGTTGACGCACAGCACAAGTGCTGCTCACAAACGACCTACCTGAGGGCTCTCGCTTGGGCCAACACAATCCTCCGGTCTGACGGTACGCTGCAGCTTGCCACCTTGACCGTCGTCTACCTCGAATGTGATCGTCTCGCCCTTGATCAGTCGCCCTCGGATGGGACCACGAGGAATGCCAAGCTCCTCCGCCTTCTTCGCATCGAACTTGCCACGAACAGTCGGCCCAACCAGGAGGTACCCGAGCGTCGGCAGCCCTTCGGGTCCCATCTCCAGACGGGGGAGCCGGGCGTGCTTCTTGTCATTTGCAACTGGCGATCGTGCTCGAGATGACATCGGAGCGCTCGCCGTCTGAACGATAGTCTGTCTCGCCTCGCGCTTCTCCTTCTTAGAGAGGCCGATATCCTGCTCTGGGGGAGCCTCCAGCGGAAACATCTCCTGCAGCATGAGCTTTCGCCATTCTTGAGCGTCTGAACCAGTGAGCGAGGACGGAGAGAAATCGCTCCTCTTCGCACGCTCGTAGATGACTGCGGGCACTGGAGACGTAGACTCGACGACGCTGTCACCAACTGGCGGCGGAGAAGTGCGTTTTGAGGAAGTTGGGGGAGAGAGGGAACGTTTTCTCTTCAATGGCCGTTCTGAAGGGTCCCCAGCAGGTACGGTCTCAACAGACGGGTATAAAGGGATGGAGTGGACCGTGATGTTTTCGTCCTGAAAAATTGGCGGCGGCGAGTTGAGGCTTTCGTGCGCGGGAGTGGTTGGAGCTTCCACCGCCTTGACAGTCATCATTGAGCTGTCACCTTTCCTTGAACTTTTGGAAACCCCATGGAAAGGCATGTACACGCACCGATATGTATACCCGCGCATGGTAGCGAGATAATGCATCAAGCCATACGGTCCCACGATGTCCATAGCGGGCACTGACGCGTCCGCACAAAGCATCAAGAGGCCTGTTCAGATAGTGAATTAGCTCTATAGCTACAGTACATGGCGAGTCTATGCAGTAGCTCTGCGGATATGCAAACGCAAACAGCCCTTTACATTGGTGCGCACACGAGCAAGACATCACACATACCAGCAATGCCACCACACCTCTGTGTCCCTGCACCCGTCAAGAATAACCCCTTCAACCTTCTAAAGGAATGGTGGCTCTGCAACCATGACCGACCCAAGCCCTCGCTGGCATTGAAGATGTACTTGGCCGTTCCAAAGTTGACGAGGAGAGAGGGCTCCGTGTCAGACGACGCGGAGGTCAGAACAGAGACATTCCAGGTCGCCATGCTCGGGTCCCTCAATGGGACAGATTGGGAAGCAAAACTGCGAAGAGCAGGCGCAAGTCGAAGAGTGCTTGAGTTGACAGCGAGATTGAAGGAGTGTGTCGCCCTACGACATATCCAAGCCAGATTGCTAGGGAAACCCAAGATATTGTGAGACAGCCTGCAATTTGCCTAAGGTCCAAGGTTCGGAATTGTGAAGGTGAATGAACGTATGTCAGAAGTCCTATGGAGAAGGAGCTTCTGCGGGGGTGAAAATATGAGGACAGTACTTGGCCAGCCAACAGAACCTTCTATGTAGCGCTAGAGGTATACTAAACGCCCGGAAACAGCCGACCAGACCAAGGCGGGCCGTGTAAGCACAATACCAACGACCTTCATCTTCTATTCTTCTATGTAAACCTTCAATTCTATGCCAAGTGAATTTCACCGGGGTGTTTTGAGTGCAGTTTTTCTGATGGGTCCTGCATCTCGTTGTCCGTCAAGATGCACCCAAAGCAATAGTGATCGAACTTGAGGTGTCCCAATTCGGCAGGCGATTGAGGATACTGCCAATGTTCATTGACATTTCCCCTTTAACTCAGAAGTTCTACTGTTCCGTACCTCTGCTGCTCTCGGGGGTAGAAGAATCTAGGATGCTCCATGTCTGCAACAGCACTAAGGGCCACTTTGCGCACAAATACCGCCAAATATTGTCATTCTACACAACAACAGGAACAAAGAGCTTCCCCACCACATCGACTCTACCCTGACCAAGAACGGTGAAGTCCGGAGCATGTAAGCAGATACCTCTCTAGCCATGAACCATGTGGTGCTCAGCCGTTTGGACCGCCATCACGGGACACCACAAAACGCGGGCAGTGCAGTTAACCCCAAACCACCCTAGGACTCGTAGGTGGTGATGGTCTGCGTGAAGGTGACGTTCAGGGCGGTCTGTGAAAGAGCATTCAGTCGATGTCAGGGCAAGTATCACGTAGGATAAAGAACACTGACCACCTGAGCCAGGGCGGGACCCTCCTCAGTGGGGATGAGTGCGATCACACCGAAAGCGAAGGTCTGAAGGGAACGCAGATTTCGTCAGCTTTACTCCATTGACTGAATTGCTAGCTCTACGCACGTCTACGACAGCCTCGAGGGCCTCCAAAGCGACCGCGATGGGAGCCGTCAAGAAGAATTGAGCAGCCAGGGACTATAGGATCATTGTCACGGTCAGTGTCATGTAATACTTCCAGTGATGATATACGTACATGCTTGCCGATGATGATCTCGAGAAGCTGCCTGAATGTCAAGGAGGGTATGTGTCAGAAGAAGGATCTCTGGAAGGTAAATATGTCCCTTACTGGTGGACCTCGACGAACGTCGTCAACACGTCGACGACCTCGATGGCTACGTCGTCCGGGTACGCAGGAGTGGAGGACTGCGAGATTATGAATGAACCCCACGTATAAGCGTCAAGGTGCATAGGACTACCGACCGAGAACTCCGCATTGAAGCTGGTAACAGCGGTGGTGATGTTACCAAGACCGGTTACAATTTCCTGAAACCAGGTGTCAGAAAGTGGCGGAGCCCCAGAATGCATAGTAAGACTGACGAAGCCGTCGATGGCAAAGTTCACGACGCTCAGGTCGTTGACGGTAGTCGCCAAGCTGGAGGACACGCTGGTGAACGTCTGGATCGCGGAGATGACGACGTCGGAGCTTTGCGCCATGGCACCAGCCGCACCCAAGACGACTAGGGGGACGATGTTGACGAGGGTGCTGAAGAACTTCATTGCGAGATAAAGCTGAGTGCTGTCGAGAGGAATAGAGAGGCTGTGTGAAGCTGCTGTGTGCGTCGAGAGATGTGAGGAGCTGAAGAGCAAAGGGCCAAGGCATGTCGATTCTTATACGAACATGGATGAAAGTGGGCGCTCGCCACAGACATCCATGATGACTCTCTTGCTGCCGTCCGGCGTTGTAAACTACCTGTGCGTCCACAGTGTCAGCAGTTCAGAAGCAGTGAGGTAACAGGCGACGCACCTACTTGCCGCCTGTTAGGTGGTGCCGTAGCTCCGAAATGCATGGGCTTCATCATGCAGTATGGCCAGTTAAAAGGCGTCTGTGTGCGGTACAACACAAAGGTTTCAGCCGTAAGGGAGCTCTGCTGTGAAACGGTAAGGTGCCCGGTGTAGCATTGGGAGTCACTGAGAGGGCGTGCCCGCCTTGGTCTCAAGGCTACCAGCGTCTTTCCCCGCATTTCGGCGACTGCGAAGATGCATGGCATTGGAATGCGCATTCGCAATACGAGTTTCTAGCCGAATAGAATAAGAGCCTATGGCGTGCTGTATGACTAGTCCATGCTCTCGTACGTAGCGGCCACGCTCCGGGAACTGATCAGCCATTTCAGCGTTCCTAATGCAGCCAATGAGGGAACATCCGGTGTTAGTAACATCAGAAGGCCCACCTAGACCACAACCGCTGGGCTCATTCCCTAATGCCTAATTTCTACGCAATAGCATGGAAGTATTTTCCCAAGGCCAAAGACCGCATGTGCATCTCAGTCTTCCCCTTGCTGACAAAACCGATAAAGGAGACAGAGACGCCCACCGGCGTTAGGGTGCGCATCCTTGTAGCGTGCCCTTCGAGTTCATGACGTTAGTTGACGGATGCAGGCTGGAAACGAGGGAAGTGTGCCATCCACAACGACCATGCCCGGAGCGTCATACGATCGTCTGAGCTGCCGAACGCCCTAAATACGAGTTGTACGGGCATGCCGGTGACTGTGGACATGGGAGTCTCGTCATGGGCTTTCGTGACGTACAGACAGCTGCTCTGCACATCCTCGCGGACCAGGATTAGGAGGCGAGTATCCTCACGTGGCCCATTCCATACAACCAACGATGAGTCAGGAGACAGCAGCGTTCGTAGATATGTACGGTAAACCATACCTCGTGGCCAATACGAGCAGCTTCAGTAGATTGAATGCAAGCGTTACTAGTGCCGCGACCAAAGTGGCATTGAAGTTGCATGCAAAGCGCCGACGGACAGTGCGTCTAGGGTGCCAGGCGCCGGCCCGAATCACAGGCGCCCGCCGCCCCCAACACCAACGCCCATCGGGCATAGCGCAGTCACGGTCTACATACCAATAATATTGTGCCAGCGACTCTGTGAGTTAGGCCCACATCTAGCGTACCAGATATGTGGCCCTCTTTGTCTCTTCGGGAAGAAGCGGAGCGCTCGAAAGCGTCTCATACTCTCTAATTTTGCCCATCGCAACCTCTCGAGTCGCAACGCTGGTGGGATCGGGCCGTCATGGTTAAACCCCCCCTTTCAGGTGATGCCTTGCGTGCCTTTTCCGGAGTCGTCTGTGCCTCCTCTCCACATGGGTGGCCAGGACTTGCAAGTTTCGCAGCGCCCGGGGACCCCTCCGGCCCTCTTCCCGCCGTGAACCGCTGTTCTGTGAGCCACTTTGCGCTCTCCTTGCCTGCAGACCCTCTCTTCTCCTTCCTGCGCTCTGCCTGCCTCCCGCTGTCCTGCTTACCCCATGGACGCTGTCGCGCCGAAAGCACATCAGCATTTGATGCGCTCCTCATGATCGCACTTACGCGCTTACCATCAGCGCCTCTGACCTGTTGATATCGCCTCGTCCGTCGTGACCGCCGCCTCCCGCTCCCGCCTCCCCGCCTCCCGCCATAGACCTGCTCGCGCTAAGGCTTGGAATATGCTTGCACACTACATACTTGTCGCTCTGGTTTCTCCCTCTTTCCGGCCGCCTTGGGCAGCGCCCTCGACCTCACCGCCCGCGCCTGTAGCTCGGATTTCAACTCTTGATGGGCGCATGATAGCCGTGCCTGCGCGCACTGCTCGGCTACTCTCTGTTTGCATGCAGTAGGTAGGTTTCAAACCGTCGAGGCCAGATTGCCCTTCAAGTCAAAACCGCCGTTGTAGGTTACTCCTTTTCAAGACCTCAGGCCTCAGCTGTGACCTGCCCATTGCACGACGTCTGCTGTCGCACCGCGCCAGCCATGATCTCGTCCTCATGCGTTTGCTTCTGCTCCTGCTCCATCTTATGCGGGTTTCTTTGCCCCTCATCCTGACACTCGTCTTGCTCGTTTGTCGTGTTCGACATCACTGCTTCTGCTAAATGCTCGTGTTGCCCGAAAACCAACAATAAAGTCATGTGAGAAAGAGAGAAAGAGGACGAGCATGGATGTCCTTCTCCTTCGCCGTCTCCTTTAAACTGTAAGTAATCGGACTCGTGAGTGACTTTCCCGGGCTGCTCCTCGCTCGGGGGCCTGGTCCAGGAGAACGGTGTTCGTGTCATGTCATCCCACCCTCGGAGCGCGGGTTCGGCGAGGTGTGCTGATACACATAGATTGTGCGGGGGTTTTCTCTGTTCTTGACCCTCCCAGTGGTCGCTTGGCCAGGGGCATCCACCCAGAACAAGTTCGGCTGGACGAACTTGTTGAGCATCCTCTTCCTTGATCAGCTTGTCGGCACAAGCCCTCAAGTAGTCAAGCTGAATGTCACGGTGTGGCCGCTGTGCAAGCGTGTTGAGGTACTTTTTCGTGTACGTTCTAATGAACGATGTCGCTGCCCAGATCGTTGGCTTCTTTCAGCGGTTTCTGAGCATCTTCAAGGAGCTCCGGGTGAAGAGCCTGTGACTGACCGGCGAGTGTCACCTGGGCATGTACGTCCTGTGTAAGCGATCAACTTTTGCCGATCCTGAGTTGGACATATCTGACATGTGTGGTTAGGACTTCGCCAACTCCATCTATGAGCGCCATAGGGACTCGAATCTACGCTCAGCGGCTTCTGAGTGTCTGACCGTATGTGCCCTCAGCTTCGTCGCAGGTTTTTCTAATCGAACTGACTTCGTGGTGCAGCCGTCCTTGGTTGGAATGTTGTCCAGGAGTAAATCGATGCAGTGGATTTCGTACACAAGTATGAATGTATCTATCAATTCAAGTACATCACCTATCCATCCTTACACGCGAGTCCCCTCATTAGCCCAGAGAGTTTACGATTCCACGCAACTGATTACGTAGCCACGCATGCACGCAGTCGCACCTTCGCTTTTGCAGTTACAACACGAGCATGCAGTCATGTAATCGCGGAGTCGGGTAAGCGACGCTAAGTATCCTATTCTTAGTTCTGAGTGGCCCCTACAACGAAAGTCCTTTCCTTGCACAATGTAGATCGACTATAACCCAAATGTTCTCTACTTTTCATCGAATTATCGATGCGCGCAAAACGAGTATACTCAAGGGGTTTGCAGGATGTATAGACTTGAGCCTTGCCCTTCGCCGAACTCCTGCCGGAGGGCGCTCCAGTTACAACTTACAATCGCCGCGCAGTTACACGACTGCGTGGCTGCATACACACAGAGATTGGCGAGCTTCGCCATCAACCGACTGCGTGAATACGTGGTTACGCAGCCTGCTACGTAGCCAGTTGCGTGGAATCGTAAACGTTCTCCATTAGCCAGACCTTACCCGCGCAACTCGACTGCATCTAAATTCCCGCCAGCTCGGCTATTCTGTACATTTGAAGCAGAGCTTGCCGCGACCTCATGGTATGGCTACGTGTATGCCCGTCTACTATATATATGCTGTCTTGTTCATACCAGTAGCATCCTCTGATTTCATTTGCCTCCCACTATCTCGTCCACGGGGAAAGTAGATGGAATGCAGGAGATCTAGAATGCTACTGATATATAGAGGGTCACAGATATTGCAGGCGGACATCCCCAACAGCCATGCGATGTGAGCATCGCGGGTAATCGCTAGTCAGTCCAGCCAGTCGGTCCTTTGTATATAGTCCCATCCAGGGAGACCAAGGCGCACTGCGCAAGCATGCAGTGTCCGAGAAAGCAAAGGTTGCACCCGAAAGGCCCGGTGCGGCAGGCGGTCGAGGATATTGCAAATGATCGTTGAGACCCATACAACTCACCAGTATCACCGTTGCGTACGGGTGTTGCTCTCTGGGGTAGGTGAACCGATGGATCTCTACGTCTGCAGAAACACTCGGTGCCGCTCTGCAGTCAAATACTGGCATTCACATTCAACACGGCAACAAAACCAACACAAACAAAGAGCTGCGGCGACATCGACTTCACCCAGACCAGAAACGATACAACGTTGGGAGCATGTATGTCCCATAACCAACAGGAGAAATCACACACGTCTATAACCATGAACCATGTGGTGCTCAGCCGTTCGGATCACCATCACGGACAACCACAGACCGCGGGCGATGCAGTCGACTCCAAAATCACCTCAGGAGTCGTAGGTTGTGATGGTCTGCGTGAAGGTGACGTTCAGCGCGCTCTATGAGAGTAGTCAGTAGACGTAACAGCAGGTATCACGTTAAACAAGAAACACTGACCACTTGAGCCAGGGCGGGACCCTCCTGAGTGGGGATGAGGTCGATCACAGCGAAAGCGAAGGTCTGGAGGGAGCGCAGAGCTCGTCAGCTTCACTCCACTGATTAAATTGAATCCAAAGCTCGACGCACGTCTACGACACCCTCGAGGGCCCTCAAAGCGGCCGCAATGGGAGCCGTCAAGAAGAACTGAGCAGCGAGGGACTATGGGGTCATTGTCACGGTCAGTGCTAGGAAATACTGCCGGTGATAATATACGTACATGCTTGCCGATGATGAGCTCGAGAAGCTGCCTAGATGGCAAGCAGCGTCTGTGTCAGAACAATGATTTCTGTAAGATAAACGTGCCCCTTACTGGTGGACCTCGACGAAAGTCGTCAACACATCGACGACCTCGATGGCCACGTTGTCCGGGTACGGGGGAGTGGAGGACTGAGAGAACATGAATGAGCCTCGCGTACACGCGTGAAGGTGCAGAAGACCACCGACCGAGAACTCCGCGTTGAAGGTGGAGACAGCAGTAGTGATGTTACCGAGACCGGTCACAATTTCCTGGAATCAATTGTCAGAACGTGGTGGAGCCCCCCAACAATATGATACTGACGACGCCGTCGGTGGCGAAGTTCACAATGCTCAGGTCGTTGACGGTACCGGCCAAGCTGGAGGACGCGCTGGTGAACGTCTGGATCGCGGAGATGACGGCGTCAGAGCTTTGCGCCATGGCACCAGCCGCGCCCAAGAGGACAACGGGGACAAGGTTGACGAGGGTGCTGAAGAACTTCATTGTGAGATAAAGCTGTAGAGAGGCTCAGAAAGGCTTTGTGGAGCTGCTGTGTGTGTTAAGAGATGTGAGGGGCTGAAGAGCGATGGGCCAATGTATGTCGGTTTTTATACTGGAACCCAGACGAAAGTGGGCGCCAGTCATGGTCCTCCATGAAGACTTCCTTGCTGCCGTCCGGCGTTTCAAACCGCCTGTGCGTCAACAGTGTCAGTGGTTGAGAAGCAGTGAGGTAATTGGCGACGCACCTACTCGGGGACGTCCGCCCAGCAAGAGAAACGATGGAATGGCTGATCAGTTCAAGGAACTTGGCCGCTACGTAACAGAGCATGGACCGCCCGTACAGCACGCCATGATTTCTGTTCTACTCGGTTGCATTGTCGTGTGCACCAATGTGCATTCCCATTGCCATGCATCTTACAGTCGCGGCTATGCGGGGAAGCCTACGCTGCTAGGCCAAAGCGAGCGCGACGCCTGGGTGACTTCCAATGCCACGCCGGACACCTTCCCGTTGTGCTACAAACGTTCTCATATGACTGACCCGCATGTTTTGGACCATATACAGAAGACGCCCATTCACTGGCAACACCTTACGATGAAGGCCATACTCTTCGGAGTTACGACACTACCTTAAATGCGCCGATAGGCCAGTAAGAATCATCGAAGAGGGCACCGCCAGTAGAAAGCTCACCTGATCCAAGGCCGCCGGGTCCATTCCTTGTTGCCTAACGCATACGCAACATTGAGAAAGTACTTTCGCCAGGCCGAAGACCGAATGTGCCTCCCGCGCCTAGCTGAGTAAACCGATTAAGGAGACGGAGACGCCCACCGGTGTTAGAGTGCAAATCCTTGTGGCGTGCCCTACATGACTATTATGTCACTTGACGGATGCAGGCTGGTAACGAGGGAACTATGCCATCTATGACGACCATGCCCGGAGCGCTATGCAATCGTCTGGGCGGCGGAGCGGAGTCGTACGGGCATGTCGGTGACTGAAGTCATGGAAGTCCCGCTATGAGCTTTCGTGACGTCCGGCGAAATGCAAACAGCTGCCCTGCACATCCTCACGGGCCAGTCTCAGGGGACAAGTTTCCTCACGTTGCTCATTCTATGATACGGACAACGATGGGTCAAGTGATTGCCATTCATAGATGTGTACAAAAACCATACCTCGTGACCGCTACCTCTCCAGTTCGACCACCGTCCTCGAGGCTCGAGGCGTGCGGGTACTGTTCTATCGGGACTCCAACGTTCAAATGTGGTAGTACGTACGGGTTAAAACGGGATGAATTAGGGGGTAATAGGTGGAGTGCAGGAGAATGCTACTGATAGAGGGTAATAGAGAAGACATCCACCGTAGGCGGACGTCTCCTGATGGGTCAACGACAGTCATGCTATGCGAGCGTCGCCGGTATCGACCAATCAGTCAAGTCAGTCAGTCCTTCGTAAACCGTCCCATCCGACGCAAGCACGGCGCACTACGCAAGCACGCAGCGTCCTAGGTAGCGAAGATGCAAACGTAAATATAGACATTGTAGCATACCGCGATAGCGGGACAAATGTGAAGGCGTGGTAAGGATTGCGTCCGTGCCGCCCGAAAGTAATCCACCGTCATCATCCAGACAGCTCACAAACACCTTCAATGGAGGTACGCGAGCACCGCGAGCATGACGCCCGCGATGGAGCCGAAGCTGACCGCGTTCGACATCGCCCCGTTACTAGTGCCGGTGGTCGATGCTGAAGCGCCCGTCGCACTAGCCGTACCCGACAAACGGGTGCCCGCGGGCGCACCAGAACCAGTAGCGCTAGTCTTCGAGCCTGAAGAGCCCGTGCTAATGCCGCTGACAGCAGCACTCGAGGAGCCGGAAGAAGTACCCGCGACCGCGGCGATGGGCGCAACACTAGACCACGTCGCGGCGGAGTTGGTTGAGGCATCGCCCTGCTTGTACGGGACGAAGGAGACGACACCGGTGCTGTCGAGCTGGACAAGAGCTGTGATGGAAGAAGCGTAGCGCGCATTCGTGTCCTTGGACGGGGGGGCGGCGAGCGTGGTGGTTGTGTTGCTCTCGACATTGATCACATATACGTTCGAGAAGTCGTCGGGGATGAACGCGAACTCCTGCTGAACGCCTTCTGATTGGAAGAACGACGTGGTCTGACCGTGGGTAGCAGGGAATTGAGGGCCGGAATATGCCTGAGCCTGGGGCTGGAAGAACGAGACTGTATGACAGCTGTAAGCCAACCATCGAGAAACGCATGGATTGCGAGTGCTTACAGTGGATAACGAAGATCTCCGCCGAGCCAGCCGGTGTCCCTGGAGTCCCGATGAAGTGAACATGATTCTGCGCGAGAGCCATCGTAGGTTGATAGTCGCTTCCGTAGGGTGACGTCTCAGCATTGGTCCAAGGAAGTGCGGAAGATGTGGCGGCTTTCAGCGAGGACATGTCGAGGAACCACAGGTCGCCCTTGGAGAGCGCGTAGAAGACGTTCGTATCGTGGTCGAGGATAGCAGCGAAGTTGGTGAGGTCGAAGTTGTTCGTGTTCGTCTTCTGGGTAGTCCATGACTTCGCAGCAGCGTCATAGACGTGTACGTCGGAAGGGTTGGACTTGTCGCCGTTCAGGACGTAGATGGCGTTGAAGAATTGCGCGAGGTAGCATGTGGTACCAGTACCGTCGAAAGGACTACGTTGGAGTCAGCTTTCACTGTGCGCTGTATATGAATGAACTGGACATACGGCCTTCCTGAAGCGGTGATATCGGTAGCGCTACCTGCAAAGGTGAGACTATTCAGTATACGGTGATACGAACGCCCAACCAAGACCATGCGAGTGCAGCGGAGCGATTGCGAGGAATTCTTAATCCTTCCATCACCAGCATACATCATCGCCAAGCATGGACCAAGACACAATTGTACAGACGTGGGCAGTACAAGTCATACGAGGAGCCGTCACCTATGGCTGTCTGCCTTGAGTGATATGGTACCGCCATTGATGTTCGAGAAGACCTAGTGGATCCCTGGTAGCACCGTTGGTGATCTGGCTGCTTTTGGGCCTTACAGCACAAGGGTTTCATAGGAACTACACTCAAGGGTAGTCCTGTCATCAAAGCATGACGGAAGGATGCTCGGGCAGTACAACTGGAGCCCCACGCCCCGCAAGCCGCGAATAGGCAGACGAACGGTCAATATAAGACGCAGGACTCACCACTTCCCCAAGAAGACTGTTGGCCTGCGTTCCAATCTTTGCCATTGAGGCCGAAAGCTAGGAGATTGAATTCGGCATCGAAGGCCACGCAAGGGTCGGCGTAGACGACATGAGGGACAGCGAGGAGCAAAAGAGAGACGAGGGTGGGTACGCTGAACATGACGGTCGAGGACAAGCTGGTCGAGAGTGAAGTAGTGGGTGGGAAGGAGAGAGACTGAGGACGTTTTGAGAGACAGCGGGCAACGGGGGACTTCTTGTGTCACAAGCATGATGCGCTGCATGTGATGGCTGCGCTATTCTTGGCACATCCCCGGCAAATGTTTTGCAATTACCTTCTTCCTCGTCGACTATCTCGTTCAGGAAACGCGGAACATGATCTGCAGGCTCTGCGTATGCTTGGAAAGAGACGTCGTCTTGATCCTCTATATCATCATCGTTCTATCCGCTTTCAGGGGCACCGACTTGACTTAGTCCAGATCAGGCGAACGCAATCCAAGCGCATATCACTCGACGCGTTGTCCATTGGAGTCCCGCTCGGCCGTCTAAGAAAAGTCGCAGAGCGCAATCGCGTACTTCAGGCGACATCGTACCAACAACATGGCTTAAAGGTCATACTGGGCAGGTCTTCAAGGCGTATGGACTTCCTAGGAGTATGCAACGCAGGCTATTCAAGGTTAGTACAACCTCGTCAAGACGTCAGTGAGGAAGCTTACACCAAGCGACGCGACAAATCTGCTCAGGTACTAGGTCTTATACCTTCTGGGTCAGCGCTTATGCCTGCGTGGAGAAGGCAGGGTGGACTATCCGTGAGTAGTTGTGAACCCTCTTCGCTACATCTCGTTTGGTTGTTCCACCTGGTAATTGTAGCAACACTGTTCACTTTTTCCTCCAGGTTTCCCTAAGCTTCGTCGGAAGTCACACCTATTGCTTCAGCTGCAAGCAGGAAAATTGTTCACGCGAGGAATTCTGTTCGAGCCGCCGATCTCGATCTCATGTTGTCGGACTTGAGGAACCTCTCATGTCAGCCTCTGTGGGCAGCCATGCCACATCCCCACCGTTCTTCGCCGTTGTCAATAATAGTTACTCGTCTTACGCTGCGCTTCTTTGGTCTCGCAGAAGTCCTTGCTTTCGCCACGATGGATCCAAACTTAGAAGTCGCCCCTTTCAGCTACCCCTCCAATTTCCGCTCCAAGCTATCCAACCTTTGGTGGAACCGTAGGACTGTCACGCCCTCCCAGTTGACCATAAGCTATTCCCGGCAACACTGCAAATCATGCTGTCTCGCACTCTCCCGCAGGTCATCTACCGACTATGTACACACGGACCATACCGTCATATACAACCCTTCGCTGCCTCAAGCCGACTGTGGCCAGCGGACTTTCCCTCTACCTACCCAGACATGTCTCGACGTCAATATATCATCCCCCATTCATCCCCCAAATTCTCTTATCCGCCTTTCGTTCGCCCAGGTGCGGAAGGATATTCGGTGGAGACCGGAGGGCTTCGAAATGACCGCGGAAGATAAGGATCTCACCCCGTTCGCTCTTCGCTCCCATACGCTCGTCCCACTTTCTCTGGCCTACTTCCGAGACGACATCCGACGACGCAAGGAGGCCTTCGAAACAAGTCTCCCCCTAGAACCGCAAATTGAGGACGAGGAGAGACCCCCTTCGCCTTCTGTGGGTTCGAACGTTTCCGAACGGACCAAGCTCGGGACCGTACATGTCTCCATGGCGTTTCCGAACACCTACTCCCGGAACTCGAGTCCTGGTCCAACCTACTCGTGTCCCGTCCGCGGAAGACCCCCTTTCGCCAACGCGATGGACGACGGTCCCTCTATCATTGATGACACTTTGATTGCTGTGTATGAGGATTACGGCGCTCTCTCTCTGTATGAGATGGGATATGGCATTGCCGAAGAGTCGGCACGCGAGTCGACCTACAAACCTCTGGAAATCTTCCTGGATTTGGAGGACGCTTCCTTCGGATGATGATGATGCCGAGGGCTCTATCCGGCATGTACTCTACCGCAGAACACTGTCAACAGTTGCTTTCCATGTCTAAGAATATCTTTGGCGTCTGTCGATGTGTTGACCCCTATGTCTGTCTACCTGGAGCAATGCAAGTCATGCTGTCTCAGATCGTCCCCGGGTGTGGGTGTGCTCTGGGGACCCTACGTGGAGCGTTCTGCCCTGACTGTTTGACGGTCCGTCAGGTCGAATGCCGCTAATTTCGTCGCAAACTTGCCCCGATCGTGTATGTCATCTGCACGTTCATGAACCAACCTCTACTTAACCCCTCTTTTCCAGCTCGGCTCATCACCGGGCCCTGGCTGCGCTCTTCTAGTCAGCATTGCTGTGCTGCCGAATTACCTTACAATGACCTAGCCCCGTCGCAAATCGGACTGAGGGGCAGATAGACCCACAGTACTAGACCCGATCGGTTCTCCGAGTTCCCGCTGGTTCCGCGGCCACCGGCAATGCAGCCGAGCGATGTACCTCCTCCCGCGCCCATGCAAGGCAGCGCATCAGGCGCACCCGAGGCCGCTGCACTTCTGCGTTCACCTTCACCCGCGCGGCTGTATTGTGGAGGTGCGCGCGGGAGCACTTGCGACTTCCTCATTCTTAGGCTCAAAGAATCTTCACGAGCATATGGGCCTTTTTTGCCGCAGCACCCTCACTACCCCACTCTTCGCATTCGCCTGACTTCAATCTGCAATTATCCAACCCTCACTATATCCCTCCCCCCGCCTTCGTGACGACGACGATCACTTCACCTCAACAGCACCGCGTCCGCCCCCATGCCTCACAGCTGCCACATCCCGAACCTGGTCGGTTACAGCATAGATGGTGGCCGTCTGAGGTTCACGGGTATCCTCGGTTCAGGGTCGAACGGTGTCATTTTCCTTGCCGAGGACATCACGACTCCGGCACCGCACGTCGAGTACGCGGTCAAGTGTGTCATCCGCGCGGAGAAGGGGACTCGACGGTATGGTCTCCAAAAACAGGAGGTCGTGTATCACCAGCGGCTGTCCGCACACCCAAGCATTGTCACGCTGCACAACGTCATCGAAGAGAAGCATTACACCTTCCTCATCATGGATTATTGCCGCGGCGGCGACTTCTTCTCCTATCTTTCGCGACGCTCAACGTATCGCGGCGACGACGAGTGTGTGCGGCACATGTTCCTCCAGGTACTCGACGCGCTGGAAGCCTGCCATCAGGTGGGCGTGTACCACCGAGACATAAAGCCGGAGAACTTCCTTCTCAACGAGGACTGCACCCGCTTGTATCTCGCCGACTTCGGGCTGGCCACAGAGAATCTGCTCTCCGCAACATACGGAGCCGGAAGTTCCCTCTATATGAGCCCAGGTACGAATCCTTGCATCCTGTACACGCCGCAACGGGCTTCTGACCTACATCTCGGACAGAGTGCATAGGATCCGAGTCAATCCGTCGCGCGTATAACACGCGCTCCAACGACATCTGGGCTCTTGGCGTCATCCTCACTTCCATGATCTCGGGGCATAACCCCTGGAGCAACGCTTGCGCATCGGACGCGTGCTACCGCGTGTACCTCAGGAACAACAACTTCCTCCGCGAGATGCTTCCCATTTCCGAATCCGCGAACACACTTTTGCAGCGTATCTTCCGCCGCGAGTCCGCCCGCATGATCACCATCGCGCAGATTCGCACTGCGGTGGAGAACATGGACACGTTCTTCATGCATCCAGAGGAGATCGCGCGCGGAAACGACTACCTCAGGTCTGCGGCAAAGTCGTACTACTGCGGCTCTGAGCACGAAGCATACTTCCTTGGCCATTCATCAGTAGTGCATGATGGCGCGGGGCTGAGCGGCGAGGACGAGGCGAGCGAAGGCACAGATGAGGACACCGTGGAGTCGTTTTCATCAACGCTCGAGTCGGTTGGTCCAGTCACTCCAATATTGTGCGCTCAGCAGGTGGACATTTCGGTCGCCGATATCGAGCACGCATCGTACCTCTCCCGGCCGCTGTACCCTCCGCGTGCTGCAATCTCTGCGCCAGCCCCGAAGAAGCCGCGACAATTGTCGGGTTCTGCAGGGTTTTTGCGGCGGTTCATGGGCCGTTTTAACGCAGAGTAGTCTCTCGTGCTCGTCTTCACGTCTCGGTTTGTCGACCCCTTCCATAGTGTATTATAGTTCCTTTCATTTTTGATAGGATGAAGATGTGTATATGTTGTCTGCATCATCAATGGTAGTATTTGCACCACTCGTCTGGCTCGCGTGTCACGGCAACTTGGCTAGCCCCGGTCGGAACATCGCACAATGTCATGGACCTCCTTTGTTGTGAAATCAATGCAAACGGTGAATCTGCGGAGCGGCTACTATAAGGCTGAGCCATCAAGGGACTTGCCGTCATTACACTTCGTTTATCAGGCTATGATGGACTGAAAGTAAGTAACAATAGCATCAATCCTAGAGCACTCTCGGGGTACATCGCAAATAATGGTTGCTAAACTCGGTGCTTCTTACACACGTAGGTGACACGCTACGCCGGCTGATCTGCGAAAGCCTCATCGCTGGTCTGATCTACAGTCTCAAGGGGGGAACAAAAGCGTCGCTTCAGATATCCGCCTGCCTCCTCTGTAGATGACCTAATTGTTGCTTGAAGATTTACTTCAGGGTCGAACCTGGTCTTCGTCAGAACCGGATACAATAAGGCTTGCCCGATGCGGATGCACGAAGGAGATGCCGACGTCCTTGCGAACCAGCCTACAGCACCTGCGCGAGTGGCTCACTTATTGGCGCCGGTGCGCAGGTTCCATTGTCGCTGTGTGCCGATATGGCAGACCCGCACGCACATCTTTAGTGTATCTGACTATAACCGACGCCTGTAGGCGACTCCGTGATCCTTCAAGCAACGAGCGAATATACAGATCCGACGCTCACCATGCCCTCCACGGTCATACCTGTTCCCTTCGTAGCCAACATCCATCTTGCTGCTCCGAGAGTCCCGACGTCGCACAAACTGGCTACACATCCGAGTCTCATTTTGCATAAAGCCTGAGCGACTTGGCCTTCAAATTTCGACGAAGTTTTCAATCCCCCACCCACTTGCAGGCAGGCACCGTATCACAACATCACACCATCCCCACTTCAAGAAACATCTTGCACAACCATGTACACCTCTCCTCACAGCACAGCGCCAGACTTCACTGGTATGACTATCGACAACGGTCGCTTGCGCCTCGTCCAACTGCTTGGCGAGGGCGCGTTCGGCCTTGTCTATCGCGCCGTCGACGAGACCTCCGCCGCGTCTTCGTGCAATCCCGAGCCCAAGCAGTACGCCGTCAAGATCATGAAGAAGGTGGACGTGGACACCCGCCGCGCATATTTTCAGAGGCGCGAAGTCTCTACGCACATGAGCATCCACGATCACCCAAACATCGTCTCCGTCCACGGTGTCTTCGAGTGCCCCTACTACGTCTACCTCGTGCTCGAATTATGCCCGGGAGGCGATCTTATGAACGCTCTCCTTGACCGTCTTCTCTACACCCGCAAGGATGCGCTTCTGAAAAGCGTATTCCTGCAGATCATTCAGGCCGTCGAATACTGCCACGATCACGGCGTGTACCATCGTGACTTGAAGCCGGATAACATTCTGGTGAACGAGGACGGCTCGGAAATCAAGTTAGCGGACTTCGGTCTTGCTACAACCTCCAAGGTCAGCGGTACCTTCGGCTGCGGAAGCGGTCACTACATGGCACCTGGTAAGTTCACTCTCTGCAACGCCTACGATCCATGCTCACCCGTTCCTGGTAGAGTGTATTGGGTTGGAGTTCGACTATACCCCCTACAGCACAGAGGCCTGTGATGTCTGGTCACTCGGCATCATCCTGGTCAACCTCGTCGCGGGCCGCAATCCATGGACGTACGCGCTCTCGACTGACAGGGCTTTCTCGCATTACCTTTCGAACCCGAACCACATGCGTGACGTCCTTCCCGTGTCGGAGGAGGCTCAATATATACTCCGTGGGGTTCTCAACCCCGACCCCGTGGAGCGCTGGACCCTCCAAGAGTTGCGCCAACACATCGAGGAGGTGGAGACGTTCTTCATGAGCGAGGAGGATATCGCGGTAGCCAGCAAGCACGTGCAGCTGGTCGCGGCGACGTACTGCCCACGCAAGGCCGTTGAAGACATCGCACGCTCTCAGTCAGCCATTTGCATCGAGGACGCGCGCGAGCTCTTAGCAGAGCAATTCGTTCTCCGGAACAAGACGCTCCCGAGAAAGCCACTGGCGCGCCCGCAGACGCTCAAGACGAATGACTCGCAGCAGCACTTCGTCATCGTGTCGTCGACGGGCCTGTCGAGATCAAGTTCGACCTCAATGTCCGGCGAGGAGAGCGAAGGTCCGATCACGCCTGAGACACATGCCCAGGATCCTGTGCAGCTGGCAGAGGTGCCGGAGTTCACGGACAGCGAGAATCTCGGGGAGTTGGAGGTCCCAGTGCAGAAGGAACGCTCCCTTGTTGTTCAATTCCCTATTCCACCTGCTACCACCTGCGCATAAATTGGGCAGATTAGACCGATGGACAGTCACGTACATACCCATACTCACCATTCCACTCGAGCCTTGACGGTATCTTGCCTTGTTTGACACATTGTAGCTTCGTAGTCGAGATAGTTGACCAATCTGAAGAATTCCGTACCGCATCAGTGATTCTGAACTGATTGATTGCTTGGTGTCTAGCATTGCAGAGCATAAGCGAGAGTGTATGTCAACGAAACGATGAAAGGAGATAATTTATGGCTACAATGTACTGCCCACAAACGCTCAGCGTCCATCGTTGGGCGATGCGTTGAGAATAACGTACCGAAAGTCCAGACCAGCTGTACCCCACTTAACCCCAGTGCTTCTTCCCCATCTTCACGACGTCTCCATCAACCTCCTGGTCTCAGCCGCCTTGTGCTTGAACTCCTCAATACGCCGCTCCCCGTCGGCCTTCATCTGCGCGTACTGCAGCTCCATCTCCCGCCGGATGTACTGCTCGAGCGTCATCTCGGTCTCCTCTTCCGTCAGGCCCACCAGCTTCTCGATCGGAAACTGCGCGAGGAATGGATGGTACGTGCGCGGAGAGCTCGAAACAGCAGGCGCGGCATCTGCTTCGCTAAACATGCGGACGTCTCCGTCGCCTTCGGCGTCTCGCTCAGGAGATGTATGAGTAGAGTGGTAATCGGCAGAAGCCGGCGTACCAGGCGCAGGAAACTCGGACTTGGTTGGGCGATCGGGCGACCTAGGAGGTCGCGGGGGAGGGCTTGCGAGCGCGTCGTTCTGCACCTGCGCATCATCCGAGCTCACAGGCTTGAACGTCTTCGGTGGCACGACGACCTCGACCTGAAGCTTCTTCTTCGATGGCTGACTGGCGGGCTTCTTCACCCCGTTCACCGATGCTGTGCTCTCTTGCCTCGACGCAGGAGCCTTCGCCTTAGACTGAGGTTTGGGTGGACGTTCAGGCGAACCTTCTCCGTCGGAGTCGATCTCGACGACCGTCAGCGTGTCTTTGGTGGGCGCCCTCGCGATGGACAGTTTGCTAGGGGGACGCGAGGACGAGGCGCGGGAGGACGGTGGCGCGCCACTTGATGACCTGATTACTGGGCTCGGTCGCTGGCTGACTTCGCTACTAGCTGGCGTCGGCCGCGAGTTCGCGCGCGGGACCGGCTGAACTGCGTTGGCAGCGGGGACCTGCGCCTTCTTCGTGGGCTTGGGAGGGGCGGGCTCCTCATCGACCTCCATCTGGTCCGCTTCCGCAGGAGCTTCTGCAGTTGCGTAACCCGCATCCTCCGACAAAGAGGACTTGCGTTCCGAAGCTGCTTGGGACTCGCGTGGCGCAGCGCTCCGCCCACTGTTCACGCGCGTGTGCGATCCGTCATCCCGAGCGGAAGCGACGTCTTCGTCTGAAGCTTCGGGCTTGGGCGTTAGCTTCGTCTTCGACCGTGACACAGCCTTGCTCTTCGGCTTCGCAGGCAGAGCAGACGACGGATCCTCATCTTCGTGTTCGACAAGCTGAGGGGCGCGCTGCTTGCCCTTCTTCTTCGGTGCGGGTGCTGGAACGCCGGACGCCTCATCCTCGCCCTCCTCCTGCTTGACCTTCACCTTGGACGTCGATTTGGTCCGTGTATGCGTGCCCTTCGAGGTTGCAGGTGCAACGGTATCTGTATCTGGTTCCAGATTCGCCTTCGATCGCGTGCGCGCGTGCGTCTTCTTGGCGGGGGGTACGTGTGCGGGCTCGGCGCCGAGTTCCTGTCCGGTCTCCTCATCCTCCACCTCATTCTTCGGGTTCATTTTGGGAGTAGACTTCGCCGCAGCGCTCTTCGGTGGCCTGCCTCGCTTCTTCTTCTCAGGCTGTGGCTCGGGCTCGGGCTCCGCCTCTGCCATCTCCACATCCTCCGTGCCCCTTGTGGACTTCGGTGGCTCCATCTCGTCCTCCTCCTCGACAATAGCAGAGACACGAGCCTTGGTCTGTCTGCCCGTCTTCCGCCTTGACTTCGTCGTGCGCCTCCCAGCATCGCTCTCGCTGCCGCCATCTGTCTCTTCAAGCTCCGAGCTGACTGTCCGGCTACCAGGCGTCTTGCCAGTCGTGCTCATCCCCCGCGTTGACCGTCGCGAGCCGGGAGTCTTTGCAGCGGACGACGCACGGGCGGAGCTCGCTCTGCTCGCACGACTGTCGGATGTCTTGGTAAGCACGGTGAGCTCTGAAGATCCTGCAGCAAGCTCATCATCGGAGTCCGTCACCTCCTCCGGGGCCTCCTTTCCTGCGGCCGCTGCTGCTTTCGACGATCGCGAGACAGAGCGAGTGGGCGGTTTAGATGCTGCCTTCGAAGCCGGTCGTTTCGCGGTAGATTTACTGAGAGCATTGCCAGTGTATGCTTTGATGAATGCGCATGATGTCTTGTTCTTCTTGTCCCGTTTCACATGCTCTTCACTATAAACAAGCTCGGTCGAGTGGCTATGCGGAGAAATCGGCGGACGTACTAGGGGTCATCATCTTCATCCCAGCCGTTCAGAGAGAGGTTGCAGTACAAGCATAGTGCAGTGTCGTCCCCAGGCTCTACTGAATTGCATAGAAATCCGGCTTTGGCCATCTATGAATCGGGTCAGCCGCCTTATCCTGCGTACAGCGTACAAAATGACTGTGGCGTTGGTTTCTGCGAAATAAGTCGAATAGTTGAGTTGAAACCCAGGGTCCCTAGTCGATACATGACGCGCATATATCCTCAAGTGGAACAGCAAACAGCGGTTGCCTCAATAGATGACACCCTCACAGAGACGTGCATCACGGCGAATGAGTGACAGAGATACTCACTGCTCTCGAGTTCGCACCATGACCCTTAACCGCATCATGGGGCCATCGAGCCTTAGAAAAGGTGTCAAGGCGCGCCTTTTCCATAGCCTTGCTCGTCGGGTGACGCGTCGGATCGGAGAAGTCAAAGCTACCAAGGTTGTCATAATCATTTCGAGCAATCTGGATGGCGAAAACGCGTACCCCTCGTCATCCAGAGCTCTTTGGCACCGTACGACGGCCCAAGCGCACGAGTCGCGACACTTGCTATAGTGGATCGTGAACGGGTCGTCATCAGGCTCCCATCCATCTAGGTTCTTCTTGCACATGAAGCACGCTACGTTGTCGGGAAAGTCAGAATCGGGGTGGAAGTAGAAGCCGGCCTCAGCAAGAGTCTCAGGAGTGGCTTTGAACGACGCGGGGTGGGGCCAGGTGGGTTGCTTGCTGGAAGAGGCCTTCGTTCGCTTTGACCTGGGAGGACCAAAGGAGTCAACACGGTTCTGAAAGTACTCCATCGCTGAGCGCGCTAGCAGAGAGCACAGGCAGGGAGGAGGCAAGGACCATCCTAGGACGACAGCGAGTCCTCGTCTCTCATGCGCCTGTGACAGCTGCTGTCACACGTAAGCGACGTGACCGACGCGACGATGCGAAAAGGCGCCCGTTGACTTGCAGTCGCGGATCCGGATGACCATTTGTTCGACAACACCACCATCCCGTCTCCAGTACTACTCGTTCGTCTCCCTCATACACGTGATTGCATCAGCCATTGCTGCTCTTCTTGCTGCATTGTACGAGAACATGCAACGGACGTACAGCCGCAAGCGGAACCAGCGCCGATCATTGCCTTCGGAAGGTGCGCAGGAGAAGTCACCACCTCCATCTCCCCCACCTCCGGAGTCAGCTTCAGCAAGACCGCGAAAACGCCAGAAGATTGAAGTGGAAATTGCCACGTCGCTTGCTTCTCTACCCAAGCATGAAGAGCACGGAACAACTATCAAGGTATCGCGGAGCGGAGCCAGTGAGCCTAGATGTTGTCACGTCTCGCGGGATGCTACGATATGAGCGGCTCACATTTCCGGGTGTAGCTTACAATCCGACAGCCACCAAAAGCAGGTCCTCCGCTCGCGCGCGCACTTCCACTCCTCCTGCCGAGGAGTTATCAGCTCCTCTGACACCCCGGAAGCTCCTCGCGCGCTCCGCAACCACCTCCGTTCTTGAAGATGACTCCCACTCGCCTCGATCCCCTCCCTCGCGCCAGCCAACCAAAGACCTGTCAGACATCTTCTCCTTTGTGACGGAAGCCCCGATACCTGGCCCATCTCGCTCTGCGAAGAAAGCGCAGACCAGCGTCGCCCGACGGATGCTAGGCCGCTCGCGCACGGACTCCAACATCATCAGCATTAGCAGCACGAGCGAGCAGGAGACCTCCGAGCCCAACTCCGTTCATGCCACACCCAAGAAACTGCGCACCTTCGTCTCCGAGAGCGCTATCGGCTCGCCCTCTTCGCACTCGCCGTCGAAGGATGACATCTCGTCGCCACCTGTCCGGCCGTCTCTACCGGGCGCGAACTCGAACGTTAGAACGTATGCGGGCACCTCGCGTTCTTTCCTTGTTGCGCTTCCGCCTTCCCAGGCGGCGTCGATGGGCGTGGACCCAACCGCCGCGGCGATCGACGACGCGGCGATGATAGTAGACAGTCAGGAGGACGACTTTGAGATGCGCGAGTCGTACACGGAGCTTCGTCAGCGATGGGGCATAGACGGCTCCGAAGACGACCCTCGGCCGGTCTCGCCACAGGCGTCGCCGTCTCCCAAGCGCAAGGGGAAGGGGAAGGGGAGGGGTATGGCGAAGCAGGCCGCAGTAGAGCAGCCTGTAAGGCTGTTCAACGGGATGATCAACGACCTGAAGAGCATCACAGACCTGAGGAGTAAGGGCGAGAGCAGGAGATTTCTGGACGAAATGGGGTACCTCTTTGAAGGCTTGGACGCGAAGTGTACCATCGGTGTGCGGAGGGGGAGGTGAGGGCGAATGCAGTCTTCATGCAAACCTCTCTGACTTGTTTCACAGCGCCATGGAGATCGTAACCAAGCTCTGCGACGTCGATTTTGCTCGCAGAGCTAAAGCGGCGGACTTTTTGGGCCGCGCATGGGAGGTGCTACGAGAGGCGGGCGCAGGGGACGGCGATAAGGTTAGTTTTCAGGGATCCTGGCCGAGGCTTGTCGTTTACATTGAGACACCACCCAGGTCCTAGATACCATATTGGCATTCTATGCCGCCCTAGTAGCCCGGGACTCTACAGTTCTTTCCGATTTGGTCTCAAAATCGGACTTTACCGATACTCTTCATAATATGCTCGCGGCCCTGGAACACGCCAATGACCCCCTCTGGCTGATATCATCCAATGCGGGTGTGGGTGAGCTGAAAGCAGCCGGGATATCGAAAGCTGAAAACACCCTGGTGAGTTTCGAACTCGGTGTATGCGTCAAGCCAGGTATTTATATGCGAAGTTAGTTGACCTGCAGAGGCTAGTTCGAAAAAAATCCGGTATATTTGACGACAGCGACATTGTGAGTGTTCATCATGCCAGTGAACGCTCTAGTGCTCAATCAGGATTCTGAATAACAGATATCAAATCGTCTGCTGATATCGCACGCGCTGGCTGACGTACCACCATCCGCGCATACCTTCTCTCACCTACCCTCGCTGCTTCACAGCTTGACTGCGGAAATCAGCTTGTTGCCATCTCGAGTAGCAGCATACACCTCTGGGCTCTCCCTATTCCCTCCGCAGGGACCCTCATCGTACGTCGAGACGCCGTCATTGATGCACCTGGACGACTGTCTTCGGCTGCTGGATACTTGCCTTCTTGGTTCGTGGTCCATCTATGACGAAGAGGAGACTGCACGATCGCAAAAACTCGAAGAACTGCGCGAGAGCAATTTCGCGGCCGCTGTCATTGCTCTATGTGTCAGCTGCAACATCATCTTACACGACGACAGTCTTGGAGAGCATCATGCAACAGGTGATTCTTCCTTGACATGCCTTCTGTCCGACGCGTACTTACTGGGTTGTGTCTAGCGAGCAAATGTGTGGAGTCAGCACTCCGGGTGCTGATAAATCTCACGCACGAGGACCTCCCGTGGTGTCGCGCGGTCCTAGAAGACGATTTGTCCACGCTCGCCATCATGTTCCTTGTTGTCATGGCGCAGCGCCAGCGACGGTTGCTTGTAAAGTGCGTGGATGCGGAGGAGACTGGCTCCGAGGATGCTGAAAACGCTGCGCGGTCGCTCGACCGACTGTGTCTGGCCCTCGGCCTCCTCACGAACCTGGTACAGGCAGCATCAGATGCTCGACACGTCATAGCAGATACATGTATGTCTCTTAACGGCTCCCTCTCACGCGTAACTGACATCGGATTGCTTTCATAGTGCTCGATTTCGACTGCCCTGGCCACCGACGGTGCATCCGCGGATGCACATGTCCTTCCCGCATTAGCGCTCTCGCGTGCCTCGCGCAAGTCTATACACACTACCTCGAGTCACCAAGCGAGCTTGACACAGTCGTGCGGGGACATATGGCCGTCCTCTTCGGACTCCTCATGGAGCATGCTCCGTCGAACCAGCGCACGCTCCTTGCTGCGCTTCCTGGGGAAGACGACTGGACGAAGCTTGGCACGCTCCTAAAGCACGCGCAAGACTTCACGCTGTTCTACGTTGCGCTGACTCGTAAGATGGCGGAATCTCAGGACACCAATGTGGAGGAAGGGGAAGAAGACGACGAGAGCTCACATGCGTCCGCGAGTGCGTCCAGGAGAGTGTTCCGGGACTCGAAGGGCGAGGCTGTTGCGAAGGGGGTAATTGGATTTCTACGAAAGCTGAGAGACGAGAGTGGATGATATGCATAGTTTGTTCTATTGCTGCTATGCCACCCATGTCAACTCTTTGTACAGTACATTTCGCTCCTCGTCATGGTGGGATCTCCACCTATGTACTTACGACCATTTCGGGCCGCTGTGACCAGGTAGCGTGAGGGCCTAGAACGCACATCGCGTTCCTGACGTAAGCTGCTATCAGGTGACCGCGACGCGACGCGGTTCAAGTCGCACGGCAAATGGCGAGAATCAAACGCCTTCACGTTCCCGTCACAGTCACTGTCTCGTTCCTGTTCCTGCTCCTCCTCTCTCTTCCCCGGCGACCACGACCACGACGACCTCAAGTACGATGACAAAACCATCCCTGATACCCGCCTCCGCCCCGACGTCCCCCGTCGTCCACCGCACGAAGCAACACAACCACCCCTCCACCCCGCAGCGGCCTCTCCATCATTCTCTCAGTGCCCGGCACTTCGCCTCCCCCTTTACCCCAGTGACGACCCTTTCCACTCCTTACACTCCCCTCAGCCTCCGATCGTTTTCCTCTAATGGCTCTAGCATTGCGACACCGGCCTCCGCCGCGGCAGCTCGCCGACGCAACCTCAGTTTGTCGCTCTCTCCAGAGGTGCACCCCAATGCGCACGCGGCGCACAACCGTAGTCTGGCAGACATTGCATCGAACTGGAGGACGAGAGCGAATGAGAACGGCATAAAGGTGGCCCCTGGTGACGAATCTAAGTTTTTGAGTGAGTGAACGCGTCTTGTACTCGAGCGACTCGGTCGCGACCAGCTATATGCGCCTCGTGTGTACCAAGACTGACCGCCCACACGCCCCAGCCGACGACTGTAGCTTCGCAGAGCTCAGCAACTCTTCAATAGATGAGTGTATGCGCACCTTTTGCTGCGGATTGCGGCCCCGACTCTGACGACTCCCTGTAGCGCTTCTTCCCGCCCCCTTCCTGTCCGGCCAGCGTCGCGCTCGTGCGCTCTCCCACGCCCCTGCCCCGCTTGTTCCCGTTGCAGACAATGTGCAGCTGGCCACTCCCAACCGGTCGTTCCGCTCTGTTGGCATTCTCAACACCCCGCCCCCACAGCCTGGATACCGTCTCCGTGGGAGTGTCACCGATCCTGCCCACACCCGTCGCCGCCCTGCGTTCGAACAGGTACGTGTTTCAGTCTGCGCATCAAATTTGCCACGAGGTCCTGATGTCTGCGCGACCGCCTCCAAGACCTCGGAATTGTACGATATCGACGAAGACGACTACGCACCGTACCCGCAAACGTTCTCCCCGCCTGCCCATTCTCAGACTCTGCCTCTTTCGCTCAATGATCCGTTCAACACATCAAACCTTTCGCTCTCTGCCATCTCTCACATATCGGAGCCGATCCAGTTCTACGAGACGCCACAGTACTTTCCGCCGCCGCTGCCTCGCAAGGCCTCAGCATCAGCCACCACCTGTTCCGTCTGTGGGCTGGTGAAGGGCTCGCTTGCGATCTTGAAGCCATGCTCCCACCCTCTTTGTTCCACCTGCTTGACAAGCGCCCTCAATATCGTCGGCGAAAAGGACATGGAATGTGCAATGTGTCACGCGAAGGTGGATGCCTTTACGTTGTGCAAGGACAACCCGGATGTTGCTGCCGTTAAGAGCCCCGCGGAGTCAAAGCTGCAGCGCATCATTGAAGAGTGTACAGAGTTCGAGGAGTTCGACAGCGGGATCGGTTTACTGCCGAGCAACTTCAACGGAAGGGAGATCGGAGATGTAAACTTGTTCGACGACGACGAGATCTTCATGGATCGCGCACAAGGCGCATCCACTCCTGTCGCTGGCTCGAATGCGTCGTTCACTAGCGCCAAAACCACAGACCGTGTGGTCCTGCGTATCGATAACGTGCCTTGGGTATGATTATGTAACCGCAGCTTTCCACGCATCCACATTAACCCGCTACTTTTGACAGGACATCACTCCTCCTGCGATTGCTGCATGGTTGAAGCACCCTGTAGAGCGTGTCCATGTTCTGCTGGACCGCAAGGGGAAGACCTTGAGCCATGCGTTTGCTGAGATGGTGGACGAGGAAGCTGCGAAGGCTGCGCTGCGCACCTCTCAGAACTCGGTCCTGGGCAAGGGCAAGCGGGCTCGTGGAGTCACTGTCACTCGGAGCAGCCAAGAAGAGCTTATGAGGGCTGTGAGTGCTTATCGATCTAGGCTTGCTGTCCAGGCTGACTCGGGCTGCACAGCTGTTCCCTTCGTGGCAAGGCAATTTCGATGGCTCGCGTCCTTCCCTCGCAGGCCTGGGCAATGAACACGTCATCTCCACTCTCCAGCGCGGTCTCATCTCAGAGACTGAGCTGACCTCGCTTCTGCACCTCATAAAGTCGCCCGATGTATGTCTTTTTGTTACAAAAAGTATCGCCTGCTGACGAGCGTCTGCAGAGCCACTTCCTCAAGGTCCCGTCCCTGCCGTTCTACTCGTTGATCAGCATTCTGTCGAAGTTTCCCGCGGACGATGACAGCAGGGTGTTCTGGTCTGGCAATATACGAGATTCCCTATACGGTATGATACGGAGATCCTTCATCTGATCTGACAGTTATTGATATTATCAAATATGTCAGAAATGACCCATGGTATGTAGTCTGTGTGGTGTATACCAAATTGTGCGCTGATATCCTCTACAGCGGCAGTGCAAACCTTGATGGCACGCATTGAAGAGAATCCTCTTTCGGATTGGGCTACTTTGTTAAAGCAGGTTATTCGCGTGGCTCTAGACTGCCGAGGTGCGATACATTGCTATGTTCGTCTCTCGAGCAACGCCCTGACGTAGACCTGTACAGCGTTCACGTCAGAGCAGATGGGCAAGCTGTCTGATATCCTCGAAGCTACTGCTCCTCAGGCTACCTCTTCCCCTCCGCAGTCGCCGCGATCCCGAGGCTCGGCCAACAGCAGCCGACTGTCCAATCGGAGCGGCCGCGGAGCACACTCACCCTCCAGTCTTCCGACCGAAACCCTCGGAAACCTTGCAAAAGAGTTCGGCGTTGACCCGCTTGTCGTGGAAGCGCTCGCACAACGCCTGGCTGGCGTTCATTGATCATGGTGATACCCCAAAACCTGTCCCTGTTTCACACATGCATTGTCCCCTGTTGTCTAGTTATCGGACGGACCTTAAGAAGTTAACCGTATCTTCATCGCTTTCACAACTGGTCGTTGCAGGTTCCGGATGTGCACCCCTCGAAGCTCTCTAATTTTCGCTGTCGCTATGTTGATCGTAACGCGCTTAGATCGTATACTCCCCTCTCCCCTCCACCTCCGCCCCTCCCCTGATTTCCTCTTTCCCCAAATCCACTGTCCTTGTCGCTCTGTCGCACCGTTTGTTTTCTGCTGTGCGTCGCGTTCGATGTCTGATATGACCCTCCACGTCCGTAGGCCTCCTAAGCCAGTATGTGTATGTATCCCTCCCCGTACCCTTCCGATCGTTGTATCATCGCAATCGCCACCAATTGCAAACCAATTGCCCCGCTATTTCTCACTGCCGCGTGATATGCCTCTGCGGTGCGGCCCGTCCCCGTCAAAGATATGACCGTAGGTTCCGCCGGGTAAGTTCCGGGTACAATCCATCTTATCCTGTTCCTGACATGCTTCTCCAGGTCGCCAGGACGTGTGAAAGCTGGCTGTGAGTCTCTTCGCTCTACCCAGCAGTCCGCAGCTCATATTGTCGAGAATAGTCCCCCATCGATGGTGCCTGCTGCCTCGCGTCGCTACGATGGGACTATGTGCCCTCAACCACGGAGCTTTGCCCGCTGTCCATGCTGGTCATGCCCCCGCGTCGAGTCCGTTGCCTTCCGATGTTTTGGTTTTAAATCCTTTTCAAATTCGCCATGGAAGGACGGGCTGGCTCTCGGGAGAACCTGCGATCCGCCGTATAGGTTCAATCAGAGATGGTATGGAAGCACACCATGGGTACCTCTCTGACCAACGTGCGGCGCTCGTCTCTGCCGTGCTTGCCGGCCATTGACTGCTGCTAGTTCGCCTGCAGGACGATCCCGGTATCGGATGCTCTTGACGTGCGCCTAAGTCATATTGCACGGACATGAGCAGGGGCCGTGCCAGGGTGATCGCTGCCGTGCAGCCTGAAGTGACGGCTTGTATACTGCGAAGAACCCATCCCAGCATCGAAAGCCTTCTAGCAACATAGTCGGAACGGCGCGTTCTCGGGCTGAGCTTTCCATGCCTGATGTTTTTTTTGCCAATGACGCGTCTGGATGTGTACGGGGGCTCCGTTTTCTGTGCCCATCCAGTGTGCGCAGCCTTCTGAGAGCTGGGTCGCTCCACCCCGGGGTTGTTCAGCTCTTTTGCGGCCACTTATCCTCCGTGCGTCCCGGATTGTGTACCCTCGCATGCGACGTTCTTTGAATAGAGAGGATGTGAACACACCATCCTTGACCGGCTGAATCTGTCGGTTGACGACAGCTTCTCGGATTCTCGCTCGCTCTCAGTCGGTCGTTGTAAACCTCCTTGAGAGTCTCGTTCTCGCGGGAGCGAAGACGAGGTCCCTGTTCCGACCGCGGTGTCAACAGACGTACTCAAGCTTGTCGAGGCGCACTCGAAGGACCATAACTATCACGTACGTATGTTGCGCCACCATTCACTATCGCTCGGTCGTCTGACGACGAAGGAATATCCGTCGACCAGTAACATGTTGTCTGTTCATGAATGCCCGGTGCGGGGCTGTCCATGCATTCTCCGGTCCAGGTCGAGCGAGAGTGCCGGGGTGGTCGCAAGCATCACGGTATGTGCGCCAGCTTCGGCCTGCGTCGTCCAATGAAGCGTTGCCGGTGTCCACGATGACTCATGTCGCTCACCAAGAGGAGTCCCGCTTGTCCCCCCGGCTAACAAGACGCTCCTTCCTTCAAATAGGTATGTCCCAAGAGACGTTCGCTGCTGAGCGTGCGGTTGACCTTGGCTACTACTCTGTTGCCGTTGTGATCGGCCTATCTGTTGGCAGGTCTCCTTGTCCTCGGTAGCTCAGTCGAGCCGCTCCGGAAACCGGCAGAGAGCTGATGCCTGTGCGATGCTGGCTGGGTAGGGTCGGCGATGCAATGCGCCGGCCGCATTCTCGAAGGGAAGGTATTCGTCGGTAACCTCGGGTTGGAGAGGGGTGGCCTCGAGCAGTGAGTCGGACTCGTGCGGGAATTGGGGTTGGAGTCCCCTGACCTCGACGGCAACAATCAAGGTTTTGCTATCGTTCGGCGCCAAGCTCGGCCCTTAACAACGCTGGCTGCATGTCTTTGCACTTCAGATGGGTGCTTCGAGCCACGAACTCGACATCCAGTTGTTCAAATAAGGTAGGTGCTCATGTGTCATGGCTCTCTTATGGCGATGTGCCACTGGCATGGAAGAGCATGTAATTCATCGTGCTTGACGTCCCATGACAGTTCCCATTGGTCCTCGCCTTGAAGGTGAGCCCGGCAGCTCTATTGCAAGCGCTTTATGCAAATTGCTGCTGAGCTGCGCTGCTTCTTCTGGGTCCTCGAGGAGCTCAGGTTATGGGAACCCATATACTCTCCATGTTTGCTTGGTTCCCTATCTGCTCCGAGTTATGTACGGCAGTAGTTCCAATGTGATCGCCGCTCACGGCTTCGTGCGCCGTATCCTCGGCTGCCCTCGAGCTGCAAGGAGCCAAATCGATGGCTTTGGATTCGCCACTCGCGTCTGCGGAACTTCATAGCACTTGGGCCTCCATCGGCCGCAGAGTATGAGACCCTGATTGCCCACCCCATACTGGCGGCGGGTTTTGGTAGGAGCGCTGTGCGACCCTTCACAATATTTCCTTTTCCAATCACTGAAGGCCCAGCGATGGACATGATTTTTTCTTTGATTATGGCATTGCACAATTCCGGGATAGCGCCGGGTCCCCTGTAATTGTACCATTGTCGCATTATCCTCCCATGCCAAGTCCGCGTGCAAGAAACTGAGTCCTACTGCCACCATCGAGAAGAGAGAACATGCGAGGGTTCGAAAGCTCAGTGCCAGTGTTCGAGAAAAATGTCTACATCAAGCAACTTCAGTCCGTGAACTGTGGAGCCGATGAGAAAGACGTACCCTGTGTGCACAATCAATCACAACCGGCCCTTCAGCAGATCACTGCCGTACGAGTCCGGGGCAACCGGCATTGAGGTGCCGCTTGAGCGTATCATTGCGTGCAAAAGAGTTCCCGCACGTCGAGCATTCTCTCTTCATCGACTTCAGATGGCATTCCGCGATATGCTTCGCTATGTTATCGAACAGCATCTCCTCGCTACGGCAGTTCACTCCCCATTGGCAGCGCAGCGTCGACCCGCGAGGTTGTGCATGGTATGCACGGAAGTGGCGGCGGATGCCAGCGTGGGATAGGTCATCGAGCTGCACGTTGCAGCCCCTCCACTCGCATATTCCGACGGGGCCAAGAGTGTGAGAGTCGCATGGGTGCTGCGTGGATGTGCTGGGAGGAATACCAGCATAATCGACGTATTCCATCTTGGGCTCAATGGGGGACGTAGAGGGAGACGTGGATTGTGCAGACATGATTGCTGCAGTGAAGGGGAAATATGGATTGGGAACGAGGGACCCGTTGTGATGACCGTAGGGCATTTGTTCTTGGAAGGAGTCGAAACAGTACCCAGCGTTGAGAAGTGTGTGAGGTAGTCTGGGGAGCTGAAGCGTTAGCGGCCGATGTAAGGGCTTCTCAAGCGATAATATACGTACAGACGCGGATCTCCATGCACCGTAGGGCTGGTGGCATGAAGCCACGCTTCCTCCTGCCTGAGGCAGGTAGGTGTGTAACCCGTGATGGTGTAGCACCCTTGGGACTGGTAAGTTGTGCCGTAGGCTGACATATTGGAATGGCTGTTTCGGATAAGAGTGTCTTCGCTCGTCGACCTAGGCAAGAAAGAGGGAAGTTGCTATCTTGCAGAGGACTGAGTGCTTGTGGGGGGATGCAGAAACAGCGTAGGGAATACGTCGTCCTTTTGAAGCAGATGATGGCTACATCGCCTCAAGCTCTCCTCGCACGAGTCCTAATATCCGGAGGGGCGGGAGATGATGTTGGCAAGAACGCAACTGGTGCCCTTGGAAGTGCGGCAATGCACTCCGCGTACGTAGCGTCACTTTGCGCAGGACGCCGACTTCGGTTACTATCCCGGAGGGAGACGATCGCTCATGTTTCTAGAATAGCTTAGCGTCGACGTACTAGAGTACAAGAAACCCACACAAAATGATGGTTATGACCCAGATGCGTACACGGAACAGAGTTACCGCAGTCGACAGTATGCATGGTGGTGAGTGTGAATGTTCAAATGATCTGTGTTTTCCCATGTTGCACGTAATGGTCGTCAATCATAGCGCCGGGGAACCGTACGAAGTCCGCGTTATCCCATTGAGTGGCGTGACAGGCGCCACGCACATGTGTTTCAGGGCAATGCATTCATGACAGAACACCAGCTTCTGCATATCTGGATAGCAGCCCTGTCTCTCCGAAGCGGCGGACTGTATCCGTGAAGACTGGACCTCGCTATTCATGATCCCCGTAGTAGCCTATGCAGCGCTCGTTGAGTCGGGGTCAGAAGCGCTCAGGGTTCCCTCTACGCCAGGCCGGTCACTAATGGCCAATCTTGTTTCCGTGCTCGCGGGTTCCATGTCACCTAAGGACCTGCCATGGCCTCTCAGTGACCACTTCGAAGTGTGCAACGTGCCCTCAAGGAGGGGGTCAGAATACCATGAGCAGCGCTGGAACCCCCCCAGGGCACGTCCTCGAGTTCCTCGAATGTGGACAATGACCCGCCGGTAGGAAACGACACACGTCGACCACCCACTGCGGGGCAGAGATCTTCGGCACCGGCCCGAGGCAGTGAGAGTAGCGTAACCCTCACGTGTTGTCCGTCCCTATCATGGTCAGTAGAAGGTCGATTGCCGACCCGAGTCGGCATTGGTCCTCACGCTTTCCCGCGACGATGACCCCGAAGTAACCTATCCGCGCCGCACAAGCAGCATAACAATGCAATGGGAGCTTAGATCAAATAGCCTCAACACAAATTGACGATAACAAATTCGCCGAACTCAAGCTTCCCCACGCAGCATTGCTTCCCTGCACCCACACGCTTGGCGACAAAATCTGCTCTTCACCATGCCAGTGTGCTCGCGGTAGCGGAGCGCCCCGAGCTAAACAAAGCGCATGGGCCCACGTTGAAGCGACAGGGTTCGATCACGTATCCGATGCATGGCGGATCGAAGCATGAACTGGATATTGCGAAGGAAGCTCTTCAGCACAATGGTATGTAGAACTGCATATCACGAACCATCACTTGCCGGGTCTGTTCCCCCACTGTCGTGAGCTCAGCCGTCACCACGAAATCCTTGATGCCCGAAACATGGGCGAGTCCGCCAGATAAATATGCGGCTTGTACGCACGGCAACCAAGTATGTATGATAGCACTGGCTGGACGCCTTGCGAGATCTCGAGATCAGTAATCGATCCGCCTTGACCTGCCTTTTTATTCACTGAATACGTTATGCTGATCCACTGCCAGTCTCGGAGACCGCCGAAGTTGGGGCCTAGAGTGCCAAGAAGCAGCCGGCGAATTCTCATGTCGCGAATAGCACGGACCTTCGACAGGCCAGCGCCATATCCCGACTATGATGTCCAATTTTGAGGTGCGCGCGGCTGTCGTGGGTGGCACAGAAAAACCGGCTAGAACTAATAGGGGTAGTCAAAGATGGCGGTTCGGTGGACGATTCGAGGGAACGATTCGGGAGACGATTCGAGAGGGGGGGGGAATCCGCGATTCTGGCAGAATCGCGTCGAATCGCCGGTGCGAGTCTGCATCAGCAAAACAAGCAAACTATGGTCTCGCATGGCCACGGCGCCCGAAACTGGCCTACCCCTTCCGGAAACCGCAAGCGCCGCCCAATGCTGGCCAACTCCCATCTCGCCTGACGGAATCTGGCCATTGAGCATCTGCGCGGATGGATCCCGGCATTGGTAGTCAGGTATGTATCTTGTACTATCACTTCATACCAGTTAATTTGTCAGTGTACAAAGTGTGGATGAATTGACACCATGCAAGGCACTCCGCTGCACCGCAGCCGCCTCCTCAGGCTCTGAGTGCTCTCCGCCTCTGCCCTCTCCGCCTCCGTCCTCTCCGCATCCTCATCTGCACTGCTCAGCGAG